CGATCCGTCTGGACTGTCTATTGGGTATTGATAGTACCATTTACTACTACGTTGTTTTATAGAGGTGCTTCCAATTGGTAAATTTGGCATTCCCCCCCCTACCTCCCTCCATGTGGTTCTCTCGACTTCTCAATTGTCAGCATGCTAACCCAGTTCCTAAAAGGCTTCATAATTAGACATTTTTATCTTTTTCCAATCCCGAGTACATACTTCTACCTCTGGTTTCGCTCAGTGTCAACCGAAAAATGGCTTCTCAAGTTTCGAACACTGATATCAACGGTGGGGCCTCGAATTCCAAGTCCCTTGCAGCCATGCTGGAGGAGCAGCATGCACGCAATGAGGCGCACAAGGCGACAGTCGAGGAAACCGTTGACGAAGAGGACCTGCTGCATCCCCCGCCGTCTGCGTCGGCAAAGGACCAAGAGCCAGCTGTTCCGGAGACGACCGCCGCCGTCGACGAGGCCGCCGCCGCAACCTCCTCGGCTCCAAAGCCCGCTCCCAAGAAAGCTCCTGCTTTCGATGTCCGGTCCGAGGAATTGTTCCCGGCCCTGGGAAGTGGCCCCAAGCCTAAGACACCGGCTGCCGCTACGTGGGGCGCCAGACCTTCCGCTGCCGCCGCCGTTGCCAACGGTGTTGCTGGAGGCTCCCCTGCGAGTATGTTCAATTTCCGCCGGGTTTTGTTCTGTATCCTGGGCTGACATACTCAACTAGCAGCAGGTGATGTCCCGAGAATCATGAGTCTTCCCGGAAAACATATGGAGCAGCTTCGTCTAGCCCCGTCGCAAATGCTTCCGCGGGGACAGCTCAAGAAGCCCCTGCGGGATATCCTACGCGATATTTCCAGGCGATCAAAGGCCAATGTTGATATGCGGGGTGGACCTGGAGGCTCGATTATCTTCGAGGGCAAAGGCTCGGTCGAGTCCGTTAGACAAGCTCTCAAGGAGGTTGCCCAGCAAGTCGGATCCAAGGTACGCTGGTTTTCCCATCAATGATTTTGCGCAGGGACTAAACCCAGCGATTTGCAGCAATCGGTCCGTGTTCCCATTCCGACGTCCGCTCGCGCGCATATTATTGGACGACAAGGTGCGATTGTGCAAGATATTCAACAACGGACGGGTGCGCGCGTTCAGGTGCCCCGTGCTGAAGGCTCAGCCGACGAGGATGACAACGACACTATCGACGTGTTGATTGAGGGTGATGCAGTCGCCGCTGAACTGGCTCGTCGTCAGATCGAAGCCATCGTCAAGGAACGCGCTTCCAACATGAGCCTGCGACTGAAGACTATCCCCGCGGAATTCTTCCCTTTCATTGCGGGCGTCCATAATGAGAATCTGAAAGCCATCGAAGAGCGCACCAAGGCCCAAGTGCATGTGCCCCGGTACGATACTTGGGAAAGCCAACCTCCCCCACAGGAGGCCGAGCCTGGACATGTGCAGTTTGCACCCGCCTCTGATAAGCACATTCACATCTCGGGAGAACGCACTGCCGCGCAGGAAGCTCGCGCGGAGATCGAGAGACTTGCAGCTGATCTGCAGCGCCAACTGACCCTTCGTCAGCTGGCTATCAACCGCGGACAGCATCAATTCATCCTCGGGGAGGGAGCCAATGCTCTGCATGAATTCCTTGCTGATACCGGCTGTGCCATTGTCCTGCCACCCGCATCGGACGACAGTGAATTCCTTACCATTACTGGACCATCGAACTGTATCGAGGCTGGTATTAACCGAGCCATGGATCTCGCCACTAGCATGCAAATGGCAAGCATTGACCTGTCTCGTCAACATCCCAATGCCCCTGCTGGCCCTCATGCGCACGCGCGTGCCCTCACCCGGTATCTTAGGGAACGACAGATCATTCAGCAGTTGGAACAGATGTATGATGCTCGCATTGCTCTCCCACCCAAGTCTGACGGCCCTGTAACATGGGAAGTCTACTCGAGAGACGGTAAAAACACCATTCGTGCGCGTTCCGACATCATGAACTTGGTCCAGGCTCACCCTCCCGCACGTGTTCGCTATGTCTCTGTGGATCCTTACTACCACCCGTACCTGGAGTCTCGTAGTCTCAACAAACTGCGAAATGACTACGGTGTCCACCTTCTTATCCCGGATGAGGCTGACAGCTCGGATGTGGTTCTTGTCTACGAAGGACCTTCCGCCTCCACTTCTCAGCCTGAGATTCCGCGCCAGAGGCCATCTCCTGCCGAAATAGCCGCTTTCGAGAAGTCTCTCCAGGAAGCACAGGAGTTCCTTGTCCAGCTCACGGGAGACCAGAACGACATCGTCGCCAAATCCGTTGATGTCCCTGCCAAATACCAGGATAAGGTTCGAAAGTACATCAGCCGCGAACAGCAGACAGAGGGCGAGGTCCAAATCCCCATTCGCTCCCTCGTCGGTGATGCTCGCAATGATGGCAAGTGTGAGGTTTCTTTGCGTGGCCCTTCCGGTCAGGTTGACGGACTGGTCTCAAAGATTCACGCTTTCGTTGCCGAGCAGGAGAAAGACGACCTTGAAAGAGGCTACACAATCTCGTTCGACTTCCCTCAGAAATTCGCCAACTTCCTTATTGGCAAGCGTGGTGAGAACATCAACAAACTTCGCGATGAATTCGATGTGGACATCAAGGTCGACAACGGAAAGGTCGAGGTCAAAGGACCCAAGGCCAAAGCAGATGCGGCAAAAATGCGTATCATCAATCTAGGAAAGAAACTGGAGGATGAGACGACCCATGTCCTGAAGATTCCCGCACAGTACCATCGTGAACTGATCGGTCAGAAGGGCAGTCAGGTCAACAGACTCCAGGATCGTTACTCTGTGCGGGTTCAGTTCCCACGGGCGGCGGCTGCCACTGGCGACGACCAGTCCGTTGCGGACACTTCCAGCGAAGTGGGTGGCGCTCGGCCTATTCGTCCCCAGCAGGCGTCCGATGAAGTCATTGTCAAGGGTCCTAGCAAGGGTGCCGACTCCGCCAGGGATGAGATTCTGAGCCTGTTGCAGTGGGTCGTCGACCACTCCCATTCGGCAACTGTGTCCGTCGCACAGAGCCAGATCCCGTCTCTGATCGGTCAGCGTGGCCGTGAGATGGACAAGCTTCGTGCTGATACCGGGGCGCAAATTGACGTCCCTGGAGCCAATGACGCACCGGATGATTCGGGCCGTGTGCAGATCAAGATCAAGGGTACCAAGCAGCAGGTCGAGGAAGCAAAGAAGATCTTGCAGCAGCGTTCGAGCGAGTTTGATGCTATTGTCACCAAGACGATTGATGTGGACAAGAAATACCACAAGGCTCTGATTGGCGGTGGCGGTAAGTCGGCGATTTCTGGGGCGGGCTTGTTTTGTTTTAACATAACTAATATTTTTTTCTTCTTTGTCTGATAGGTGCCAACATTCGGAAGATTGTCGCCGAGGCTGGTGGTCCTACTGATGGAGGCGCCTCCCGCATTGTCAGATTCCCCCGTCCGGAAAGCACGGAGTCCACGATCAAGTTGGAAGGAAATGGCAAGGTTGTGGAGAACATCATCGCTGCCATTGAAGCATTTGTGAAGGAGCGCGAAGATCAGGTGTCGATTACCGTTGAGGTTCCCCCAGTGCAGCATAGACTGCTCATCGGTCGTGGTGGCGAGACACGGCGTGGTATCGAATCGCAGTTCAATGTTACCATGGACATTCCCAAGCAGGGCTCTGGACGCTCTGATATCAAACTCAAGGGCCCAAGCGATGCTGTTGAGGGTGCCAAGGAGCATATCTTGTCATTGCTGAAGGATCAGCAGGGCGAGACAGTCGAGGTCCCTCGGCACCTGCATCACGCCGTTTCAGACAATGGCGCTTTCTTCCGGCGGCTACGCAATGATTATCGGGTCACTGTGGACCATGCTGGACAGGAGGTGCCCGCTAAGCCAGCGTCCGAGGAGTCCCGTGCCACGACCAGCGGCGCCTCGTCCCTTCCGTTGATCACTGATGAACCCAGTGACTCGATTGAAACTCACTCATGGAAGACTGTCGAGCACGGTGCTGCTGCCAGTGACCCGACTCGGCCCGCGACCATCCCCTGGGTGCTCATCGGAAGCGGCGACAACGTGGCCCGGGCCAAATCCGCGTTGGAGAAGGCTATTTCAGCGGCGTCGCAGCAGTCTGCCACCGGATACCTGATTCTCCCTGATCCCAAGACATACCGCTTTGTTGTTGGTCAAGGTGGTAGCCAGATCAATGCCATCCGCAAGCAGACGGGATGCCGGATCAATGTGCCCAAAGACCAGGCCCGCGGCGAGGCAATTGAGATCAAGGGCAGTCCCGAAGGACTGGAGAAAGCCAAGGAGATGATCCTCGAGGCCGTCCGCGCTGGATTGAGCGGTGCTCCCAGGTAAAAGGTTGCTGCTGATGGGTATGCATCGTCGCATCTGATCGTCCAATGGGATCGAGGCAATCTTTCCTGTTGTGGGCAAAAATGTATTTTTTTTTGAGCTAAAAACATTCAGCATGTTGGATATTTTGATAATCTTCTCTACATCTTTTTTCTCTTTTTATTTTTTTCATATGGACATTCCTTTCTGTGGTTGGCAATGTGTTTACTCTTCTTTTTTTTTTAATTCCTTGTTCTAAATTTCTTACCCTTTGTATTTTCCACTCTTGCATATTCTCAACAATGACTTGTTGGCAGACTCTTTGTCTTCTTATAATGCCAAGCTCTTATCTACTGCGGCGATGAGTCGGGAAAGGGAAAGCAGGAACCAGAGGAAGAAAAAGCCCGAGATCGAGCGAGCCACGAGCCCGCCTGGAAAGAAAGTGATCGATCTATTTGACATCGTATCAGAGGATATAGGAATCAAGTTATAGAGATAAAGCGAAAAAACAAAAAACAAAAATCGAACAAAAAAAAGACAAGAAGCCAAGTTCGCTCCTCTACTATATTATCCATAGGCATGAAAATGATCATATAACATCAAGAAGAACAGGACTTTAAGAGAGATACAAGCGCAGAGGAAAGCCAAATATCTGCATTTGGGTATCATCACCCAGTCAACCCCTTGGGCAAATGGAAAAAGAGAAAGTTCGCAGAGAAGACAAGAGGACAAAACAGTCACGCAAGAACTGACACCCTCTCCCATCCTGCGGGTGTTGTTTTTCTTATTTCATTGGTGAGTTTTGTTGCGCCATGTTTGTTTCGTTTCTATTATTTTCTTCTTTTTATGAGAGAGATTGTTTCGCTTCAGATGAAGGAAGTACTCTACTGCTGCTGAGCACCGGCCTGGAGGTACTGGTAGGCACCGTAGGCGATAGCGGCACCGACGACCAGGATGGCGTACACGCCGAAGCCGTTGGACGAGGCGGCGGCGCTGGAGGGAGCGGAAGAGGAGCTGGTAGGCTTGGGGCGGGGGGCAGGGTCACCGGGCTAGAACGAAGGGCCGAAGCAGATTAGCTTGGGGGAATATTCTCGATTCAGGACATGGAAGATGAAAAGAAAAAGAAAAAGACATACCACGCGCTTCACGGTACCGATGAGCAGACCGTCGAGGATCTCGCGGGCCTCGTCGCTGTGGCCGACATCCTCGAAGGCCTCTGTGCTGTCCTGGCCGCCGACGTCGAGGAGGACTTCTTCACCACCGCTAGTTGGGGGTTAGCTTTAGGGATGCAAGGAATGGATTCCTCATGCGAGGAAGCATGGGTCCGGGTTGTTGAGGAGGGGTGGAAGGGAACGTACGGGTGCTCGTCGACGAAGGAGGTGCAGTCGTAGACCTTGTCGTGGACGATGAGGTAGAGATCCTTCTTGGTGTTGTGCTCGGCGATCTCCTGGAGCGTGAATTCCTTGTTGGCGGCCATTGTGTGGATTGGATGGAGAACTGTATGCAGGAGGGATGTTGTTAGAGAATTGGATATTGATTGATTGATGTCCTTTTCTTTTTTTTTGGCTTTGTTTTCTGAAATAGAAAGAAAAGAGTGAAGATGGAGGAAGAGAAGGGAAAGGGAGAAGAGGACAAAAAGCTCCGTCAGATCGCCTCAGTCGGACTCAGCATTTCCGACGGAGTAAATCTCACGATAAAGGCCAGCGTATAATTTTGCGGACCCCGATGGGATGGGAGTAAACACTAAACAGATCGCAAGAGGGGGCCAAGAAAAGGGGGGAAAGAGGACATACCAGAAATAAACAATTAGATATCAGTACTACAGATGAAGTAGATGATGGGGGGGGAGAAGGGGATAAGGTTAGAAAACAAACAAGCAGATGAGAGAGAAGAGAGAAGAGAGAGAGAGGGGAGAGGAAGAGGGAAGAGAGCCGGTGAGGAGACGACGACGAAGAAGAAGAACTTGCGGCGGGAATCCAAGTGGGTGATTGATCCCGAACAATGGAACTCTCTGGGGTTCTGGCCTCAAAGCTCAGGCACCATCCGCCCTCGCTGCCGAGGATTGAGCCGATCTGGGGTCTTTTCAGCATTCATCTATCTAGTCCTTGGTTTGCCATCTACAGAGTAGATACGTCTTGTACACTGGGTTCAGCTCTACTATCTATCACTACTACCGTCGTCTCCTTAATAATAATAATCAGTCATGTAGCTATTACAAGCATCAGGAACCTCCCATGAGTCCCGAACAGTCCGTCTCGATCTCCGCGAATCAGATACCGCTTATTCCGTGCCTTTTTTTACTTAGTCCCTGAGTAGTTAGTTGTACCTCAGTAGGACCTCAGGCACTCAGGCAGTTCCCTCAGCATAATTCTGCGTTTCTTCACAATTTCTCCTCAAACACCACATTATATAATCAAATCACCAATCATTCTCAGGCATAATTATTCCCTGGGTATTATTTCCTAATCAGGTCGATAGATCGAGGCTGCAGAGTAGTAACTACTCCGAAGGATATAGATTGTAGAATGTAGCTAGATGCCACTTCTACTATTCTCCTCTATACCTAGTTACTCCGGTCCCTAAGGAGTAATCCTGCATGTAGGGGGTGGTGTATGTCACGTGAAAGACGTGGATAGCATCATATAACCAATGGGGGAGCGGAATTTCAAAATTCAACCAATCAAGCTATATAGACTTCTCTGTCACCTAATTCCAGTACTACTGTGTACAGTACTCCGTACCTTAGTCAACTACCTACTGTGTACGGAGTACACCTCATCAAAATATAGTACTCTGTACCACAGTACATCACATTATTTAGATAGTTATCCACCAGCATATAGCAACATGGGCAGTACTTACTACCTAGGTAGTTCGTAGCTCTAGTAAAAAGATTTTTTCTGACAAGATATTACCTGGTCAGAAAAAAAAAGTCAAAATGACACGTCATTTTTGTCATTTTGACATTTTGATTACCACCCCTACCTACATGAGATCTAACATCGCAATTTCCCCTCTATTGGATTCACAATGGCCTTTCCGCTGTCTTTCCAACAGACAAGGACGGACTCAATATCCCCAGACCAATCAGAATATCAGATAGCCCCGAGTCTCAATGCGCCATGATGCTATCACCAACTGCCTCGTTGATCTCCGTTCTGGGGTGGGATAACCGTAACCTCGGGGATGATTGCCTGGCTGACACGCTGCTCGGATAGTCCCATCGGGATTGGACTGCCCGAGGATTCCGTCGTAGGTGGCCTGAGGCTAGCATTTTCGGTTCCGGTGTCCGCGGAACTTTAGAACTGGAGAGCGAAGGTGAGCAACTCCTTTGAGATTGAGTGAGATGTGGAATCAGTCAGTTACTCGGATACAGATGATTGTGACCCTGCTGGCAAATGTATGGATTACGGATGATTGATTCATGTTTTAGAAACGCTTCGTGCGATTCGCTTGGTAATCTACTCCATGTTTTTCCAATCCCCGTCTCAGACACTGTCCCTCGTTTCCTATATACAAACACACAAACATCGCTAAAGGATTCAATCATGTTCGAACGTGCTAGGCTTGACAGAGACAGGGGAAAAAAAAAGAAAAGAAAAGAAAAACAGGAAAATGCAGAATCATGCAGCAATCATCAAGGTATCATGTCATCGGCCGTCAATACCATGCCAAATAACAAGCGAAGAAAGAAGGTGTATCAGACCAAGCGCCTGTTCACCAGAAAAGAGCAATAAAAAAAGCAAATCATCAGATGCAAAATCGGGACAGGCCCTTTACTTGGCAGGAACCCGCTCGTAGAATACGATGTATGCCTGTTCATTCTGCAGCCGGTCCTTGAAGCGCATGTCACGAGGATTAAAGTCCGTCGCCCGATCATCGTCAAACTTCCGCCAGCACTGGCGTTGCGCATCCCGCACCAATGAGATGTAGTGTCCGCTGCCCATGGAGGAGCCGATGTGGCGCAAGACCCCATACGCATCGTACGTGAAGGGCGGCATCGTCGCGGAGATCATCTCCTGTGGCGCCCCCGCAACCCGGCCGTCAGAGGACGCCCCCAAATTGGGGTAGATCACAAAATCATCCATCCGAAGCCCGTGTAACGGAAAGTCAATGGGCGTGTGGATTTTGCGCGCGCTCTGCGTCTTAGAGGCAGAGAATCTTTTGAAGTGGACAACCAAAATTTGAGGCGCTCGAGTGATGATAATCTGCTTTGTCGCTTCCCGTTCACATTTACAGTAAGGGCACTTCCACACTTCATCCCCGCTGAGCATCTCCTCTTGGCAGTAGCTGCGAAGGCATTGGTAAATATCGCCCGTGCCAGTGGAGGGGATCTCCACGCTAATGCTGTAAAATGCTTCGTACGTCGTGGAAGTTCGCTTGCAGGTTGTACACCGCAGTCGGCTGGCATGCTGCCCAGCAAAGAGCGAGGAGATGAAGGACTCCTCGCGGTGGCAGTAGCGGTCCCACTCAATCCTGGAGACCTTGGGCACGGGCATGCGCTCCCGCTGCATCTCCTCCTCGAATGTCAACGGCCGAAGAGGTGTTCTCTGCCAATTGATGTTGAGGTCTTCATGCAGACAGTCCACCACAAAGTCAAAGAATTCCTTGGCGTCCTGTTGGCGATCAATGGCCCACTCCTGATTCAGCCGGCCGCAGAAATTGCGGAACGACGTGGGCATGATCACCTCCACATCATTCTTCCACAACGACCTGATCAAATTGGCAAACAGTCCGGGCATGACCCCTTGTGATCCTTTCCAGTTTTTTTGGACGTAGTACCGGAAGCGATTGTCGATGAAGAACTTGCTCAGCATGATCGTTGCGCTGAGGCATTGAATCGTCGAGTTCATGTAGCAAGTTACCCCAAAATTGGTCAGCCCCGTTCGCGGGAGCTTCAGGCGGCTCAACAAAGAATTGGAGGTGTACAGAGCTGTCTTGGTCGCGGAGCTCTGCCGCTCTAACGGGGCCTGGATCAGCCGACCATCAGACACACCACTGTAGCTAGGACGGGGTACAGCTGGGGGAGGCCGCGACGGCACCACGGGCACAGGGGCGGCGTAATTGGGTGTTGATGAGGGTGCCGTTGGGTGCGAATGCGGTCCTACCATCGATTCCTGAATGGCATGGGGTTCTGGGAACCGTCGCAGGAAATCTTCGTAGGTATGCACAAACGGTGTCACCGGGGACTCTTGCTGTTCAGAAGCGTCTTCTGGCTCTTCGGTCAGCGTCCCCTCATCGACATAGGTGCTAGTATCAATCTCTTCGTTCTTGGACTTCTCCATCCATGCCGTCAGCTCCTCCGGATTCAGAGGCTTATACTCTCGTAGTCGTCTCTTCCGAACCTCGAGGCTGGAATTGGCACTTGCCATGGTCGGTACTCTTCCAAGCGGTCGTCCTGGTCTCATCGCGGGCCTCTTCGCCTGAATCGAACCCATCACCGCGGCTGTGGAAGATGTGGCCAGAGACTGCTGACCCAGAAGATCGATCCATGCATCAAGACCACCTAGGAGCAATGCTGGAGGCCGTCCATCCTTCAGCGGCTTATACGCATTGAATTCATATAAGGTATCGTGCAAGGCCCGAAGATGGGGAGCGGTTGTCCCAACAGGCGACCCAGCAAGGTAGCTAACCGAGTCCGTACTCTGGTCATAGTAGACAATGAGGTCAAACTCGTTACGTCTTTCGAACAGTGATTGTTCATGCTCGGGAGATACCACGAGACGCTCTTCCAGTTCCTCTGCTGATACATTCTCTTTCAATGACACGGGTTCGATGCAGAGTATCGATTTGGCGTAGATGTGGCCACTGTCAAATTGATCTCGTGGTCTGACATCGATCAGCATGATATTATATTTTCGAATGTACTCAAGCAAAGCTTGAGCAGAGATGGTAGTGGAATGCGGTAAGTCCGCACTGTTACTTTTGACTTCTCGAATTGCATGTATGCCATTCGGTGTTGTTGAGCGGTAGGGATTGTCTTCTGAGCCACGACTGGGACTGCCGTGTGGCGAGTTGATCAGCTGTGAATATCGGGGATTAGCTGGGCGCGAACTTTCGGTAGATGTTCTGGGCGGATTTGATGGGGGCTGAGTAGGCACGGTCCATATTGGACTGTAGGCTGGGTCAGGCGCGCGAGGTAGAGAGGTATTGAGAAGGATCTTGGGGGGCAGATTGGGCACATTGTGAGTGGCGCCCATATTTCGGGGCCCCAAAGGACGTCGAGAGGGAGAGCTTAGGGTTGAATTTGATCGCGTTCCCTGATGTATGTAAGACAATGGTCGAGGAGGGTAATCGCCCAAGTAACCAGGCGGCGAGGGCGTGTGAACCGCGCCGTTTTCCCCATTGCTGAACGGGCCTTGACCGTTGGCGGGATATGGTGATGCTCTTAGTTTAGCGAATCGCTGAGCAAGCAAGTCGTCCGCAGGGGCTGAGTATCGGTTCGGGTTCGCTTGCAAAGCAGGAACTCTTTGAAATTCCGAAGGGCTCGGCATTCGTAGCGAGCTGTCACTCATCTCATTTTGACGGCCTCGAGAACTCGCGCCCTGATGCGTCCCAGAAGCCGACTCTAGCCGCCCCGAATTACCGTGGCGAGATGTAGCCATAGGTTGTGTGTTGCTGGCCAGGTTATCCTCCAAGATTAGTTGTTTGATATCGTCCATCGTCCCTTGCTTCGTCCGCACGGCCTATCGATCGTCAGCCAAGACATATCCAACCACACATCGACCCTTCCTTTCCAAGATTTGGGATGTTTTGTGCTCAATAGAAGGTCATACCATCATGAGATTGGCGAATTGTTTGTACCATGCTGGGCTCTGATTGACGGTGACGCGGTAGTCGGGATGGTGAGGTATAATGTTGATCGTGATCTCCGAAGCACGTAGATATTGCACATATGCCTTATCCAGCTCTTCATTATCGGCATAATTCCTTGCGAGTCCAATTGCTTCCTGCGCTCTTCCCACTAGTATATCCAACTGAGGACCGAAGTCAGCAAAAAAACAACACCAAACCTCAAGAACATAACCAATTTCGATGACGCACCGGAGTAGATTCATTCAAATCTAAGGCTGCCGCTTGATCCTGTAAATCTTTGATGTTGGGGAATCGTGGTGGTCCAGAAGGGCCATTGTTGCCATTCTGGCGTGCATCCGATCTGCCGATTTGCTCAGTACCTGGTTGCATGCCACCCAAGGACTTGGGCCGGTTGGGATTCTTCCACGGCGCAAAATCTGGCGGCGAGGGTAAAGCCGCTGTGTCCAAAGTCATCATACAGCGCGGAAAGAGAAGTATGTTCACCACATGACCCGTAATAAGGACTGCGAAGGGAACGCGGGGAAACGCTTCGGGATGGTTGCTTTGGGGGAGCGGATAGGGAGGACCTGGGCGTCGATTCGGTTGAAAGATTGGAATCACGGAGGGAAAAAAACGAATGAATGAATTGAGGGCACTCAGGTTTGAAAAAGCATCAAAACCAATGAAGGTAGATAGGAGGACAGATTTGAAGTTGAAAGAGAATCGTTGAAGGCAGACGCAATCTGCGGGACGTTTCTGGGGGATGCGCAATCGGCGTAATTACCGTCATATAACTATTTTCTGACCATACTCACCGCCCCAGCATATGACGCCACATGGCCTTGGTTTCTGCCTTGACACCTGATTTGATGACCTGAGCCAGCAAGTCGACACCTGAGGTATTCAATCAGAACCTAGGCTTCCGCCAATGACTGTGCCACATGGATGGGGCCGCTCCTAAACTTAACTAATCAGGTATCACCTGGCGGCCTGTGGCACTGGCAGCAAGGTACCTCAATGCCTATCGATGGATCTGCCTGGAGCTTGATAGATGCAACCGACATCCATCGCCTTTCTTGGGTTCATGAATCTCGCATCCCGCATGAATCAAGTCTATGAATTTTCTTCCATCGCCGATTTTGTTGCCCCTTGTCCTCCTTAACTGACCGTCTGATTTACGACCCCTCATCGTTCGTGCTCCCAACGTCATCAATCCCGCACTCCGCTATCTTCACAACACCCATTGCGATTCTGACTCTTCTGTCGCCATCATCATGGCGGGCTGGTTTTCTTCCTCTTCTCCGCTCGACGAGCAAGTCGAGCGTGCCACATCTTCATCTCTGTATGTTTTCTTTGACCTGAATCGGTAGTTTCGGTAGGTACCGAGTCGCCTCTAACCTTGACTGGGCAACAGGGAGGACATTGCTCTCAACCTCGAAATCTCCGACCTCATTCGATCAAAAAGCGTACAGCCCAAGGAAGCGATGAGATCTCTCAAACGGCGCTTGGAGAACAGGAACCCGAATGTGCAAATTGCGACTTTAAAGGTTGGTGTCTGGTTGGTATCCGACATTGAAGATGTTCAGTGCTGATGGCTTGATACCGTTGCAGTTGACAGATACATGCGTGAAGAACGGTGGTACCCACTTCCTGGCCGAGATTGCGTCGCGTGAATATCTGGACAACATGGTTTCTCTCCTCACTGCGGAGGGAGCTCCCCTCAATAGCGACGTGAAGGAGAAAATGCTGGAGCTCATCCAAGACTGGGCCATGGCAGCTCAAGGCCGCATGGATCTCAACTATCTTGGGGAGACTTATCGCAAATTGCAGAGCGAAGGGTTTCGGTTTCCTCCCAAGAGTGAAATTAGCGGAAGTATGTTGGAAAGTAGTGCGGTAAGTCCATGTATTTTCTGTGGCAGGACCATGTCCACTAAACTGATTACCCCGTCTAAAAGCCCCCGGAATGGATTGATCACGACGTGTGTATGCGCTGCCGTACCCCCTTTAGTTTCATGAACCGCAAGCACCATTGTCGCAACTGCGGTAATGTCTTCGACGCCCAATGCTCCAGCAAGACACTTCCTCTGCCACATCTGGGAATCTTACAGCCCGTGCGCGTTGATGACGGTTGCTATGCCAAGTTAACATCCAAGTCGTTCACGCCATCGACTCTTTCGGACCGGTCAGCATTCAAGAACAATTCCATCACCAAGGCAAATGCAATGGAACCCCGTGGCGCAAGGGCAGAGGGGGGCTTTGATGATGACCTGCGACGGGCCCTCCAAATGAGCCTGGAAGAAGCCCAAAACAGGGGCTCTGGAGGCTATATTCCACAGCCCAAGGTTAATGAACCATCCAACGCAACAATTCAACCCCATCCACAGGATGAGGAAGATGCGGATCTGAAAGCTGCGATTGAAGCATCACTGCGAGATATGGAAGAGCATAAGAAGAAGCATGCCGCCGCATTGAAGAATAATACTGTGGCGACGGACTCCACCGCTCAGGATACAGGGAGCGCTTTACCCATGCCTAAAAACCCCTACGAACTCAGTCCCGTAGAGGTTGAAAACATTCATCTGTTTGCCGCCCTCGTTGATCGGTTACAGCATCAGCCCCCGGGAACGATTTTGCGGGAATCCCAAATTCAGGAGCTATACGAGAGCATCGGCACCCTTAGACCGAAGCTCGCACGGAGCTATGGGGAGACCATGAGCAAGCATGGTAGGTCCATTCACCTCACTCCTATTCCCTTTTTTTGCTTGCTCTGATTCCTAATCTGTTTGATAAGACACACTTCTTGATCTGCATGCCAAACTGTCTACGGTTGTCCGATATTACGACCGTATGCTTGAAGAACGATTATCCAGCGCGTACTCACAACATTCGTTGGGCTATGGGCAAGCTCCGGGTGGCTCTCAATACCCCAATATGTACCCCTCGATGCCGTCTCAAGCTGTTGAGGGGAAATCTGGCGCGGAGAATTTCTACTATGGCAATGCAGTACCCGAACGGTCGCCTCCAGCACATAGCACCTATGCTTATCAGCAGGGAATAGCACCCAGTGGTCCCATGAGTTCCGGGATGTATCCTCAACCCGGTCAAGCGCTACCTTCGAATCCGGCTTGGAATGGCAATGCGCCGCCCACTACTGCATCCCCCCAACTGTCCACATCCTCTACTCCGTTTCCGAACCATCCAGTAGGATACCCGGCCCCATCAGCACCGACACAATACTACGCTCCCACGGCGCCTCCAGAACAAGACGCGAATACTTACTCGACTCCTCGACCGGGAGAGACAGAAGTATCGCATCAGGCATCGCCCGTCATGCGGCGAGATTCCTATTACCAATCAGCTGGGGCGCCCCCGAGCGCCCCCGAACCATCTCCACCCTCTGAACACGGTCAATCTTCAGGGTACATGCAGTACGCAGACTCTCGTACAATGCCACCTAATAGTCAATACCCTCCCCAGCAACAGCCGTCAGCCCAGCCATACTACTCTCAGCAACCACCTCCGCAAGCGACACCACATACAACATATTCACAGCCCCCAGCTGCACCTTATGAAACACACCCTGTTGCAGATGTTTCCCCAATTGGAGCACCTGTGCCTTCAGCGCCATATCAACAGCCGGCGCCCACTCGGCCCGCAGTTGAGGAGAGTTTGATTGAACTATAGAAGTCGTATGTTTGATTCAACATGAGCAGGATACTTTCTGTCTTGGTTTGTTTTTAACCCTGGGTCATATGGTAGTCTGCCTCGTGGTTGTTAGTACTTAGTTTTTGTGGCCATTATGATACCAGATGATTTGGCTGATTCCAGGGAATGAGACTGTAAGTACTGTGATGCCTAGGTATATATGGGCATTTCCCAAGCATTTTTGATCTTGTTGGTCTTTGAGCCTAAAGGATCTCTCAAAGTAGTCCTGGAGGAGCGGGAATTGGTAGTGGGGAAGTATGCATGCATGCAGTGATGTATACTTGCATCTGCTGGTCCCATATCTCATGTTCCCTTTCACACTTTACCTATCCCTCGACCTGTGGCGAACTGAAGACGTTCACTTCTATATGCCCTGCCTGGAAGTTCCATATAGAGATGGAAACAACCTTGGGAGTAGTACTGATATGTACAGTACAGTTAGTCAGTAAAGTAACTGATCCGTATCCATCATGAAGAGAGAGATCTAGATCCGGCGATTTAAGTGGAGACTTGGGATAGTTCAGGACAAAAAACGCGTAATCCAGCGGTATCAGATTAACACTTGCTGCAAGCTTCTATGACATTATTTTACCTCTGGGGTATTTGGGATTTCCCCCCTTGGTCTCTCTCAATAGATACTTGCTCTGCTAGGTATTACGGAGTAGGTATTATTATCGTTATTGTTATTAGTATTATTATTATCATTATCATCATCATCATCATCATCATCATCATCGCTGTCCATCTTTCTCTTCTTTTCATTTCTTCTATTATTATTACATACTTGTACAGTGACATTCTCCTCTCATCCTCACCTTATTTCTTTCCCCCTCTCTAACTTCGTTTCCTCTTCTTCTTCTTCTTCTTATTCCTCTTTTCCATCGCTCTCCTCTCGACTGCCTTGCCACTCTGGTCGTCTTTCTTAATCAATCCCCCTCCTGTCTCACGTGCAGTGTAACACTTTTTCCACATTATTACTCCGTACTCTGCCTTTCTTTCTATTCTTCCACCCAATCAATTTACCAATTGTCCGTATTATTGCTCCGTCCGTTGTAGCATCACCAGCGGCGAGTTAGCAGTCAGACAAAAAGCGTTTGTCTATCGCTCATTGCCTTTCGTCCGCTATTATTGTCCAGTACGAGCCACCGCCGAGAATTCCCATGGGCTCTGTGCTACTGTGATACTTGTTTTCGGTCCTCCTTGAGAGCCAACCCCGGGCGCTCGACGCCCTCATGCTAATATTTAGGCGATCAACCAGAACCGCCCCCCGGCAGCTGCTTGTCGCCCGTTTTGGAGCTGCATCCGTGCCATCTGTGCGAGCCCTTGCCTTGCTCCAGCGCTGCCCGCCATGCCGACCTCCAACACCTCCTCCCCTGTCAAGCGTCCAGGTCTGGCCCGCCGCGCTCTTTCGTCCCACGCTGTTGTCACGCGAACCTCGTCGGACTCGTCGGATACATACACAAGCACCGCCAACACCACCCAGAAAGCGTTAGCCCATCGTCCTCGAGCCCATGTCGTCGGTGGCGGCCATCGAACTCACGGTCGCAATCCGTCCTTTGGGAAGAACTTGAATAAACTCCAGCGACATACTTCTGCGGGACACATTGCTACCGAATCTACAATCCGTCATCATCAACGCAAGAAATCCGCACCCGCAACTCCTATAGCCAGTCCTCGCGGTGGTCATCACGTACGTTGGGATAGCGGAGTAGATGCCAGCCAAGCTGCAACATCGTCGATCAAGAGAAATAATTCGAGTCCTGCCCTGCGAAATCCCCGGCGTAACTCTTCCAGCGTTTTGGCAAAGAAAGCGTTGGTGACCGATCGCCCTCATACCAGTTCAGGAAAGAAGAAGACCGTGGGTTTCGAACTCGGAGATTCAGATCAAGACGAGGAGGGTGAATGGGAGGATACAACGCAGTCACCGGAGAGCACGAGGCGAGGCTCGGTCGCTCAGTCCAGGGATAGCGTGGATAATACTGCCGTCCTAGTCGACCCTCTGACATTTGTCAAGCGACCTTATCCGCAAACCCCTCGAGCCGCAAGTAGTCTGCCTGAGTCGGCTTACAGGAGCTTTTCGCGAGAGGATCACTCTTCTGATGAAGACGAACAGCAGCAGCAGCAGCAGCAGCAGCCAGAACAGCAACAGCAACAACCGCAGCAAGAACAGGAAAAGCCTCCATCCGATTTCGAAGAGCGCAAGGAAGAAGTCTCTCGAGTCATCGATCATACAACCGACATTACAGCCCGCTTGTTGAGCCCGTCACATTCTGCCAGAGCACCACCCGCGATGTCCTCTATATCGGCTACAGTGAAGCCAGCTCCGGTGGACACTATCTCACGAAATGCGTCATTGACCAATATTGCTGGCCATGACGGCTTGCGGCGTCCTCTATCCTCTTCGACCACAACACTAGCAAACACTCCAGGCGGCCTCGCCCACGGGACATCATCGTCTATGGAAGGGGGTGTTTCACGGTTCATCATCAACAACAAGACAGGCGTCCATGCATCGTCGTTGGGCCGTACTGACTCGGACCCTAACACTCCATCATCCTTTCTGCCACACTACCATCCGCAGACTCCGCCTTCTCCCAATCGCGGTACAAGAAGGGCCAAAGCATCTCCCCCGTCGCGACCGCCTGGCGCCGAACCTCCTTCTCGTACTCAGCAGAAGCTCTGGTTGCAAAGAACCGCGGCGTTGAACACATCTCCGCCCGACACCCATGGCATATCAGCAACAGTCTCTCCTGCGGCCAGGGATCCGGTTTTCGTTGCTGGAACCCATGGCCGTGCAGGTTCAGCTGTCTTCGATGCCGGCCGAGCGCTCGTTAACGGGTCCTCCCGAACCGGAGGCGACACCGAAGCCAAGCATATCCGCAAGGCCTACGAGAAGACCGCCTTGGAACTCACCGTTGTCCGGAGGTTCCAATCTCCAACAGGCAACAGCTTCGCTCGCCTGGCCGGCATTCTCAATGACTCCAAGGCCCCTGCATCTTCCTCTCATGAACGCACATCTTCCCTAGGCAAACCCATTAAGTCCGCGCCTGCGTTGACTCAATTACAACAAGCCAGCAAACAGCAGAGAGACTCCGCGAGCCCTGAACCCAGACAACTACTCAGCAGAAAGACCTCAGACTTGAAGAATTCTGTCTCGCAAACCTATCTCGACGATGTCGACGATGCTAAATCCCAACACCCTGCCCAGCGTATCCTCTCGACCTCCGATGAAGCCGCCCACGGTACTTCTGCCACAGGCGACGATTTCAGTACCAGCTACCTCACTAGCGAATCGGACTTGATGATCCGCCGCATGTGGGAGAGTCGCGAGGTGGCCACATCCGGCTAGAATACACGCACTGTCTCGTCCGCCCTCCATTGATCCATATTTTCTTCCTTCCTTCTCTATCTTCATTTAAGTAATCACGGTGTCCGGTGCATCAATCCTATCCCATCAGAAGCCATATGAATGGGTTCTGAGTCAAATAGCAGGAATGGCATATGTATCGATTGCGGTTGTCTTCAGCACCCCATAGTTCTCTTTTTACTTCTTCCTCCTCCTCCATCTCTTTGACTGTGGCCTTTCCTGCAGTTTACCCTTCTTCTCGGGCATTCTCATGAACGTGTATAGACTTCTTCCATTTTTTAATAGTGTACTTAAGTACCCCATAACGCAGACTCAATGAATATGTTAGTCAAACCACAACTTATACTCGAAAGTAGAGGGTATGCTTGATGCAGATACGATAACCTTTAAAGCAATCATTCTAAAAAACCAAACAAGAAAAAAAAAACGAGAGAGAGAGACAGAAGAGAGAAAGAAAGAATAGTGAATGATAGCGGCCACCACGTTATCATATCCTGGTAGGAGGAGACGCTAAAAAAAACAAGAAAAAAGAATTCTCCCCGACAGGGAGTCGAACCCTGGTCTCCCGCGCTCGTTCTCATCAGAGTGACAAGCGGAAATCATGACCGTTAGACCATCGAGGATATTTGATGTCTGATCTCGAACTTAGAAATATTATGATCCTATTGAATTCTTTTCAAGCCAAGTCAGAGATATTCTGCAAGTCATTTGGTAAGGAATATGACGGACCTATTGTATCTCTATATAGTGGAGATGGTTGATTTCAATATAGAGCAAAAATCTATGTCTAGCCGCCTTTTGTTACCCGACGACATTCCAACACTTAAAAACAAGACGAAAAAGAAAGAAAAGAAAAAGTCGAAGACCAGGAGATGGTGGTTGTACAGCGCAGGATGGTTATATGGGGGTATATTAGACATGAGTACCGAGAAGAACGCCATGCGCACAAAGCCAAAAAAGAAATCCTTCACCCGATATTCATCTAGCCTTGGGTATTCTGATCGCGTGGGTTTCCCTTTCCGCGGTGGCCCCCTCTACCACCGCGACGAGCATTGCCACTGGCACCCATATGGTTCCCATTTGGTTTAGGCTGCTGGCCGTCTCGACGGGGGGCAGGATGCTTTGGCTCATTTTCGAGACTCACGCGGGAAAGCTGCTGCGTTAATCCGGAAGCGCCTGCCGCGGTCTCCGGGACCTTGCCGCGTTTCTTGCGGTTGCCAGGGCCTCTGCCTCGTCCGCCGCGGCCGCCTCTGCGTTCGCTGTCGGTTTGGTCGGCGGCGGTGGTGGTGGTGGTGGTAGTGGCAGGGTCTGGGAAACCTTGGACGCGCCTGCTCTCCTTATCCCACCACTCTTGAAACTGCTGCTCGAGCTGGATGTCATCAAGATTATGCTTAGCTGTGGCTGCCTCCCGCAGTTCATCCTTCTCAGTCTGTTGCTGCATCAGGATTGCGGCGAGGGACAGTGAGTTAGGAGATGGAGAGTGGAAGCTGGTTTGATAAAGCTCGGGGCGTGGTATATGACGTATAGATTGAATAGCAGGTTGCGCGTTACCGAGAGAAGCAGGAGATGCGGGGGATGCGGCAGGCGCTGCTGAGGATGGCCCAGAGGTCGAAGACCTAGCGACTGGCTGTGAGCCACTAGATGCGCCGCGGGTTGGATGAGGTGACGGTGTTGCAGTGGGTGTCGACCGAGGCGGCGGCGTCCCTGCAACTGTTTGACGAAGAGTCATAGAAGGTTTTGGACCAAGCTTCGCTGGTTGAGAGGGTCCGGTGTCCTTTGCCTCAAGACAAAGGGGGCTATCGGGATTGCCCGGTGTCTTGACCGGAGTAGACACTTTCCAAGGATTTTGTACAGCCTCCTTTGCCTTCTGCTGAGCTACAAGCTTCTCATGCAGCTGCTGTTGCTGAAGCTTCTTTCTTTCCTTCTGAGATAGCTTTGAAACAGAGTTGCTGCTGCTCTCACGACGCGCTGACATGCCTAAACTGAGGTTTGACACCCTCTTCTCCGAAGCTTCGGTCATTATATCTTTCAACTCTTTCTTTGGTGTCGAGACGGCCGAGGAGGCCCAAGGGGTCTCGGAGGTGCCAGATGAAGGATAGCCATTCTGTTTCTGTTGAAGAGCAGCGGCTCTGAGTTCTGATGGCGATGCAGACAATGTGTTATCTTGAAGAGATGGAAAGGATTCTTCTGGTAGTTCCCGGTTCCTGTAAAATTGTCTGTCGTTCAGGCTGGTGCCCAACGCCGACGAATTCGTGGATGGCCGGTTCTCATTTGATCCTGCAGCTCTCGTTCCACGAACTGCCGCCTTCCCTTTCACGGAATCTGCTGGTGACAGCAATGGATCGTCGTCCATCTGGAACATCAAGTCACTGGTTGATTGTCTTGATTTGAGAACTGGACTACGAGGGAGGTTTATGTTCTCCTTCAGGATGGCTTTGGTCCTCTGCACTGATGGCGAAACAGCCGACTTTTCATCAGCGATAGGCCGTGACCTATCCTCTTGGCCCTCCAAACGGCTAAGGCGTGTTTGAAGCCTCATTGAGTCTATCGTCCGCCGCCGATCTGCTTGTATCATCGTGATGAGCTCTGGGTAAGTCTCGAACATGTACTCCTCGGAATTACGTCCTCGTGACACCGGGAAGCTCGCAAGTTGATTTTCATGGCAGATAGTATCAAGAGCATCGAGCATATTGGCATCGAGCTCTTTGAGATATCTATGCAAAATGTTAGAGCCCTTGTGCAAACCATATTGGACGTGGGGCACCAACCTGTGTGTCAAGAGTTCTTCCAAATTTAGGCAAATGTACTCCAGCGCAGCATCTTTGAATTCCTTCACAGCACAGGGCGAGATCGAATTAAGGAGGCCACACATGTTGTTGGTCGTCACTAATAAATTTCAGTCAGCCATGTTCGTACTTAGGTAGTTCCGAAAGGCTGCCATACCAAATCTACCAAGCAACCTCTGACAAATCTGTGACAGTCGGTCGATCATCAACTCATTTGCGACAAATCCAACATCAAGCACAAGGTCAATGAAATCATCCAAGTTTTTCGACCGAACCTCATCAAACAGCTGCTCCTCCATATCCGTGTATATATACCGGAGAACAAACCCAAAGACAGACTGATCTATGTGTTTGAGATCAACACGAATGCGTTCAGTTGCATCAGTACGACGCGAGGCTAACCATCTTCCACTGGAGCGTCCATTGAAAAGGGTATCAAAGAAAGGGCATCTCCGGCAAAGAACCTGGCTGTGGGCCTTCATTGTCGCACCATCAAGCTCAACGACTACATCACAGCTATCAAAAAAGGATGGGTCGTTGAAGGCACGGATCATATCAGTTTTGAGGCTCTTCGAAGGCTCTATCATCAGCCGTGCAGCTCGTTCCAGACTCGGCAAACATAAGTACGTCGCGATGCGCATGATTTCAGAGCGGACCTGGCGGTAACGTAGAGCGGCTTCGGTCGTGGTTCTCATCTGATGCCAATAGTCTAGCATACTGTCTGTGTACAAGAAGAAGGCTAGATTCAAGACCGTAAGAAAATCAACTCCTTTGAATCGCACATGGCATTGCCCTTTAGGTCCGTACTCGATGTCCAGGACATCGGGTACGGAGAAGTAGTAAGCCTGTCGAAACTCGTGGAATGCCTTTCTCAGAAACGAACTGCGTCCAGCCATGACGAATTCATGAACAGGGATTTGGGCTTGAGAAAGCGAGCTCATGAGATAAATCATTCCCTCTGGAGCTTCGGGTTTCGTCGGTTGAAAGTGAGATTCGATGTCTGAGATTGACATCGTCGCCCGCTTCAATGCAGCAACAGACCTCATATCCAAGAAGTTGTCTTGTAACGGTGTGACGTTGGAGACTAACGAGGCAAATGGTGATAGCGGAAGGAAGTCTTCCCACAATGTACTTCGATCGATACTTATCTGTTCTTTGGTCACATCGCACTCGCGCTGAGCTACTGCGTAAGCACCAAAAGCGTTGCTGCACACTCCCACAACGCGAGATAAGCCTGGTACACGGGAGAATTTATAATCTTTCGACAGCCCATCCTTTGCTTTCCTTCGTTTCTCTTTCGTCCAGGCGGAACCGGACGCTGTGCAGATGATAATTGACCCATCTTGTCCAACATCAACATCTCTAACTGCCATATGCGATTTTTTCACGGCCCATACCCGAACTGGAGATGATAAGGAATTGCGAGTTTTGGAAGGGTTTGTAGTCGAAGCAGAGATTGGCGGGTTCTCTGATCTATTGACGCGTAGTGTGAAGACCTCACCAGAGCTAGACAATGCACAGATAGTATCTCCTCCAGATTTAACTTGCACAATACAATTGACTGAAGTGTCGTAGCGCGTAGCCATGAAGCTATTTCTGATGAAGTTCGAGCTGGAGTCCAAAGGAAAAGAGACTTTGGTATAACCGTATTGGGAGAACACCCAGACTTCATGGTTCTGTAGAAGAACGACTGTGGCGTGATCAATGGCGGACACGCTCTGTATCCCGGCGCTGAACAAAGAAGCTCCTACCCGCCGAGGCGTGACCTGTAACTCGAGTGATCGTGCGTCAGAATCAACAAGTCCGAGCTGGCCTTCATTTTTGCCAAAGGTGTAAAGGCCAGAGGTACTGAAAACCACGGAATGAATTGCAGATGCAGCTACCCCAAGGATGACTTCCTTCTTGAATGGGTTAAAGATTTGTCTTGGGGACGTCTGGATAGGGACATCATCCCGATTCTGCGTCCTGGGAAGGCTATAGCCTAACTGACCAAACTTATTACTGCCCCAACTAAAAACTTCACCGTGTTCAGTGAGAGCGAGAGTGTGGTCTTGCCCAAGAGCGACTGAGATCACCTTTCTATGAGCGAGTCCGCCAGTCTCAATGCAAACGAAGTTGAACCGCGTGGATTCGTCGCCGGTTCCTAATCGGCCACCAGGGCCGAAGCCACATAGGAAGAGATTTGACTCAGGATCATTGGTAAGGACAGCGGTGTGAAGTTTGGACATGGCAATAGACTGGATCTTGATAGGCTTGCTCTTAATCAGTATCGGCAGGTCTGCATTACGATTCATATCCTCGTGGGAGTTCAATGTGCCTTCATCTGCTTGTCGCTCTTGAAATTCACGGTAGAATCGTCGTACAAGGTGCTCAGGACGTGTGAGAGTGATCCTAACTGGGAATTGACGATCATCCTGATCTCCCAGGCCAAGGTTCAAGTTCTTGTTGCTTCCGAATGTGAACACCTCGTCGGCAGAAAGATTCGTCCGCGGCTTCAGGGAACTTCTACCGACAAGGCTATCCTCGCTTTGATCATCGAGTGACGGCGCGTCCGACGCCACATCACTTATCTCGGAATCCAGGACCACAGGCCCAGAAGCCACCACGGAAGAGATGATGCGCTTGATGTCCCGAGAAGCAATGGTGGCACTGTAAACATCAAACGGACTATATCCTTCTCGATCTTTGATTTTAATCAAACCTCCGCTTGGATGACCCGTATTTCCTGACTTTGCAAAATCCGTCGCATCGCTCCAATCTCGGGCCATCAAGGCCTGTGCTATCGTGCCATTTCCTGCATAGAGCGCTCGATGTAGGGCTGTCCATCCACTCTCCCAATCCTGTGCGTACAGATCCAGAAAGGGAGCTTCGAGGAACGAGACGGCGAACTGGATCGCAGACGGCTTCTGGGAAGAGGCAACAAGATGGAGGAGAGTTCGACCGTGATGATCTCGCGCGTTCAACTCTGCTCGGGACAATATCTTGCCAGGACGCGTGGCACCATTTCGATCCAGAGTGGGCGTCCCAGGGGATGTCCCGCTCAACTTTCTGCTTTTGGAAGCGATGGGAGAGGATGTTGTCAATCCTCCGGGACTTCCGACCTTGAAGCTTGCAGTTCCTCCGCCACCAGAATTTCGCTGGCCGCCAGACGTATAACTGGCATTCGCCAGATATCGCCGGAAGCTCTCGACATCATCTCGAAGAAAAAAATCCCACAGTATGCTACTCATGTGCCCAGGATGATAATATGTCAGAATCTCTTATCGGCCCAGGACCAGAGCGTCGGGGTAACCACTGAGGGCCAACGGCGCACTGGCAAGAGTTCTGCGGACGACAGGAGTATTCTGACGCGGGGAAGAGGGGTAGGCGTGCGGCGAGTTTCGACGCGTAACCAAAATCTCTCCGTTTGTCAACGCGCGATTTATGTATATTTGATGCACCGATTTTCGAATCGCGAAAAGAACCGCTCCGGGTTGGTGCTGAAATGTGTCGTGAATTGTAGAGTGCGGTGGCGATGACAAGCGATGGAATGAGCAGCTCGGTGCAAGTAATCAGCGTAAGGGAAGGGCGTCAGAAACGAACGGCGGGCTTCGTAGGAGATGCGCGACAGCAATACTGGGATAGTTGAGGGTATTCGAGACTGAAGAGAGGCGACTCAACCGGCAATTATTGAGGCGAGGTCTTTCTGATGCTGATTTGCAAGGACAGCGTCCATGATACTGTGACTGTCCAAGCCGTGGATAAGACCAGCGGGCATCGGCCAATCGGGAGTTGTGCGTCCCTCCATGCCCCCAGACGAGAGGTCGAGAATTATCATCATCGAGACCATCGATCCCTCCTCCTCCTTGCTATTTGACATTTTGAGACCAACTAGATCAAAGATGTCCTTCATGTGTCTGATTCTAACTGGGGTTTCTGGGATGAAACCTTGTCATTGGGGTGGTGAAGAGGAGGGGGATGCCAACATCACTAAACACTAGCTATATATATATATACTTCGACAGTGGCATGACATCCGGATTGACAGTTATCACCATACTGAGTGATAATGTAAGTATGTCTTCTTAGAAGATACCAGACTCAATGTTTTCGATGTGTAGGTATCTCGCATCTCCATTCAACCATCGCTAGACAGCTTTGTCTATGCGAATCTCGATCACCCTTCCAACACTGCCTTCTCTGGGCCACAAGGGATCCAGGAGTGACAGGTTCAATATGTATTGTCAAAAGAGAAACCTTGACCGGATTTAAAAGCGATATTTAGAAGCCGGAATGCAAGGAGAGTCAAACGAGAGCGACGAGGACACGAGTCAGATACGCATTCCTGGAAAGCGACATGCATCATGGCCACTATCATACTAGCTGGCGCCAAACAACAGCATCGGCGTGGAAATACAGTGAAGAGACACTGCAGGCGCTCACTTGCTAATTGGAGGGAAACAAGCATGCGTATTATGTATCATTGGGACTCCTATACAAAGGCTGCAGACTTGACAACTGCCGCTTAGCTGTCTTATGTCTCGTTGTCGCGACGGCATAATTAAGAGAACCGGACCCTTCAGACTAGCTGCATTCAATCTTGGCTGTACGATCCTCCTTGGCGAAGGAGGTACTTTTGCTCCCCTTCTCCCTTTCCATCATGCAGGTTGTTTGTCTGATCCTCCCTGCGGCCTGCCCAGCAACAAGCCAACGATTGCAGATGGGGCAACCAGTCCTAGGCCTCCAGCTCCCAGGAGCTGGGTTGTACCTTATATATCGAATGGCTGTTGGCGTTGCTGAGAGCCTTAGATAGGCCGACCCATAGTGATACAATCAAATCCCGATGCCAAGCTCTTCGGGGAAATTGAGCTGGCCAGAAAAAGCTCCGATCTAGAGACGCAGATGGTGAAGATCCATCATACAACTGCAAAGGCGCGATGTCCTGGCTACGCAAGTACTTGATAGGTACGTAACTCTCTAAGGCGATCTATCTATCAGTTATCATGTTTTCGGCAGGTTAGTCCGTTTGTAGATAGTTCCAAGTCGATAATCATCGTCTCCTAGCGCAAGCGGCAGACCAGGGTTGATAAACTAAGGGACTTGAGTGTCGGAGCTTGTATGAATCAGAGTGCCAAGATACTAACGAGGTACCTTGCTGTCATTGCAAGCACAGGTGACTTGCTCACTTGTCTAGTCTGCCTTTCTGGAAAGAGTGAGTATCTGTAGAAAAGCAATGAAAGAGAAAATTGAGGTGATCTGAATCTGATCACATATCTATGTCCTACCTTGGTTACTGGTGATACTGTCGGTGACACAGTTGCTATTATTATTGAACTGTCACTGTATGTAAAATCCACCTGATCCACCTGACACTCTTTCCTTATCTACTAGTAAGCTACTCCTGATAACTAGTCTAGTACAATTGATAGCAGGTACCGTGACCAGCGCCCCATTTCCATCCTGTTTCACTTTCATTACAGTTACATTACCATACTGTCATTGCTTTACCGCCTTCTCCAACTCTCCTTGTGATAGAAATAAATGACAGTGAGCACCTCAACTTCAGGACGTTGAAAAGAACATGGAGAGGATAGCTAGAGCGAACGTGAATCCCTTGCTGAATGCCAGCGTAACCTGTAGCAGAGCCTCCTTATTTGCCCCGTTATCCTCACCATTCAGCCTGTCGTGGCACTCGTCAGCCTGACCGACCCTCGCGAACTATCGAGTCACCGGGTGTGCGTCACAGACCCTCCGCTCCCATACGCTTGATCTGCTGTGCCTCGCCGTATCTCGCTTCCTCTCTTTCTCTCTCCTCTTCAGCTGTTTTCCATCACTTCCCATTCCTTTCCCTCTTCTTGAACGTCGAACCATCAACTTTTACTTCCTCTGCATCCAATCCCTCTTCTCGAGTGATCATGAATCCTTGATTTATACCGCGCTCTCACATCCGAGAGAACGCCGTGCGGCCCGAACGATTAGATTGGTCTAGTCAATCAATGCGGAGAAGCTCCCAGGGTGCCTAGATTGTATGCTCCGAATGCTCCAACATCCTGTTGCCTGAGCAGAGCAAACGATGCCATCGGCGATCTCTATCTATCTTGACACCAGTGCCTGTTAATTAGCGCCTCATTTTTCTACTTCTTTGTGGTCCTGTCCAGCTAGCTCTTTACTTCCCTTCGTCCTTATCTAATCGATCCGGTTACAGCTCTCCTTTGATTATGAGCATGGCCTTCTGTATCAGAACTACCGCCTTTTCATTTACTTTCTAAACAGACCGGTCATATTACTGGAGTTCGATACCCACTGTCGATATTTAATAAGTGTGCTTCCCACAGCTTCACACGGACGATCTCCGGTCGTTGCGCGATGCATCAACATCCTCGTTCGCCGGCGCCTGTGGCGCCAACATCTTCAACAAGGTCGACTCGTTCAACAGATCACAGAGAACTAGACACCGGACCGAACTCTCCAGCTCTAGACGTTAGAATGCACAGCAGTCGAGGCTTAGGGATTGAGACCGGACCTGAATACGAGCAGACACAGCGAAATCCGCAACCCGCCAAAGAAGCACTGGGGAAGCTCAACCAGATCATATCGGTAGGCTTGTTATCCAGCCCTCACACTCAGTTGTATGCCACCAAAGGCTGATAATATCGCACTGCATTCACATAGAATTATCACACAAAAGCCGCACTGATCATATTACATTCGAGGGTCGAACTTCCGCCGTCCTTCAATAAGGGTTCCGACACCCCAAGAGTGAATCGTTGGGTACGTAGGCCTCTTCTCTGTGGATGCATTCTGCTTGTCTTCTCTGAGGACATGGGAGCAACGCCATACCTGGGTTTTGAAGCTAATTCGCTCTTACCCCTGACCCAGTTCAATGTCGAGATCGAAGATACAGATATTCTTAGGGAGCAACTGCGAACGTGGAGAACGAGTGATGCAACCGAAAACCGGCCGCCACCGTTGGTTATTGAAACATATTTGGACACCAAAGGCCTCACAAATAACCAAAGCCTTGTCGTCTTGGATGAAAATGGGAAGAGATGGGATGTCCTCGAAGCTATTGCTACTTCAGGACAGGCCCATCCTGTAAGGCCATTACAGTCAAATTCTGACGATGTCATACTTGAGCGGTGGAGGGTCGAGCTGGGGCCGGCGTCTTCCAAGCCACCGGCTGATCTTGGATCCATCCTACCAACCGTGTACAAGAAAAGCATCGTCCTCTTTCGCTCATTATTCACGTACTCCAAATTTCTTCCAGCTTGGAAATTCGCAAAGCGTAACGGGAGGCTGCGCTCTAACCCCGCTTTACAGATAAAGTATAGAATTTTGGATGGGCGCACGGTTTCGGAACGCTCGAAAGCTGATCACTTGACGGTTCCGCTGTACGAGGGGACCAACAAGGTGGTAGACACGTATAGCTTTGGCGTGACAGACTCACCTGCAGGCCCTTTCTCGGTTCAAGTCACCTATCGGATCAACTGTGATTTCCGGGTGGATGATTCGGAGGCTCTCCTGAGTTCCCGCTTCATGGGGGCAGACGACGAAATCTTTCGACCGTCGCTCCCATCCAGGGAGACAAGTCGGAGGCCACCCGACCCGGAACCAGGGTCAGTACCATTAACGAAAAGGACCGTTGAAGATCCAGATCCCAGCCGTGCTTATGGCAGTCTATCCACCTTCCACCATGTTGGACCTACGACGAGTGCCAGTCCATTATCGGCTCTGAGAGCTGCGAGAGAATCTGGAGCATCGTCTCCCTCCCCGCCTGCTTCGGCGTCTCGAAGGCCTTTGTCAATGGCCAGAATCAATCCTGCTGGGCGCGCTGCTGTTCTCGCTGGGGAAGGCACCCCTAGTGCTGTAAGAAGGCCCTCTATTTCCTTTCAGCCATTCAAGGCACCTCCTCTTTCTGCATCTCCTTCACTTGTGGACCCACCTCTTGGTGTCTCCCCTCGCTCAGCGCCAGTAGCTCGTGCGTTGAATTCCGAATCCAAGAACATGCCTCCTCCCTCAATAGCAGCTTCGGGGCGCAAACCTGGGTCAGTTGTTCCCGAGGCTGCGATTGCGTCGTCCAACTCAGCGTCCCCAAGACCTGCTCCTATCGCGAGGTACAGTAGCGCTTTTAGTCACCGCCGGGGTAGACCTTCTTCTGGGGGGATCAACAGGGTCGAGGATGACGCTTCTAGCGGTAAAGCTAGCGCAGCATCGCCTGGCGCTCAACCTGGCTCTGGGTTGCTCGCGGAGGTTACTGGGACGAGCGCAGACTCTCTGCATGCTGATGATGAGAACATTTCCGATTTCTTGAAGATGCTTGACCTACGGAAGGATCTTTTAAATCCCTCTAACACATCTACCCTCGATGCCACCGCCCGAAGGACTACTGCCACGAGTGCCGCTCTCAATCGGTTTCAACGAATGCGTGAATCCAATGCCGCGCTTTCGGATTCAATGTCGTCGTCATTGCTACTGCAACGCTCGTCCAATGCCTCGAGCAAGCAACTGTCGGGGGTCCCACCCATGGTAGCTGGTGCATCTGTGTCGACAGCGTCGTCACCTGGAAAGCCTATATCTCCTCACACCCCGCACACTCCCGCTATACCTTCTCGACTCAGCTCCCACAGTATTGTTGAGTATAATGATCATGGTAACACTGGCCATAGAATCACTCATGAAGATCTTTCCTCACTACCCGAGGGTACCACGGATGATGGTACGTCTCTGGTACAGCGACCTTCGACTGTCAATGCTATTGATATACCTACGTCTCCGCGATTGTTTCCTCCCGCGTATCGTCGTTCCAGCTCTGCTGCTCAGAACAGACGTTCGGTCGTGGCCGATGAGGAGGAAATATTTCCGTTCAATATGCGTAGTGTTAGCCTCGGCGCGGAGGAAAGAACACAGATTAGTCTGAGCGCGCTTCATCAGCGACATGAGTATGAAAGTGCTGCTGCAGACTCCGGCCAACAGCAGCAGGAAAGCGAGCGTCCTCCATCATCATCTAACGAAGGGGCAACCGCACCATCAGGCCCAGTGCATCGCGGAGTCAGCTCGCGAAGGGTTGCAACGACTTCTGAACAGACGGCAACATCGTCTTCGTCTAACAATCTCAACCTTTACCAACCGCGTGCAAGCCACTCGCGTGGCCGGGGATCTTTTGGTGGCCCCCACTCACTGAGTTCTGGCTCAGGTAGCCTGGCTCGCGGTGGTGGCATCCCGACCTATCTTGAGCGTGAGACTGACCGTGATGGCAACGCAAGCGGAAGCAACAGTGGTAATTCAGCGATGGAAGAACGTCGAGGGTCTGGACGGCGGACAAGTGCCGGCCGCAACTATCCTCCACATTCTGGGCAGAATGACGAGGACGAACCTTTGTTGTTTGCCATGAGTGATTTTGGTGGCGTTTCTCGACGGAGCTTTGAAGACGGAAGACATGGCAACCATGGAGTTGACTCAAGTGGCCATGCCAATGGTTCAAGACGTGGCAGCGGCAGACGTAATGGTGGCCTTCCAGGCTTTCATGTGTGGTCTTGAACAAGCCGAGTGCATTCTCATCCTTGGCCACAGTGAGCAGCCATTTGCGTTCTTCTTCAGGTTGCCTCTCTTATATCCTGCTCATAGTGCGGCCAACACCCTTGGGATACCACGCAGTGCAATATCGAGACCAAAGGCCATCCTGCCAAATTATAGACGCGAATTTCTTAGGCCATACTCCTGACGATGACGACATTCATGCTTTTCTACCTTCGGCCATCTTCTGGGAAGATGTTGTCTTTTTTTCCTTACCTTTTTTTTTTTTTTTTTTTTCTTCTTCTTCATATATCTTATTCCCCTTGTGTGGTGGGCACCGCTTCATCTTATCACATCGATTTTTTTCTCTTCAAAATTTCTGGTACTCATTCAGGAATGAACTTGGAATTTGTTCCCTGCCAATTATTCGAAGGCGGCTATCTCTACCTTTAGACTGAGCAGGGCAGCGAATGCAGTTGGCTAGGGGATTAGAATGGCACATTTTGCTTTTTCTCCATGTTTTAAAAGATTGGTCTTTGGTTTGAAGGGTTCTTTGCTTGTTTGAGCCTGTTATATTGCTCTACTTCTGCCTGGGCCTGGAATTGGGTATACTCATCCTGCCCTGATTTTGTTTTTTGGCATGTCCATATACGGTGTATTTTGGGAAGCAAGCAGGGGCAGTATGGCTTTTGTTGTTCCTTGCTAGGCAGGCCTGGATACGTCTTGGGAGTAGGAGGTTCATCTCTTTGTCTTTCCCTTTTTTGGTTCGACCTGTTACTGGATTAATTACTTATACAATGGAAGAAAGGTTCTTGATAAACTTTTGTCATGTAATATGTAGGATAAATCAGACCCCGTCCCCTATCCTAACGCCCTGCTATACTCCTTTTATAGGTGCTGGTATATGTACATGATGCTTCTATCAAAATCGAAGCTCCGGTTAGTAACGAGAAGTGAACTTTTGGGAGAACAGCTTTGAAATGTTGGATATCATGAACTCTCTCTGGAAGCGGCTACTTCCATAGCTGAAGATGAAGGGCCCACGGCTTGGGTCTTAGGACAAGAGGAAAAAACCTTGTCGTGGTACCCGAGTGGTAGTGGTTGGTGAATACGGTGCGATCTAAAACGTATCCTGAACAGGACTCCGTTGCCCGGAGGAACCAATATATGGAGTCCGTTGTCGACGAGCTCGTTACGCTGCAGGGACCCGGAACAGCGGGGCCCAGTTCTTGTGGAAAAGGCACCCGCAGCGGCTGTTGCATTGAGAAATGAGAATTGCAGGCAGGTATGATATGCGCTTACATGCGTCGGAAAGTGTTGCCCGACGCGCTTCGGCGCTCCTTGCTCTTGTAATCGCTGCTGACTGTGGGTTGGGCAGGTGCTCTGTTCTGTTTGGACTTGACGTGGGGTGTAAAGGTGACTTCGCGTTCGCCGACGGCGCCGTCGCGGCGTGAGGGTTTGGCCTTTGTGCGCATATTCTGGGCTCTGGAAGCGAAGGAACGGTCGCGAGTGGAATGGCTTGTTGTTGAGGAGGAGACGCGCATCTGAGGCGGGGGTCTGTTGGTGCGCTTGTAGGAGGATGTGGAGATCTTCCCTGAGGACAAGGGCTTTGCCCGCATAGGTCTCTCCTGTTCGCTTTCGGAATCGGAGGTCTCGTCCGAGCTAGAACCGGGGACGTCGTCGATCGCCTCCTGTTCGACGGCGGTGAGGCCACGTTCCTTGCGTTCGGTGGTCTCGGGTGCGGTGCTGGGGTTGATAAGCTGGAATTCTCGCGAGGTCTCGTCGACGGCGAATTCTTCATCCTCGAACATCTTGGCGAAACGGTTGTCGCCCAGTAGACCATCGGCTGGCTTCTCCGATGTTGCGGGAGCATCTACCATATCCTCGTCTCCACCTTGCTTGAGGACGCGCTGGGCGCGGCGACGCTCGTTCTTCTCCTCGATGGCCATGAGCTTCTCGGCCAGTCTCTTGTTAACCTTGACGGCAGCCTTCTTCTTGCCTCTAATTCTACTCTCTCTCTCCTTGTCGATCTTCTCCTTGACTCGCTTAGCGCGCTCTTCCTCCCAAATGTATGGGTTCGTTATCAAGCGAGCCTCCTCATACAGCCGCTGAGCAACGAAGTAACCGTGCATATAAGGCCGCAAGAGATTGGTTCGGCCGATCAAGTGATCCAGGTTCAAGGTCTTCAGTTGAGGAACGGTCAAGAACTTGTAGTTATCGTAGACTGTGCCCGCCTGGCCGGTGCTGAAAGCATTAGGATCATTGGGATCTTCTGCCATCTCCTCGACCAAGTTATCCAAGAATGAGCACCACTTCGGAGCAGGCCCAAGTTGAGGGATGAAGAAGGAGTGTTGCTGACGGCCTTCATTGGCGGTCAAAAGCATGCCACTGTCCTTGCACCAAGCAACTGAGTTAATATCGACGGCAGGCTCGACCGATGTCCAAGGCTTGCCATCCCGTGGATCCCAAATCTTGATAATCTTCTTATCGGAAGAGAGTATCTTAGGTTCCATCGTTTGTTCGCGCGTGGACGTTGAGGGTAGAAGGAACTTTAGTGTGTGCACTGGGAATCCATATCCTTGATCTTTCTTGAGCAAAGGCACGGGCGACCGAAGATCGTATAGGTGAATGAGACCGTTCGATGAGCCGGTCGCAAATGTCAATCCCGAACGATGGAACTCTAGTGCCGTAATTCCAGCCCTCGCGTCATCGGGGCCAGATTGTGTTGGGGGCAACAAGATTCCGGCCCTGCCTTTAGCTCTTGGATCCCAGAGTTCCACCGTTCCGAGAGTAGTACCAAACGCAAGAAGGTTATGACTTTCCTCGGCGATGGCGCCTGTATTCACAGCTCCAGTATTAATACCACCCTGAAGTGCACCACCACCAGCGGATGTGAAGTCATCGCCGCCAACATCTACCTCGAAGCTTCGCATGTACCGACCCAACTCCAGATTGAGCCTGAAGACTTCTCCCATACCATCTTGGTTCACACCAACCGCAGGCACCAAAGCTTCGGTAGACAGCCTGTCGTAGACCAGATCGCGACCATATCTAGGGAGCCTTGTCCTGTAATGGCAGCCCGAGGGCGTGTGGAACTCGAGAGAACGATCGGACTGTAAATGGAGGGATTTAGAGTAGTCGGACGACAGGAGCAGAAAAGTTGTGTTAAGTGCATCTGTATGCCGCGCCCAAGAAAGAGATAGTTGCGGAAGATAGTGAGTATGTATCTGAGGCTTGTATGTTCCTGCATGATAGTAGTCAGTCACGATGTTCCATTCATGTCGCAAATTCCACCAAGGGAGCTAACCTGTGCTCATGACCCAATCGCCATCCTCACTAACGCGTATACAGTGACTAGCTTCTTCGAATTCGAAATCCTGAAGCAATTCTATGCGATTTGCGTACTCCGGATCATTTTTCAAACTGCGCTTTCGCCGTCTCGCAAGCCACTCTGGAAGGGGTCGAGCAGTATTTGACCCCGAAATGGTATACACTGGAACCTCGGATTGATTAGAGAGCTTCATCTTTGCTCAGTCACAATCCCACTATTAGAAAAACACTGAGGTTGCCACAACCACCACAGCAGAAACAATGGACGCTCTCTTGTGATATCGCGATAAAAGAAAAAAAGTCCGGTGGAGACATCGATAGCTGGCCCACGTGACATTGCGGCTGTAGATCCTGTCTGATTGGTCTGGGCGGCCCGAGCCAAACTCCGTCAGGTCTCGATGGCATCGGAGCGCTGGGATTAGACGAGGCCCTGTCTTCATGGCCGCCTCTGGACGATCCTGGATTGCTGATATCATCCATGAAATGATTCTGTACGTCTTCTCTTCATAAACAGAGTCGCCGTGTTAATGCTACCGCTTGGGTCTGTTGCCAGAAAACCCTCCACACTGTTTTGGCTACGATCCTCTGCCTTGCGGAGCAATGGCATCAGAAAGCTGGTCTGTTTACTGACTTCATTGATAAGATTCATGTGCTATGCGCTACTTCCTGGAGCGCGGTTGTCTATCCTTATTTTTCTGGAGATGATTCCACCTTCCAAAACGGATGTTTCCTTGGCTATTTGCAAGAAAAGCCACATCATTTAAATCATGGATTTCCCTGGAGGGTCCATCACAAACATACGCGTCATTGTAGGGGATTTCCCGGAGTTGGTGTACCGAACACGGACTAAATTACAAATCTAGGATGGATTCTCCCATATCTACTGGAGGATTTACACTGAAGATCCCAATATCGCCAGTTCATCGGGGGATGCTCTAGCTAATGGTTACACCATTCTCAAACATCTCAGTCGCCTCAAGGATCTCGAACTGCGGCTGAGAAATCTCGATTGCTTGGTTTCCAGCTATCCTAGGCGACTTGGTCTATGGGTTTTTTCAGCCACCCCGAACTTCGAGAGTCTAGGCTCTCTATGCTCTAATGGAGTGAGCGATGACCCAAACAAGCTCTTCGTGGGAACTGCCACTCTTAAAGGTCCGTACAAAGTCGTCTTCAGTCTGTCTTTTTCATGTACGCCGTATATTGATCGATCATTTAGTCTCAGCTTCTGGAAGCGTCACGTCAAAGGAGCTGGTGAAGAACCTCTCAGCAGAACCTGGAAGCGCAGCCTCGAACCCAGTAGGTGCACAAAGATCCCAGAATGGCCTCAATCCAGCTCGGCGGTTAGATGGTCAGGGCAGTTCAGCGGCGATTTATGCATCCTTCATCTCTGCTGTCACTGGTGCACTAAGCTTTCAATTGATTCGATGTAACAATGCAATCCCACTTGGATCACGTACCCTGTTCACCGCTGTTGGAGGAGACTTCTATGACAATCCAAGAATCGTCAATGATGACCCTACTGCGGTACCTTCGCTCACTACGTTACAAATCCAGCTCACCTCAGTGGGCAAGCTGACTGTTTCATTGCAAACAATATCTCAGCCTGGCATTGTACGACTTTGCAGTCCTCATGTTAGTCCTGCTGAGGTATACAATGTTCAGCCAGGTGCTGACCTATGGTTGTCTCCTAGCGGATCAATTGCAAGGCTAGTCACAACCAAATTAGATACGCCGCTTGCTTCTTCTCCTCCCGGCTCTTCTAATGTTGGCGGTACCACAAGTGCTTCGGCCGTGGCCAACCGCAAGCAGTGGAAAGTCAATGTGATACAGTGGCTTCAGAATTATGGGTTATCAGTGGGTTCTGTGGAGGAAGAACCATGGGTAGAGGTCGAAGTTTGGGAGCCATTCTACTCGAGGTTAGCTGGGGAGACCTTTCGACAAACCGAGGAAGGCTCCTCTGTGCTTCCTCTAAAGCGGATTATATGGCCAGCTAAGTATTGCTTCACCAGAAAGAAGTCGACAGGCACAGAATCTTTTCTCGGAATCGAGGAGCGTTGTCCAGCCTTCAATGAACCTCTGGAATTTGCAGAGAAATGGTTTGCTACGGAACATATAGATCATGGCGAACCGGATACCAAGCCCCCGCCTGGTCAGCAATCAGCCTCAAAGGACGAGGAGATCTCCATATCTAGATCTGATTTTCCAGAAGGAATAGAGAGTCTCTCTCGAGCTGCGGAGTATCCTGACCTGCAGATCTCGAGTCTGGTATATCCTACCCCACCAGACGGCACCTTTCCCATGGGAATACATCCGTCACTGTCATCTGATGCCGCAATTGAAGACTCAGACAGCAGAAATCCTGCGATGTCAAAATTATCCAAGTCTAGACCTACAGAGAAGGTGTCCTCTAAAGATCGATCAAATCATGACATGCTCTTGAGTTTCGGCCCATCACCTGGACTCATAATCGGGTCGGGACTTTACGATACCAACGATGATGATGATCTATTTGGAGAGATGAACCAAAAAGATTTTGGATTCAAGGGAATCACCGACGCTGATTTTAGCTTCTTTGATGATCCTGGCTTCGGCCATATGAGTGGCGATATGATGCTCGATGCGCAAGAAACACCTCAGATTGCTCCTGAAAGTGACGAGCATCTAACTCAGTCGCCTGCACCTCCCCCACTACCAGAACCCCCGTTCATTGAGGAGGCCTCCATGCAGAGGAATATCGCAGAGCAGGACCGGGCCTCTTCTGCTCGACTCGAGGAGGAGGGATCAGGCCTCGCGCCTGGCTCTGACTCTGCTTCCGGTGACATGGACGTATCTTCACCCCGCAAGGCAGATAGCCAAACTATCAGTCCTCCTCTTAGTCCTGTTGAAGTCAAAAAAACACTTTTTTCGCTCTCGAGCGAGAAGAGCCCACTGTCTGTCAATCATGGGCCCATGCAGGGACACTATAATCCTGTTGCTTTCAAACAGGATATGCTGAATTGGGACCAGAAGTATGGAGCAGAGGGCAAGTTCTCAGTCAAGGCCGCAGAATCCAATTCCCCGATGGTCTCCAGCAGTAAAACTGGGGATATACCAACGATCGGCCTTCCCCGTCGCAGCGTGAGAGCGAGAGCTTTGGAGCCCGGCGCTCTACGTGCTACAGGTGGATCGAAGAGCCCGTCAAGCGATCAAGAGGAACCCATACCCTCGGACTCTGATTTTGATTCCACCAGTGAAACGACTGATGACGATAGCGATGGCAACCTTTCCGACAGCGATGCTTCTATCGCCACATTTCCTAATCGCAAAAGAAAACGTGCCAGCTCTCATTCCGGAAGTTCGGTGGCCCTATCCCAAGAGAAATCTCTGGCGAAATCTGAATTAGCGATCACTACACCTAGGACGGACGATTCAATATTCTTGGGTAATTTCCTTTCCAGTTTCTCTGATTGGTCAATGGTGGGCTACTTCTCTGCAACGCAAAGCCAGCTTTCCCCTGTGCTCGTTGGCAAGGATGCTCAAATTCAAGTAGCCCAACTCTTGGTTGACCAGGTCACACAGTCCTCCCTTGATCATAAGATCGATGGGACTTTGGGTGTCTCGAATCTTGAGACGAAGGCGTATTCTCTCCGAACCTTCCTTGAGGATACAGCATTCATGGGCGAGATTGAGAGACTTGATCTCAACGGTTTCACTTCATTGCAAGAAGCTAGTGATGCTTCTCCTCAACCGGCAGTGGCCATGTCGCGCCAATCATCTCAACGCAAAGAGTCCGGAAAGGGCTCAATGTCGAAGCTCGCCCCGCCCCATTTACGTGTCCGTCGTGGCAAAGATTACTTGGAAATTCTATCGCCGGCCGTTTTCTTCTGGGAAACCTTTGGACTAGAACCTGCTTCCGGGCCAAAGGATGTATCTGTCTATTGTATTCACCCTCATATAGCTGCCGAAGCAACGAATGCATTTCTGGAGCGATTAGGCTTGCTCTACTCAAGCTGTAATCTTGGCCAGCATTCGCGGGGGTCAATTTCAGAGAGCTTCGAGCGTGGAATGTGTTCCTGGTACGTTGGTACATCCGGCGAACTCAGCTATCCTTCGATCATGCAATCGCTGAAATCGATCTGCGACAGACTAGGTATGTGATAAGCTCTTTTGATGCGCTCATTGGTCTAATCTTTTCCCAGTGATGGCTCTATTGAAATCCCCACCTAATAGGGACAATGTTGTCGTCTATATCATCAGCCCGTTTAGCAGCGCCGCGGCGTTGGCAGACATTTGCGCCGCCTTTTGGGGTCTTTTCCAGAAGTATATTAGTGGTATCGAGAAGCAACAAGATCGGCAAGCGGATGAACTGGTTTTACAAATCGTTCCATTCGAGTTCACCATGTCGACTGAGTCTTTGGTTGTGCCACTGCAAGCACAATATCTAAACTTGGCCCTTGAGGTCTATAGTCGCTGTCCACCTAATACTTTGCAGCCTAACCCAATCAACTGTGCTCCGCCCATGCTGCTTGCAGAGCCGACTCCGAAAAGTATCAATTTTCAACTCACGCCGGAGGAATCGTCACCTCTCCAGGGAGCAAAAAGCCTTCATTTGGCGTGCTCAAGGAGTCATGACCAGCGTTGGCTCACTGTATCCTGGTCCGACAATACGGGTACTCTTCAGCAAACAATGTCTTACTGCCTGCGCTACCAGAACTCAAGCGCAGCCAGAAGCATCTTGGAAGTGCGCAACGAAATATGGTGTGTAACTAGGAGCATCATGGAAAAGATTCAGGCACGATGGAGAGTCATCATTGTCAATACCGAACCCGTTGATCAGGATGAAGTTGATAGTAAGTTGCTGTCTACGGATATTGCTTTAATGTTGAGATTGGCTAACTCTTCGCAGCATGGACAAGCCTGGTTGAACAACATAATAAGGTGAAGCCGGCACTTGTAGAATTGGCTATTCTCTATGCCAACACCACTCCTGACCTTTATCTCGAACCCCCTCCCTTGCCATTACCCATGTCAATCTTTAATCCACACATATCATCGACACCCGTTGCGACACCCAATCCAAGTGGCAATGTCTTCTCGCCGGAACAGTACGGCAATGCACCAACACCTCCTAGCGGTGCAAATGCTCCCACGCCTACCGAGTTCCCTGCTGATGCCGAATCTGAATCTCTTCTTATAGACATTTGCGATGAAACCTGGGGCGTGATACTGTCACATCGTCTCAACAGTTCTTCACATCTGACAGACTACCGCCCTGCGCTGGCCAGCGGGTATCTCTTTCGTCGAAAGGGCCCTACGGATGCCGACGGCGCATTCTCAATGAATGTGAACTTGATTTACGCGCAGAGGCCTGCTTCTTCCTACGAAGCCTTTCTTAAAGACATTCTCTCCAAGTATCGCGATCTCGCCGCTCTCGCACGTGCAAGGGGCACGCGTAACGTGCAGCAGAACACTTTTCCTTGGCACATTGCTACAGCGGTCAGGGCGCAGGAGTTATTGAGCTACGTTTTGTGAAACTTTTGTTGACTTGTTAGCGGTGCATTGAGGTATATATGTGGCGTTCAGGCGTTGCCTTTCTGTCTGGTTTTCCTTCCTTGTAAATAATTGGTTCTCCTGTTGGTTTGGACGAGGCGGGATATACCACTATGCAGGCATGTTTCTTTCACTAAGCCGGGTTCCTTTCTCTCTGCGTGAAACTTGTCTGGATACTTGAAGATTGTCAACGCACGTACATTGTCACTTCCTGTCCAGTTTCTTCCATATTTTGGAAACATTCCAATTGACTCCCAATGTTGCTCTCTTGGATTATTTCTCAAGTTCCTGCTGAGCTGCTTCTGCGGGTTTTCCGTCTGGCATTTGGTGATTGAAACGGTACACTCTCCATGCATGGGCGACTACACACCTCATACCCTGGCAGGATCATCTTGAATCGATACATACTTGGATTTCCCAAAGCGTCCTTGCATGACAAATTAGGCTCAGATATATAAATTTGATGTCTAGTTCTGCAGAGGCGTCCCTCACACAATTGAAATTTCAGATTCTGTTATCATGACCAACAGTTATATCTCTATTCAGTATTAAACTGATATAAACTTGACAGAGATCTCTTCATTCTCTTGATGTCAAACAACCACTGTCTCTCAGACATCGAAAGTTGCTATCGTGAAGGAGATAAGGTCACCTGATTCTTATCGCGGTGCCCTCAATTCGATTATCTTGGAAAATTTTGAGATGCACATCTATACTAACGACGCAATCTCTAACGTGCGATTGACCTATCGAGGGCAAAATAACTCTCAAATATCTCGAATCAAACCTTGAAAATTCCTTACATACCCAAAAATACTCCAAGAACATCGCTAGGATTTGTATTTTGAGTCCGTGGTCTGTCTCTACTCGAGCTCAAGTTTCCCCGCCACACGCATACCAGTTTGTTCGCATTCAGCCCACCAAACTCAATTAAACAAGGAAATCAATCCATCTACAGAGCGACAGCGCCAAATCATCCGTCTTCCGGCGATATTACACACAAGACGCCCACAATGGCACAGCCCGCATCATCATCTAGCCTCAACCAGGCCCAGCAACCCACCACCGCCGCCTCCTACCTCGATCTCGGCATCACCCTCGCGATCAACAACTGGCCCGCTCTGACGATGGCCGTACAGTCGAATTGGGGCGGTCCCACCTCGTCCGACAAGCGCGACTGGCTCTGCGGCGCCATCTCAGAGATGATCAACGAGCGGCCCGAGACCGACGCAATCGATCTCGAGGACGTGCTGATCCAGGTAATGAACGACGAGTTCGACGTGGTGGTGGATGACGAGAGTACGGGTCCTGTTGCGGCGCAGATCATGGCAATTCGCGAGCAGACGGCGATGGGCGATTTTGCGCTTGTGCAGGAGATGTGGGAGGCGTGGCAGAAGAAGAGCCAGACAAGGGATAATGTTGCTGCGGCCTTCCAGAGGGTCGAGGCTGAGGATGACAACCAGGAGACGGATGATGATGAGGAAGACGATGACGAGGACGTTGATATGGGCGACGCTCCTGAGCTGGTGCGGGCGCCTCGGGAAAAGGTGGAGCCTGAAGTTGACGAGGACGGCTTCACCAAGGTCGTTGGAAAGAAGAGACGATGATTTGTGCTTTTGGTACTTCTGTTGACTTGTATCTTCGGAATGTGATATCCTGGGATAGACACTTGAGATGTGTTCATATTACTTTACGACTGACGACAATCATCCAGCAGATAGGATTGCTGGTAGAATATCAATTTCCAATCACTTTTCTCATTTCCAATTAGAACAAAGCAATAGTGTCTATACGAAGTGGACACGAGGGGGAAAAAAAAATAAACATTGATTCGTCATCATCAACTGAGAGAGGGAGCTATTGGTATATCAACGCGGAGTCTCTGCCCTTCCATTCCTCAGGGACCGCGAGTTTGGAAACTCGCTCACCGTCCTGAGCTTGAGGTGATAAGGTGGCGTGCGAAAGCCGGGGGTATCGGAGAATTGTATATCTAGTTGTCTTCGGTGATAAGCTTGGTGATCATACCGATGGCAATGGTTTGTCCCTGATAAATGAGTCAGTAAATTGGTTGAGACTTGGAGCAAAGAGGAAGCTTACCTGATCTCTCAGAGTGAATCGTCCCATTTGGCTGTAGTCCTCGAAACGCTCGACACAAACGGCACCTGAACTGCTGGTGACCTCGAGACGAGCAATGATCGTTTGTCCCTTGCTGGCGAATGGTGGAGGGCGCTTGCTCTTACGTCCAGTTCCAGGTTCGCACTTGTGAAGGAGGGCGGCGAAAGTGACCTCCTCGACAGCGGAGTGCACGTGCATAACGCAGTTGTAGCCGGCGGTAAGAATGCTCTTAAGCTCAAGGATACGAATTTTAGCCTCGAAAGCAGAAACGCAATGCACCAAACGCTTGGGAGAGCAAAGCACGAATCCAGGCAGGATATCTTCTTCTTCAACGCCACGGAGACGCATGCGGACCTGATCACCACAGGTACCGGTGGCGATTTCGTCTTCAGTCTCGCCGTAGAGAGCAGTAACCTCCACCTTGGTGCGGTTAGGCATCATAATGCAGGTGGCGTTCTTCTTGATCACACCGGCTTCGATACGGCCCTCAACCATTGTTCCCATGTCGCGGTATTTTGTGCTAACCGGCATCATGAAGGGAGCGTTGATGTTACGCTCAGGAGTCTTCATATTAGAAAGGAACTCGAGCAGAGAAGGACCATTGTACCAAGGCGCAAGTTCCTTGGGAACACGGTCTTTGATACCCGTAGTTCGCTGCGCAGAAATGGGCATGCAGGTGATGTCTTCCTTCTTATAACCAAGAGCCTCAAGGAACTTCGAGACCTTGACTGTGCACTCGTCGAAACGAGCCTTGCTCCACTCGACAGTGGGGTCATCCATCTTGTTGACGGCAATAATCAGCTTCTTGACACCAGTGTTTCTCGCCAACAGAGCGTGCTCGCGGGTCTGACCACCCTTTTCGAAACCAGTCTCGTATTCTCCCTTACGTGCGGAGATAACAAGCACACCAATATCGGCCTGGGAGGCACCACCAATCATGTGATGAACATAAGACTTGTGACCAGGAGCATCAAGAATGGAGAAGTGTCTCTCGACTGGACCGTCGGGAGACTGGACAGTGAGCTTGAAGTGAGCACGACCGACCTCGACGGTCTTACCCTTGGATCGTTCTTCGTTGGTCAAATCCAGAGCCCACGAAAGATACCAAGTCTCACGGCCAACTTCCTTCGCATCCTTCTTGTATTTCTCTAGGATTCGCTCATCCACGTTGCCGGTGACGTACAGAATAGAACCGCCGAGGGTGGACTTTCCAGCATCAACGTGTCCGATGAACACAATGTTCACGTGCTCCTTTCTTTCACCATAAATTTCTTTCAGTGTATCCTCGTCGACGTCTGCTTGCTGCTCAATGGCAACAGCATTAGCGTCCCGACCAGTCTTGGCGCCCTCGCCGCGAGATGGGCTAGATCTGCCGGAGGGAGTAGGAGACGATTTGCCACTAGCGGCTGCTTTTTGTTCTGCCTTCTTTTCCGTCTTCTCAATGGCCTTGGCAGCTGTGACCTTTGCCGCTGCGTCGGCAGCGGCAGGGCCTTTGGTATCTCCAGGTGTGGTGGCGCTCGACGGAGTTTTCGAGGCAGCAGGAGTTCCAATCGAGAGGACCTTGGTCTTCGGAGCGGAGGGGGAATCGCTGGCACCGCCGATAGACAGGACCTTCGCCTTAGGAGCGGCAGTGGGAGCGGCAGCGGGAGCGGCGGACGGGAGCGAGACAGGCTTGGGAGCAGGTTGAGCGGGCTTAGATGCCGCTACAGGGGCGGCCTGACGAGGTTGCTGAGAATACTGCTGTTGTTGGTTGTGGCCAGTATACTGCTGGTTGTAAACCTGGTTGTAGCCACCAGGTTGCTGGGCATAGGCACCATACTGACCATAGCCTTGCTGCTGCTGGTCATAAGCGGGGTAGCCACCATAGGCCTGCTGGCCATACTGGCCATACTGCTGGTATCCGCCGTACTGCTGATAACTCTGTCCGGGAACAAAAGAAGAAGCACCAGGCTGGAATGAAGCGGCACCAGGCTGGAATGTAGCAGCACCAGGCTGAGGGCGGGATTGTGCGCGGGCATTCAGGTTCACACCCTCAGCCTGTCTGGAAAGTTCATCCTCCCAGGAATCAGGGGTTTGGTTGGCCATCTTGAAAACTTTTCAATAAAAAACAGTCAAGACAAAAACCAAATGAATGAAAGAAAAAAACTAGCTGAAAGAAAGGGAGAGAAGTTGAGGTCACAAAGAGGACATCCAGTAAAGTGAGGGGCGTTTTTTGCGAGTATGATTTTGCACCCGATGACTCAGCATTGCTGTTCACCGCCTTCGCGCCTGTCGCGTTTGTAGCGTCAAGGGGGCTTTGCATTGTTTGCTCTCTTGGGATTACTGCTCCCTGCCAATATAGTGGGGTCATATGTCACTTTTTGTAGAGGAGAAAGAGTTTCTGGTCGTTAGTAGTGAGAAGAGGGACTGCCATTCTGTTTCTGCTCTTCATGGTCTTCATCTCTGCGCTGAAGCCGCATTGGGTGGCTTGTTATCAATAAGCGATTGCACAGTTTCAGGGGCCTCTTGCTTTCTATTGTAGGTAGACGGTCTACCCTAGCTAGGTAGATAATTATTTGTTATAGTTTTTTAATATTTAATTATATTACTAGTTCAAAAATACTTACTAGGCTATCTTGAATAAAAGTAGATTATTTATTTATAATTGATAGATTTCTAAGTCACATATTTAGAATTCCTTAATCTATTAATAAGCTAGCCACTGGTATGGCGAAATCCAGTTGTGTTGAAATGGTCGGTCGAGATGCGCTTTGAGAGGTCGTGTAGCGACCGAATCAAGTCCCAGAGCTTCGAGGGAAAATTCGATCCTCCTGGGAAGCGGCATGCCATGCCAATGACGGCAATGGGTTCCTGCTCTGGGCCAGCTATCGTGATGTTGTACAATCAAGGATGTTCAAGTACAGCGCTGTCTACAGTAGACGTGAAGGAGCTCGGATGAACTAGAATCCTGTGCAAGAGTGGGGGGAAAGAATAGTCGCATAGACAAGCAACGAAAAGGCCGACTGAGCAATGCACCTGATGCAGAACCGTGGGATAAATAAAACAAGGTGAAAAAAACGTGCCTCGATTGATGTACAAGGATCACGGAGACCTAGTTAGTGATATTACCTAGATTCTAGATAGAACAATTCGTCAGACAAAGTTCCGATTGGTCGAGAACCTAGATCTCGGGGATCTGGGTATCAGACGGGCTGTGATGATGAAGACAATAAATGTCATTGACCCCAGATAGCAACCAGCCAAGCAACCCCGGGGTTTGACGTTCAGGAGGCCTTCGCCAGCAAGGTGAACCATACCGACATACTCCATATATTAGCAAAGCTCGGGTGGGTCGAGGATTTCCCAGGACGTGGGGGCAACCCCCGATTAAGACCGACTTTTTGCGATGGTCCGAGAATTTCGGAGACTGTCGCTGGAGGGTGCATTGTTTATTTTCTCAACTCTCTTGTGTTTGCATGTAGCTCGCGGGACAGCTGGTCCACAGCTTTAATGGAGTGAAAATAAAAAGAAATAGGTCGGGGCTTTTCTACAAGGAAGAGGAGAAGAGGCAGAAACAAACGAAAAAGATAAAAGGAAAACAGACTGACATCCACCCACCCTACCAAGTCGGCGGTTTTTGTTGAAAGTAGTTCTGCCATGGAAACGTTCGTCGCCGAAGACGATCCAGGGGCGTTAGTGCACATTAATTCAGCACCAAACGCTGCGGCTATTGGAAAATCGGCTATACATTCTGAAAAGGTCAGTCTCAATGGTGCGCGTCCTCAGGGTATGATGGACTGAGAGGGAGACAAGAGGTAGAGCAGCGGGCAACCCTCCCAGGTACTATTTCATTCGGTTACCTTCGTAAATTTGGTTCCTGAACTGGTCCAGCGACTCGGCAGCATCCTGAGGCGTCATAAATAGAGAAGAGACGACAGTGGGAAAGCTGGCCAGCCGTGCGACGCCTTCTTGACCCCCCGTTAGCCCCAGCAAAGCTCTTAGGTGCTCGACTACCCGCTGGACATCCCGAGGCACGGTGCTCAAGCGCAGCCATAGGGGATACGTGTCGCACAGCAGAGTGTGAATCAGAGTGCCCGTGTCCTGGTCCAAGGAGACGTCGGGGCTGGACTTGACCAGCTGTACGTAGTAGCAGAGGATGCTTATACCTAGTAGGAAGACGGCCCGCAATCGCGAAGACATAAACATCCACCGTACCGGGTACAGAAGTCCATCTCGTTGTGTCTCCTCCTCCACTATCTGTTGGAGCTCAAGAATCTTGATGGCAGCTTGGATGCAGGCGCTCCGTGAGGATGCATAGTGCGCCTGCGTGTAGGAAGGCGCAAGATATTTTCTATGTAGCCAGATAACCGTCCGCTGTATTGACAGCTGGAGCAGCACGCGGTGCATCACAATCTGCGGCTGTACCATAAACGACTGGCTGAGAGGCTGCCACTTAAAAACGGGCGGCAGTGAATCTCCAAGCTTTTCTAACTTGTGATGTAGCTCCATAATCTCAGTGTACGGGTGCTCCTGGGTGTCATTGACCGGACCATTCATCTTGTCTATTCTGTTCTTGGCTAGACTGTAGAGCACGGGCGTGATCTCGGTCTCGGGACGCGAAGGTGGTAGCTCGACCGTGTCCTCATTGAAGTCCGTGTCTAGGAGGTTGCGAGGCTCGGCTGTGTCATACTGTTGCAACTTGAGAAGGCGTGGAAGCGCCATCTGGCCCGAGAGACGCAAATCAATCTGCACGATGACGGCCCATACGCGCCGCCTCATCTCGCCGGCGAAAATGGAGGTCTTGGAGAAATTCCGTGGGTCCCGGTGGTAGCCTCGACTCAAGGCGAGCTGCACAAGCATACCATGCACAAGCCATATTCCAATATCATCGTCTTGAGACAGGAATGTCTCACTGACGAGATAATTGATTATTGTTTCTAGGACGTAGTCAACGCCTCTAGTGTACTGGCCTAGGACAAGACAGTGGACGGTCTGTTCTTGAAACAGCTGCACGCGCACTGGAGTCTCCGGATCTGCCGAATCCCCGATCCACTGTTGGTATTGTGTGGAGAGGCACATGACGCTACATAAGAGACCAATCCAGATATACGACGCCGCAGCCGGTTCCAGCCAGAACCTCTCGTACTGCCCGTCTAGTGGTGAAGACCCCAACTGTCAGCCAACGAAGGAAGATTGGAATAGCAGGGAAGAAGGTGAGGGGGAAAGGTGGAGGTGGGAGTGGTGGGGGAACACAGACGGGGTAAGCTAGGATATTGATAGTTAGGGATAACATCCAGCGAGCAACGTACCTCTTGGAGAAAGCGACCACTATGGACTATTTCGGGTACAACACCCCGAGCATTGAAGTATCGTGCCACCATACGGTCTACCACTGGCCGGGCCGGGATTGAAGCGACAAGATCGGCTTTCGTGGCTAGGACGGGTTCGTATAGCAGACGGGGACCACCGACATGATGCCGCATGTGGTCATTGGTGGCTAGCATCCTAGCCTCCTCTTCCTCTTCGTAATGGTCCCTAAGCTCTGAGATGCTATCGAGGACGGGAGCCCAGTGGACGCTCCCAACATAGTTATTGCCATGCGAGTGCAGACGCATGCTGCCATGTTCCGAGGGTGCGGGAGACACGGCGTGATCCTTGCCGTGCGGCAAAATACGCGTCTCAGTGCCGGCATCAGGGAGTCCTCATCAACTGATGCTAACGAGCTGTCTCCCACAGGCGCTGCAGATGCCGGCGACGCATCAGGAGTGCCTTGAAAGGAATAGGCCGAGTCTGTGGCTAGGCGGCTGACGTCTGCGAGGTCCCACGATTTTCATCCGCAAGGTCCGATGTCATAGTCAGTTTCCATGCACGACCTGCATGAGCAGAGAAATCGGCCCCTCCTGCACATACAGAATGGGCGCTGCACGCAAGAGCAAAGTCAGCGTCGGGGACCGCATCCAGCACCTCGAAACATTAGTGCGCTCCCAAGTCCAGCAGCAGCAGAGGATTTCGTCAGCAAGGTAGCAATTTACTAAACGGAAAGGGATACTATCAAATAAGCAATAACAGAAATGACACGGGAGCGACTTACTTGCAACTCCTGCAAAAGGTACAGGACGGTAGTGGCTTCTCTCGTCGTCGATCCCGCAGCTGCAGCGGCAAGTCTCCTGCTATCGTACCAGCGGGCTGTTGAGGTGGCGGCTGACGCGTTCCTTTATTAGTCGTTCCTCTGTTGGTAGGTGGCTGAACAGATGCTGACGGAGCATTCATGGAAGGCAATCCTTTTTCTTAAGAGGGGTGTGAGTACGCCTCAGAGGGAACGCCCATTTGATCCCCGTGCGGTTTTTGTTCTGACGCATCCCCGACAATGACGCAAGAAAGAGTCGACAGAGAAATCGATGGGGCAATTGAGGAAGTCAACGGAGTACGGAGTATATCAACGGAGGATGTTAGGATGTTAATTTTGACTCAGGGCGCCTTGCAGTGCTAGTGTGTCTGGTCCACTCGGCTCCACTCCAACTTAGCGCCGAACAATCACTCGGGCCGCTCAAGCGAGGCTCAGAGACCCATGTAAATCGTGTAAATCTATACAGTAAACAAGCGGAGCGGAGCAAATCCGGGGCAAAATAGATGGGTAAAGGCACCGCCATGCATCGGACCTTCCCATCGTTCGGTATAGCAGCCAACAACTAACGCCGGTACTAGGTTCTTGGTCCCCTTGTGGGGGGCTTCGTTACTGAGAACGTGAACTGGAGATGGACTTTTTATATCATTCTTATGCTTGTGAGCAGGCCCCTCCCCCCTCTTCCCCCTCCCTATAGACTACGCAATAAAGCTGACCGAAGATGATAATGCAAGCAAGCTGGCGCTGTCACGCTGGGTACTTTTGTCGTCATGCGCGAGACGAGCGCCGTCGCAATTCTCAAGAGCAAGGCAGCGCGCCTTCGCAAGGAATCGGGCAATCCGAATCTCCGTGCTGCGGGCGACAGACAGACCCCCATCAAGGACCTTGTGGCTCACGCCTTGACCCGCCCAATCAAGTTTCTTGCTCTGTCGCTCATCGTCATTCTTATCCCGCTTTACATAGCCTTCAACTTCGGCGTTACGATGCTCCTCTTTGCCACCTTTCCGACTGTTTTTGAGAACACCTACCACTGGAGCATCGGAATTTCCGGCCTGGCCTACGTCGGCATGGGCGTGGGCTGTGCCATTGGTGTGGTGACCTTTTCCAAGCTTAGCGATCGCCTGCTGCGTACTGAGGGCGGAGAATATCGTGCAGAACGGCGCTTGATCCTGATGATGTATGTCTCACCGCTTATCCCCCATCGGTCTGTTGATATACGGCCCAATACAAGGTCCACTGGGTCGTGCCAATCATCGGCACTGCCATCTGCGGACCCAGTGCGGGATCATCAATTCTTCGTCGCAAACATATCATCGACATTTTCGGGCCTCACGCCGCGGCGTCCGCGCTTACCGCTGTCACGCTGCTGCGGAACCTGCTGGGTGCCTTTCTGCCTATTGCTGCCCCGTCTCTCTACGCCCATCTGAATCTGGGCTAGGGAAATAGTTTCTTGGCCTTCATTACCGCTGCTTTTATATCTCTGCCGTTCCTGTTTTACTGGCGTGGCGAGTGGCTGGGTTAGGTTTGCATAGGCTTTTTGTTATTTACCCTTATCTAGTATCTAGGTACCTAGGTCCAGTTATGGAATTTCCCGTGCCAAGAGATTCTGACTGTCATTCAGTTACTTCCGTTTTCTAGCCTGGCAACAATGTTGATCATTGTACAATGCCGCTCCGAAAACATATGGCTGCCGTTACGAAAGCAACGTGAAACTCCATGGAATCAGCCGAAGTAATCCACTCGGCAACTCTTGGACAGCGCATCTCCGTCGCAGCCATGAGTATCTCGCCTCCCCCCACTCCACCACCGAGAGCCTTAACAAATGACGAGCGGAGATTCAAAACTATTACATTACCCTGTGAGTGGGTGGAGGATTACCGTCCAGGCGGTTACCATCCCGTCGTCCTCGGCGACATCTTCAACAACGGTCAGTACAGGGTCATCCGGAAGCTCGGTGAGGGCTCCTACTCAACTGTTTGGCTTGCCCGTGACCTGAAGTAAGTCGATCTTTTGTGTTGTCTGTCCGCCATTCTGTAGATTATTGTTACTTATTTCCTTTAAGAAACAGTGGATATGTCGCCCTGAAGATTCTTGTGTCGGAAATCTCGGGATTGACAACTGAGCTACGAATTTTACGCCACATCACCGAAGCCGCACCGGCAGAAGCGGCCCGGCATGTCACACAACTGCTAGGCGAGTTCGAACACCGCGGTCCCAATGGCGTCCACAGGTGCCTGGTATTTGAGCCCATGGGTCCGAGTGTGAATACCATGGTCGAGGAGTTGCCGCAGTTTAAGCCTCGCAGACGAGGAATGAAGATCCGCTATCCGCTTCGGATGGCAAAGAGCGTCCTCAAGCAATCCTTGCAGGCTCTTGCATTTCTCCACGAAAATGGTATCGCCCATGGAGATTTCCAGCCGGGAAACATACTGTTCACTCTTAACGATGTCGACTCGACGCTGGAGGACGTGCTCCGGCAGGAGGAAGAAGTACAAGCCCGGTCGATCTCCCCCCTGGTACAGAGGCTAGACGGTAAAGAAGATAAATGGGCTCCTCGATATCTTTGTGTTGCGCAGCCGCTGGTGCCCTTTACAAGCTACGCCAAAGGTTTCAAGGTCAAATTATCTGATATGGGTGGCGGTCAGTCTCTCCCGTTTCAATTATCTATTTCCTTTTCTTGACGAATATCTGTACTCACACCTGCCTACCCTGAACAGCATATTTCTTTACAGACCCACCAACAAAGCCTGTTACTCCACTCGGTCTTCGAGCTCCCGAATTAATTCTTACCGGAGCCGTTGACAATACTGTTGATGTCTGGAGTTTCGGTTGCCTTGTCTTTGAGCTTATAACCGGACAGCCCCTCTTTTGTATACCAGGGTCCGAGTAAGAAAATGACGATCATCTTCTCTCCCTTACCGCCCGGATCGGCGCCCTCCCCGACGAGTTCTTCAGGCATTGGAAGACCTCGTCGCTCTACTTTACACCTGAGAGGAAGCTCTTCAATTGTCAGCTTGGAGGAGTTGCTCCGGGGGAGGAGCCGCTTATGGTGGAGCAGACGTCCATGGAAGAGTTATTCGATCGGGCAGAGCCGGATCTTGATGAGGAGGAAGCCCGCAAAGTGAAGGCGCTCATTCGATGGATTTTGCAATATGATCCCGCGAAGAGGCCTTCGCCTGCGAAGATCTTGTCTAATCCATAGTTCTGCGAGATTGACGTTGAGAGCGTCTAGTCTATTTATACTTGCGTTATCATTGCCATCATCCACCCATTGGTACTCCGCTTATGGTCTCTTGTGTTGTGTGTCTGAGCTCGGAGCAAATGAACCAACTCAGTACCACATACACAAAGCCGACGGCTCTGTTGTATCAACGCCGGGAACAAGTGTAGCTATCCGATGGACACCCAGCACCCTTGGTCTATCAAACCATACGCAGGAACTGACACCCTTGTTCCTAGGAATGTAGTGTCCATTCTTGGGAACGCTTAGTCCTCTGGTACCCATGATAGTGCCTCCGGTAGATGACTTTCTAGCACATCTGTGGCCTCCGACAGCAAGGAAAGACTTCTCGCAAAGCATAAAAATAATAAGTGGCAGTAAGTTTTTAAACAACAAAGCAGCCCCTTCCATGAACAAGCCCAAGGGGGCGAATAGAATACCTATGACTGCCTGTTGATTATGGCTAGAGGATTTCTTGGCCTCAGACCCCCAATTCCAAAACAAACACCCTCCCAGAACTGTTTGATGATGGCCAGCATCCAACAACATCCAGAATGTGCCTCCAAGAGATACAGGATTTACGCTGGCGCCTTGAAGAGGAGCAACTATTGCGAGAAAAGGAACAGGGACTTAGAGAGTAGGCCGAGGACTAACTGAGACCTCAGACCCAAGAAATGACGCTCCCTGCTGTAGGTAGGCTTACCCTACTATTAGTCAGCACCCGCCTGCCAAGACCTTTACTGAGCTCACCTGGGTGAGCATTGTACACCTAGCACCTAGATAGAAATCTAAGCATCTCACTCGGGGAGAATTGACCCCTATGACACTTTCCGTCATTGTCTGGACTTGGGATTTCTCGAATCATCTTATTCTCAAGCAAACAACGACTTCTATGAAGGTTAACTGAGGCTAGCGTCTTTAGCTGGATCCTTTAGCTCATAGATAAGATGGATGCTTTCTTGACTAGGGTATGCCTTTCCCGATCGGTTTATGCGATTGAGCCCGATGCTGACATCATTGGTAGCTCACCCAGCAGGCGATGAACTATGCCATACGGTATGGTAGCAAGCGCATTTGAAGCCTTCTCACCGAGCGTATCCAGAGTTCTGATATTGATGATATTCTCAGCTCAGGTATAGCTATTACAGCCAATTACGCTTTCCGACAATCTTCTCGTCTGCTCAAAGTGGGTATTAGCATCCTAAGCTCGAGAATGTGATCATGGCTAATGCAGCTGCTGCATAGAATGTGGAGAATGCCGAAGAAAGAGAAGAGCTGCTTTCTCTGCAGCAGCGCTTGCAAAGCAAGATTCGGGTGTGTCTATTCTTGCATGCGCTGGAAGTTCTGCCCCCATATGCTTATCTGACGCTCAGGTTATCTCACCAGCCATTGATATGATTGAGTTGATGTATGTTGGTCTAGTCGCTTGAGGGGAAGTAAGACTGACTCCCCAGTGCTGCACGAGGAAATACATCTCTAGAGTCTGCAGTATCCCTCACGAAAGCCCTCCGATTGGACATGCAAGCTCTTGGGCAACGGTTAGCAAACGCCGCTGCTTCCGAAGAGTTGATACGAAGAGGGGCAAAGTCACCAAGAGATCGCTCTCGTAATGACGCGGAAATCAAGCTCATAATTAAAAATATTAAAAGACTGCTGGTACGCATCGAGGATGCAGTACCGTTGATGAATCTAGCCATCACCACTTCGGGCGCCAGATTATCGACCAACCTCCCGTCCACAGTCTCGCCATCTCGGTTATTGCAGGCCAGCACATTTCTCACAGCTGGTGATACACAGTATTGGATGTCTCCTACCAAGGCGATTCAAATTGGCCCTACTTTCACGCTCTCGATATATATGCTCTTTGCGAGCCATGTTCGGCCTCACGATGAAGAAGGCATCCGAGAAACTACGTGGAAAGAGGTCATGCACAAAGCTCGTGTGAAGCTTCGGCGAGTTCCCATGGATATGACTGCCAAACGATCATTAGCTTCACACCAGAGCGCCCAGCTTGCTGCTGAGGCACGAATGGATGAATATGCATACCAAATATTGGTTGTCGAGGACCTGGAAGATGGAAGAGTTCATTCGTATGACGATGATGAGCCACAGCCAGAGCATTTTGAAGGCGTTCGCTTAGCTGGAATGCGTGAAATCATCCCCATTCACCAGATCTCGAAGATTTTCTACGCGGACACGAGTAAGGTTCTGAATATCAATACAGAAGGCGAAGTCAACAACCCAGTACTTCTTCTGAAGAGAGATTTAAATGCCATCCCTCCGCGCCGCATGGTCGAGCGTGATGAAACAGATTGGGCATATGGTCAAGAAGAACAAGATGAGGAGACTGATGAAATACAGGCGCAGCTAGATGCTCAGTTGAACGGGGCGAATAACGCTGCTTCGCTCAACCAAAGTTTTAATGAAGACTCTATTCCAGATCACTGGCGTTTGCCCAAAGATCTCGATCCTGAATGGATAGCATTTGAGGTCTATAACGAGGATGAATCCTCAGACAGCGAATCAGAACCAGATGAAAAGGAAGAGTCGATTGATCCGCAAATGATGGCCAAACTATCTCTTAATTCGACGGATGAGAAATCATCGTCTCCCTTGAAGCAAAAGGCGCCTTCACTTTCCTCGCAGCATGTCGCCACCACTACTATCACAAATCCTCTGTTCAACCACATCCGAACCTCATTGTCGCTCCTCGAGACCCTTCTCCGACTGACATCTCTCCAACAATTCCAACAACAGTCCCATCTCTCCATCAGCGACGAGCTCCTCAACTTCTTTCTGGAGGAATCTTCCACCACTGGCGCTGGTGGCGACGAGCAGCATCGCCAGCGTCTCCGCGCAGATGCCAGACGGAGAGTTGGCTGGGATCCCTACGACGAAAGCCCCGTCAAGCACCGAGGCGAGGATTACCAGCACAGCTGGGCTCCTGAGGGAACTCCATTGAGATATTCTCGGGAGGGAAGTGATTATCCTTATACGCCCACTGAGAAGAACCGAGAATATCACTTGCGCTCTCGAGAACATACACCCGAGACACCGTTGCATTCTCGAGGCTCAGCGTCCAGACATGCAGATGTGAGGCGTCAACATGCGACTCGAGGCGCTTCGGCTCTTGTCGATGAAGTTTCACATCGAGGCTCCTCGCTTTCACGACGATCGACACCAGTGGAAGATACAGGTTCTGATGCGTGAAAAAAAAAGAAAAAAAATAATGATGTATGACTGAAGATAAACATGTAAAGTAAAAAATTCAACTATAGAGTGAACAGCTACGAGACATAGATTTGCTCCGAGACCATATACCAGCTTTGTAGATTGTATTTGCAGCAATAGAATGGTGGATCATTGAGCCCTTCCGGGTTCAATACAAAAACAGATCCGCGCAAGAAAACAAGTGACTCGAGTACATTGATATCAAGAAGCAAACCGCTAAAACACGAAGAAAAGGCCATAAGAACCATAAACTCCCGAGAGTCATTGAATACGCCATAACTCCTTGAACACTGATCTCCCAAGTCAAGTTCCATTTGGATGAATCGTTGATCAGCGCAATTGAGTAAACGTGGCTGTCCAGTCCGTGAGGAAGGACTTGTCAGACAAATAGTCAATCGCCGTCATTTATTCCCAATCTTCGTCGTCGCTGTCATCGTCCTTGGCCGCAGCTGTCGGGCTCTTCTCCTTGGGACTCCCCGGGGCCCGACTGGTGGTGCCGCTGACTAAATCATAGCTGGACTCACTGTCAGGCTGAGACTGCTGGTCGTTCGAGCGGCGACGTTCGTTTGGTTTGAGTAAAGTGTTCTTCTCCTCAGCAGGAGCCTGAGCTGCCTTGTTCGGCTTTCCTTGTGGAGTCGAGGGAGAGTCGGTATCATCGTCAGAATCATCGCTCCATGTAACCTCTTCTTCCTCATCCACATTGGCTCCTATTGGAGTTCATTGTCAACACTCTCCTCAGTACAGTTTTTCAGGGCTAGGGATAGCAACATACCTTTAAGAAGTTCCTTCCGCTTCTGCTCCTCGGTCTCGATAACGAGACGGAGGAAATAGTACCGGCACCAGAACGTCGCATATTCGACCTGTTCGGGAACAAGCTTTTCCATAGCTGTCCGCAGCTCGGGATACTTTTCCAGATCCGCAGCAATGGCACTAGTCTTGTTGTCCACATTGAACTCCTCCTTGAATGCGGCCCACTGGTCACTGACTGGGTCCTTGGTGAAGCTGTCCAGATTGGAGTGGATCACATGCAGTTGCGCCTCGAAGCGTGTCGCATGAATCACCCTCTTGCCCTCGGCATCTTTACTCTCGAAGAGAATCTTGTTCGACGACTCCGCATCCGGAGGGACAATGCTGACCGCATCGCGCAGCTTCTGACCGATAGTCATCCCGAAGCGCAGGATCGCTTCATCCGCCGCTTCCTCCGCTTTCTCAATCTCCTTTAGTCGTCTCGCAGCTTCAGCCTTGAATCGAGAGATAAAACCCTCATTCGTGCTCGTATCCGCACTCCCTTCTGCTTGTCCTTCTCCGGCCCGAGTTGCTGTAGGCGTCGGCGTCTCATCCTTACTCCGTTCTGTAGACCCAGGATTGAACGCGGTGCTAAGCGACAGGCCTCGTGTGCGCCCGACAATGGTCTCCTTCAGATCCGAAAGGCCCTTGGCGGCCTCCTCGCTGGCCGCAGCGTACTCCTGTCTGGCACCCTCGTAGTAACTCTCGCTTTGTTTGCGAACATTGTCCCACAAGCCACCGATGCGAACACCCCAGGGGCTCGCGGAGAAGGCGCGGAACGTCTCTTGCAATTCGGTGTTGAGGTCGACGTTGGATTGGGGTTTAGCGGAGCCGTCCTGTGAGTCGTCTTTCTTCGAGCCATTAGAGGAGTAAATCTCCTCTTGGATGTGATCGTACGCAGTATCCATTTTGCGCCAAAGGTATCAGGTAACTAGGGAGGTTTTGATTTGGTTATGGAGGACTAAGGAAGTGTCAAAGGAACCGCCTTTGACGACGGTTGCGGAGGAGATGGTCGAGTCCAGAAGGCGGGAGCTGATTGTTGCTGGTTTATTGATCTATGCTTCCGTTCGGGGCGTAGGACGGACCGAACAATCAGCGATTAGGACATACCCCACTAAGGGATCCACGATGAATCTATAATCTAGAGTCTACAATATACATAGATTGACTACTTGGTGATGAAAGAGAAATCAATGTATTCTTTATGTGCGTCGTATGTGTGTTTCGTCATTCGTGAATGTGACTATATACTTCTATGTGTCTGGTAAACTATAAGGCTGTCCGACACTGTCCTGACTGCCCATCCAAAACCCTGGCACAGGCACACTCTCCATGACACTAGACGTCAGGAGTTGACTGCGAGACAGAAGCCCCTTCGGACCAGAATCTTGAATCGGGTCCGCTCGTTGTTTGAGTCGGTCTACCGGCTGCGAAGACTCCACCTGCACCACGCCCTGCGCAGGATGAGCGGGCAGCACAGGATCAGCCTCAGATGCGTAGTCCCGAGGTCGTGCGACTGGTGAAGATTCTAGAACAATCTCTGTGGAGTCTTTAACCAGATCTTGGGTTTGGCTTTGGGTCTGTGTGTGTAAGAACGGATCAACTAGTGTCTGTCTCCTCAGGAGAGAGGGCTTGATTCTTGAAGTCTCTGTCAGGGTTTGTTGGAGACTGGACTCTTGTGGGAAAAGCTCAGCAAGCTTCTGAGTGCTCAGAGTAGGTATCGGTTCGGATGGAAACTGAGTGGCAGGATGTCGCCTTTGGTAACATATTGAGGCATCTGATGATAGATTGAGTTCGGTTTGCAAAAGTGAACGCTCATCATCCGAGCTAGAATGCATGATTGGCGGAGGCAGTGTTTGGGAATCATTCTCAGGACCTTCATCTCCGTCTTCGACAGCTTGATCCGCGTCGTGGGCTAGGACCATCTCGTAGCGCGGCCCAGCCACGGTCGACTGTTCATTATCGCTATAGTCTGTTTCAGCATCCGTTTCGTATACCACTGTTCTCTCCGTGCTCGGAGGAGGTTTGTCTAGCTCGCGCTCAATTTCAAGCGCAGAAGCAGAGGCTTCCGTGGCAGACTTCAATTGTGTCGCTTTAAAATCAAAGGGTACCTCATCGTCGCCCCCGAGCTCAAAGGATAGCGAAGACTCTGGTACTATAGGAGGCGGTAATGTACTCTCGACCATTGAAATTTGTTTCAAACTTTCTGCTGTCTCATTTGAGTCCGGAATTTCATCTTTGATGCTTTGAGTAAACGTATTTGTCCTGGCAAGTCTAAGTGGAGAGCGGGTGGCGTCTCGAAACTGGGATGACGAGATAAATGCGACGCCAGGACTCTCGGGTGATTGCGAAGAAGGAACTTCTGATCGTCTGGGTTTCTGTGGCGTCTTTGGTTCCTCCTTCAAAAGTCTCTTGCCCTGCGTCTGGGCCAGAACCAGTAGTGCTCTCGAGTCCTCCTCCTCCTCATCGTCGTCCTGCAGCTTCCTTTTCTTAATCGAGCTCGATATCTTTTGAACATTAGCGGACCCAGATTTAAGGTCTCGAGAACTTGTTCCCTTCATTGTCTGCCCCTTGTTCACTTTCGGAGTCATATAGGTATATTCTAATTTGACCTCATCATCGGGCTCGATCTTCAGATAACGCCGCACGTAATCCATCTGGGTGAGGGTCTTGTCCTTCCGCGACTTATCCGTGCGCTTCTTATTGATTGCAACACTATCGGTGCTTTTTCGTCCTCGCGATCGTTTCTCACTCGAATTTGCTTGTCCTAAGCTTCTTCTCATCCTCGATGATTTGCCTTCTGCATTCTGCCTATTCATTGCGCCACCACTGCGGCGTGCCCGTGAATGTGAATCTGGCCTGTAACCAGTATCGCCATCCAGATCATCATCCAGTTCAATCACTTGGCAGCTATTCACGGTATCATCGTGCGGTGCGTCGTCAATATAATCGAGATCATCGTCATCGTCATCAGATTCAAGGTTCTGTGATCTCGGTGTCACAAAGTCGATTTGTGTGAGCGTCGGTTGCTCCCCTGACAACAGGCTTCTTTTCCATGACTTCGATGTACGACCCGAGGATATTGGCGTGCCGCTTTGCCTTTTCGCCGACGATATGTCTTTGCGAGCTTTTGATGTGGTAGAGGAACTTGTAAGAGGGGGCTTATCCGGGGTTCGGAACTGTTCCTGAGTTGATTTCGCAGTTGTGCTTGATTCGTCACCTCGTCCCATCGCAACTCGAGGCAGTCGTATGGAAATTTTCTCGATATGCAGGAAATGGTAATATTGAGTCTGGTCGGAGGTTTGCGGCTGTTGATGGGTCATAAACTCAACCTGAATTCCTTATCGGATGGGTCGCGTCGAAAACGCGTCAAGCAATGACATCGATATTGGTCCGTGCGCGATTTCATATAACCAGTTCTAGGCAGCACTTGTCTATTTCTTAGGCACCATGTCTATCAAAATGGAGGATAAATATTTGTACAAGAAAACAGAAGAAAGATACAAGGATGTTGGAGCATGGCGATACGAAGAGAGAAGGAAAATGTACTAGTTCATACCAACCATTCTGGTATCGCATCATCATCTTCCGGATCATGGGACAACAGTGAGCCGTTGTCCTCGGGTTCTGATTCTCCCTCGACTTCCTCAGGTATCTGAACCTGAGATGGTGTCTGGGATGGTGCTCGTGAGAGGACCTCAACACTGGCTGATTTAGAACCGCCTGCTGCTGATGAATCCACAGTCATTGGGGCTTTCAGTGAGCCCTCGAATGACTGTTCAGGTGACCTTGACCTTTCAACCGCTAACTCAAGTTCCAACGGCTCAGAGGCTTGATGGAGTTGCTCACCGTCCGCTCGATCCTTATGAACGACGACAAGACTATAGCGATGAGACCCATTCGGTGCTGAGCGGGTAGCTATAGGTATATCTAAGCCAGTTGGCGGCATTGTGTTCTCGTTATCATCGTCGGGTATGAAGCCTCCTTCAAGACACTCATCTTGGTTAGGAAGGGATGGGGGTTCTTCGTCAGCGGCGTGTCCTTGGTATAAGTCTTGATCGGCAAGACCTTGGTAACCCATACCGCCACTTGGAGTGGCTGTTTCCTGCCCTGGTTCGGGGAAAAACCCACCACCGGCCGTCTCCGACTCGTAGCCTCGTGCACTTTCACTGGCGCTCTCTTCACTAACGGCATCATCTTCCCCTTCAATGGCATAGCCTTTGACTCTCTCTGCAATTCGCAGTCTGAGAAGAAGGTTCTTCCACAAACTCAACATTTCTGCAGATTTCTTTTCAGATTCAGCCTGTCTTTTCGCGTCTTCAAGGCTCATCAGAACCTCTTCAAGCGCTTCCTGATACTCGCTAGCAATAACGATGCCTTGAAACACGGCGGTCCCATGGCGACCTCTGAATTCGAACCCTGTCACAGCCTCTGCGTAGTCAATGCCCAGGATTCTTGCTGCATGCGCAGCGTTGGCATGTCTGATATGGATACCTCCCGGAGGAACCATACTTGGTACATAAACATCCAGATTTCCGTAAGAGTTCTTTGGTACCTTTCCATGCATCACGGGTGGTGGCTTGTAGATCTCGGTCTGAAAGTACGCATAGAGAGGGACCTCTGCAGCATTTCCGTTGTCATCCTCGCCTTCATTGAACCCAGAAACCTTGTTCTTGTTTGCGGGAATGCGTTTCAGAGGCTGTTCACCAAGCTTGATGTCCCGTCCCAAGCGATACCACTTGTCCGCACTGCGAACAACATGAATATCGCTGCGGCGATACACAGGTTCCAACATCTGGTCTTTCGACCCTGACTTCCCAAGACTAACTTGTCCTATCACACGCTTGGGAAAGACAACTTCGTTCCGACGCAACTGCCGTTCCAACGCGTAGATCGGGTGGTCTTTGAAGTCTTGCACGTTCCTGGGCATGGGCTCAGCTGCAGTTTTGGCTGTCAGCTCGCTGATTTCTAGTTCATCCCTGTCCTCAAAAAATGGCTTCTCATAGAATTGCATAGCGCGGGCCCACCATCTCTCTCCGTCTTTGGTCGATTCAACACGCAGTTTGCGAGTTTTGGCATTAAAAGCCTTTGCATAGCGTCGGGTAACATCCCTTGCGGACGCGTCTTCCTCAAAGCCGACTACGTAAGTCATGCAATTAGATGGATCACTGAATGGTGGCTCAAACTTTGACGCCTTTGCAATTGTCTTTGTGACTAGTGGATCAATAGGAACCCATTTCTGGAGCGCCTCGTTGAAAGCTTCAACCCAAAACACTGGATAAGACGAGTCTCGCACGATCATTCGCGGGACTTGAGACGTCAGTGGGCTTTTCTCGGGCAACATCGATGATGATCCTACCTGGGCTAGACGTTTTCTGAGGACGCGTTGAAGTGAATTGGGGTCGACCAAGCCTCTTTGCTCTTGACCCTGGGGTAGGCGAGGTACCAGACATCTGTTGGTCATCGGTAGACGTTTCATGATCGTCTGACGATATGATAATGTACTTGGATTTGGGTTTAATTGGAGTAATGGTTTTTGTTGTCCCGGAAAACGGTAAAGGTTGGAGTGAGCAGACCAACCTCGCTTCCACAGCCGCGGAACGCAACAGAGCACAGAATAGCTGCGTCCCGAAATCACGAGAGCCTTGCATGGTCTTGGCTTGTCTTATGAAATCTTCTCTCGACAAGAAAACCTCAGCATCAGTCATGATAGATTCCTGCAGAAAGTTAGAAAAGAAGGGCTGGTAGCGTATCTTTTAGAAAACAATACCGCTTTTTCATTCAAGGATGTGGGATTGTCTATCCAATGAGCTCGCTTTAGGCCTGGTTTCGTTACTCTGAATCGCCTGTTAAATGTATCGCTAGCTTGATTCAGCCCTTCAACGAAAGTGGTGGATCTGCTGTATTGCGGTTTATCCTCAGAGGCATTTAGCATGGATACCATCTGCTTGGACAGCATTCTTTTCAAAAAGCTCTGGGCTCAATGTCAATATTTAGAGGGAAAAGGCCCAGAAAAAGGGGTATAGAATGCCGAGTTTATGGTTGCACACCTGTAGTTCATCATCATTGCACCAAAGATTCCGAATTTGTACATGACGGAGAAGACAGAGCAAGTGGACCTTGTGTATGTCTAATCTGAGTTTCTTCTCGGCTGCCGAGAGTGGCTTCTGTCTTGGAATGACTTTCCGCCCTTTTTTGTGATGGTCATCCAAGGTGATCTGCAATGATTCCTCATCGGTTGCAGTCCCAGGAGCCGCATGTAGGGCTAGATTTGGAGCTTGTTGAAGGTCGACTTCCTCCCATTCCATATCAGATTCGTCGGATGTGGGATCATCAACGACTGTCTGCACCTGTCGACCGGCACGATCATCGTGACTTTCTGTTGGCAGTTCCTGCTGCCGTGAAGAGAGGTTGTTCGAAGGCTCGGTTCTCTGACCTCCAACTTTCCTTTTCTTGATGGGGCGCTCCGTCTCCAGGGCATCTGGATCTCGGGCCTCCGCCTCCGCAAGCATCTCCCGGTAGACTTGTGGTAAGTCGTCATCTGATTCTTCACGGCGCTTCGACGCAAGACCTCGAGAACTTCCGCTCCGGGTGGAACGGGCAGCTGTGCGGCGCATTATGCCGACGTTTTTGCGGCGACAGCATGAAGCAATATTTTGGTTCCTGGACTCAATGATCTATATGCACGGTCATAGTCTGCGTGCTCTCATCCGTGATACCCCGGCTTTTTATATCGCCTCCCTGAATCTTCTAATATAGTTTACCCCGCCAGAAAGAACCAATATCGATAATATATAAGGTATGCGGCTCGCTGGAACTTGGCCCAGCTAAGCCGTGACCAGAAACCCCGACGCGTCTTTTGCTGACCGAGCAAGGTGCGTCATAGTGGGAAATTATTGATCCGACCGAGTAGATGCAGCCTTTCCCAATCGGGTTATATTGCCATGACAGCAACCAATGTAGCACTTTTTTGACTACTCTCTTGAGGATTCAAAGGTACCAATCTTGAGATGGTCTGAAAGTGGTGCCATGTACCTGTATAGTAGTATGCATATGGGGAAATCATTGAAGGAATCAGAACTTCTTGGAACATCTGGCTCAGGCGTAATATCCCATCCTCAATCAGTTCAGGGCGTCAAGATATCCGAGGTACGGGCTACCATGCCTGGAGATGAAAATTGTATCTCACTGGTATTTATGTATACCTAGCATACCATAGTACGTTCTAGAGGACCAATTTTCATGAGCTTGTTATCAAGTACTATATCTATCCAACGATAGGCGATCCTTGAGTCGGAGATTGCGTCACTCAGCATGTCACTCCGACGTTACTTCAAGACGATGAAGGATATATGTGCTGTACTTTAGCGACAGGCTAGGAAACAGTAGAATGAATTAGAATAATCGTGTTTAACTTTACGCTTTGTTAGATCTACTTGGCCGTTACTACTTTATTATTGGCCGCCATGCTCTCTAAATCTCTGAGATATAGGGGATCTCTCCGGAGGATGTGCCCTGTACTCTCTTGTACAGATCGTCGCTTCATGGCACAAGTTGCCGATGTGCGGAACATACCAACAGTAAGCGCCCTTTTGCGTTGCATCTCATGAAACTAGAGTGATAGAAGCCCAACTCCAACTAGGAAGATGACAAGCTATTCAATGTGCCATTGTCAGAAGAGAGTTTTGAGACGTACAACTTCGATCCTCCCCCATATACGGTGGATACTACGAAAAGGAAGCTTAAGGACATGTACCGAGATATGCTATCGATAAGGTGAATAGATAAAGCTGGGATACTCGTAAAAAAAAAGCTCACACTTCCATAGACGGATGGAGTCGACTGGTCAAGAGGCAGTTGCTGTTGGCATCGAGCATGCTATTACAAAAGAAGATAAACTGATCACAGCGTATCGCTCCCATGGCTTCACCTTCATGCGAGGAGCCAGTATCCGATCCATTGTTGGCGAGTTACTTGGGCGCCAGGATGGTATTTCTCATGGTAAGGGCGGCTCGATGCATATGTTCCTCGAAAGCTTCTTTGGTGGGAATGGCATTGTGGGTGCGCATGTGCCAGTCGGCGCGGGAATTGCATTTGCTCAGCAGTATAATGATGGAAGCAATGTCACTATTGATATATATGGTGACGGTGCAGCCAATCAGGGGCAGGTTTATGAGGCGTTCAATATGGCCAAGTTGTGGAATCTCCCTATCCTGTTCGGATGCGAGAGTAAGTTTACTCCAGAGTGATAGTTTTGGTTTCATTCATCGCTGATCTGACTCCAGACAATAAATATGGAATGGGAACATCTGCCGAGAGAGCCTCTGCAATAACTGATTATCATAAGCGTGGCCAATACATTCCTGGCCTCAGAGTGAACGGAATGGATGTCCTGGCTGTTCTGGCAGCAATGAAGCACGGTAAACAATTCATTCAAGCAGGCAAAGGGCCGCTGATATACGAGTATGTCACATACCGTTATGCAGGACACTAAATGTCCGACCCGGATGTTGCATATCGGAGTCGGGAAGAGCTCAAAGAGGAACGCGAGAATGATCCAATTTCGAGTCTTCGGGAACGGTTGATTGAATGGGGCATCATCACGGAGGATGAAGCTAAGGCAATGGATAAGGATGTGCACGGGATCATAAATCAAGAGGTAGCAGAGGCCGAGAAGATGACAGAGCCTGAACTGAGACTCGACGTCTTGTTTGAAGACGTTTATGCTCGAGGGAGTGAGCCTAAACAACGTCGCGGACGTACGCTCGCTGAGACATTCTACTAGGTTGTCGCGAGATATTGACCAGATGGAAATCGGTGACCCATGGATTTGATATAGCCAGATATGACCACCCAACTCAAACGTGATTTGGAACAGCGTAATGGATGACGCTCCTAAAGTAGACGTCACCATGATCTAAAAGGAGACTGGTGTTGTCCTTATAATCACCAAACCCCCAGACCGAAAAATCTTGAACATCTTATACTTGGGGTTGAGACAAAATAGTATAGATAGGTATTTTTGGCCATCATGGCGAGCTTCACTTACCCAACCCTCACAACTCCAGCCCGATGCACCGCAGATTTCTCTGTGGTACCGGTCTGTACTGAAACATCCAACGCCCTTCAGCTCCTCTGCTGACATCTCAACGCGCAGATTGGGACTCAGAACGCCTCTTTCTCCCAACAGATTGCGGATGTTCAAAAATTACTGGCGCAGGCGAGCCAGCAGACAGGCCTCAAGTACCAGATGTATCCCACAGGAACCACAGTCGGTACTTGCATCATTTCCCGCTATCTTCCCAGAAACTAGTATTTGACGTTGATCTGCAGAAGGACCGTGGGATCAAGTTGTGCAAGTCATCGGTTTCGCCCACACTCTGATCCATCAGGAGGGGATCCCGAGGATCCAGACCGACATCCGTGTCACAACCAGGTAAGTCTATTTGCAGTCTGCAGTGCCTTTTGGCGGCGGCACGTACTCATTGATTTGTAGGACGGACAAAGTTCAACCGATGGAGGGTAACATCGTATCTGTGGAGAGGATCTTGTCAGCCTGAACCAGAGACATCAATTGGGGTTGGCAAAGATGTGCGATCAGCCTAGATAAAATATTGTCATACAGCATTTGAATGTCAAGCTAGTGGGCGATCATTCAGGACTGTTCTTCAGAAATGCTCACCTAGAATTTGTAAATCCCTCGATTCTCCGGAGGTGAGAAACGCGTGATGCTGGGCATTGGATATGAGTTTTCTGAATAGGTGTAGTTTAGCTGCCCGATCAGCCAGATAACATCGTTCCGGATTATTCATTTATTCAATTTAATGATCCCAGGTTGAGAGTGGGAGTAAGTGTTAGAACCCGATAGAGGAAAGGAAGTTGGTTGGGTTGAATTGGAGTTGGCATGATGTCCCAGGTGATGGCGAAGGCTCGACCAAGACCGCGTATGGAACAGTGACAGACGAGTTTGTGTCCCTACGTAGGCTATTTTCAGAAATCTCTAGTAAACTGCTGTTGGCACTTGCCGCTTCTTGAACATACTTTCAGTCTCTAGACTTTGAAAGGCAGGAATTCGATTCTGACGTTATGTAGAGGTCGGATGTGTTCTCTTGATCTGTTCACAAGCAATACCCGAATGCCCCCAAAAGATCTCAACCCTGCTCAGGTCTTCATCTTGTCTCTTGATGGAGCGTTTGAACCATTCGTCCAAAGCAGACTCCCTACTTTTCATACAAGAACATTCATGTTACAGGGTGAATTCATGCTGCTATGATGTCTGCCCTGCTTCGTATGTATTAAAGTGCCATGTTTCACGGAAGCAAGTGATATCCTCTTATTCCAAAGTCTACTGCATAAATGATGATTGTAGGGGAGTCGATCTACCTTGTTTCAGCTTGTATTTAACTCTCAAAGTAGCGTCTCGGAATCTGAGATATTTTGAACCAGCCCAAGGGGTATTAAAGAAACTATGATGAACCCTCCAAATCCAACTTTGTCTATACCACGCGTGAGTCTGGAGAAGCACTGCCAATGCTAGGAGGTAGGCAAGTAAGGCTTGGTGATTGAGGCATAAATTGTAGTGACTCTTCGGTTAACCAATCGAAAATACTCTAGAGCAACGAGCAAGTCCTGTATTCTACTATTTTACATGAATTCAACTTATGAGACTATGGCACAGAATACCATTTGGCCTTGGCTACAGAGAGGGTGTCTCATGAAAGACAGGACTTTTGTCACTGTAGCCCTGCTTGATAGTCTACTATAGCATCTAGTATGTTGTTATTATCTCAAGGAATGTTCTATTTCATTCCTTCTCTTAGCATGACCTTAGCTCCAGATAGAATAATATCTTGCATGCACCAAATTGGTTGATCTGCAAAGACATGTCATTCTCTGTTTGAGCACTCACTACAGGGATAATATCGTCGAGATCTGAGAAGAAATGAAACATGAATCAAGATCTACTTACTGGCATATCTACAGGAAGCCGCTAGATACTAAGTGATCTGTCCAGCATCAATCAATAATGGATTGCTCGCGTCATAACTGAGATTCAGAGGATATTCAAGATTCATCATCCTTTCTCCAAGCGCTTCCAAAAAGGAACAGGATGGACTGGTAGAGTTCAACGGATCAAGGGGCTAGACGAGGGTCTCGCAGGCATGTTCAAACCCCGAAGTCCTAAGGAGCCCAGGTATGCAGCCAATACTTACCCTAAAGGCCAACTTGATTCCCTCAACATAATCACCCTGTCTCCACAATAGATTTAATACTGTAATACTGTATCGCTGACTGGCAGACATTTTGATAGACCTTTCGTCCTCCGCCTCTTCCTGTTCTCGTAATTTGCGCGAGCCCGTCGGTCCTCCTCTGATCCTACCATCATCCTATTAGCTTCGGTAGGTATGATCCTGTCATTCGTGAATCATGTGTGCATGAAGCCATCAACACTAGCGTGGACACACCACTGGCGATTTGAACAGCGACAGGGCGATTGTCTAGCCTGGCCACGATCCACAGTTGCTGGTGCTCTGATCGTCAATGATTTGCCAACAAAGGGAGAAAATAACAGCAAAACGCCCTGGAGCCTGGAGGTCCTAATTGACCACTCAGAAACGCGTTTTTTCCCTTTTCTTGTCCTCTTTTCTCAAGTGTAAGCGGGACGACGGGTCCTCGAGCCCGCGAATCCTAAATATCCTCCCTGAGCTAGGAAGGCCCGGAGGCTAGGAGATCCCTAAAATTCTTAGGCTCGCTTCGCGGATTCACATGAAAAGGGTGGCACAAGATAAAAGTAGGTATATCCGGTGTGGGTCTAGAACAGAGAAACCCAGGTCATTGCACTTTGCAGAGACCCATGGCAAATGAGTTGTCGACCGATAGTACGTACGATTTGAACGGAGTGAAGCAGGATTTCTATCCTTGTGCTGTACCATCCAGGGGGCAAGAGGGCTGATGATAGATGAGGGAATGGCTATCTATCTCTGTACTCCATACACTATAGTACCATAGGGACGAGTGCTAGTGCCAGGTCTTCTTACCTTCCACTTCCGCCTGGCCTCGGGTTCTTCACAGCCAATCTTCTTCCGAACGGGGATTAGATCCCAAGCGGCAGGATAGGCTCGCCATGACTTTGCGGATAAAGGAAGAATTGAACTTAATCTCATTAATATCAAGAACCGCTGAGACTAATTGGGATTTGGCTGCATTGTATGATTGTCTGCAAATTGACGCGCGTGATCATGTGTGTAGTTCCTGCCAGTCCCAACTAAAGTGATGGGGATCTCAGAACCTAACAGTTCACTACCTAAAACTGGAGCTATAATACTGGTATCCATGACCCATGTAGGTAATCGAAGGCCCATCATGGACCCAGGTTGCTTTTCTTTTGGAGTAACTAGTCTTGAATTTTGATGTCCCAAACAGACACCAAACATCCAGAAATACCTCGACTAGGGGATAAGTGCCCGAAAGTCCTTTCGGCCGAATCTGATGATACTGAAATAGGTTTCAAGCTTGCAGCTATTTCGAGACCATGTGAATCCTTGAATAGACAGAGATGAGAGCTTCTCAGTTCACGCACTGTCTCGAAGCAAATTCTTCTATCTCTCTTCTTGTACGAAATAGGAAAATAAAGCTCTTGTTCCATCCGTTTAGCACAAGTTACTAAAGTAGCGCTTGCCAGCAAATCAAGCCATCACGGTTCCACCAACATGAACTTCGCGCCTCGCGGCTTCGCTACCATGTAAAAAGTTTCAGTTCCACCCAAGGACCAAGACTCAAGAGTCATGCTGTCTTAGTTGATGGAGTACGAGGCAAGCTAAGAAGGATTTGGAATGATGTTGTTCACCAAGTAAGGCAAGTCGACCAGCCTGTTCAGCGCCGCGAATTGAAGTGGGCGTGTGGGACAGTCGATGTTTTAACTCGTTTCCGCCGGCGTTGCAGTGGGTCAGGGATCCGACAGACTGGATAGTTCAGCGGTAATTCCGTTCATGGATAAAACACTCGGTGACCGGCTATGACAGCCAGCGAGTATGGACTTGTAACATGAGGAAATCGGTCTGGTACTGTGGCACTGCTTGAGTGTCGGATTCTGCATCGAGCTCAAGATGGTAGTCAGACTAAATGATGATTGCATATTCGACCAGGGACAAAACCTGCTTGTTGACTGATGCGACATGGAGGACTTACACAAGTCACACAAAAGCACCATGCAGATGGGAATGCATGCATGCACCATGTCGTCCACAAAGCTGTTGAGGGTCAGACCCAGTCGGATATTAGAGCCTTAGAGGAATGATCCATGGGCGGAAAATTCCCAGCACAATGGCACCAACAACCATTGGGTGTCGGTCTCGATTGAAGATCATCTCCCTGAATCTGCGGATTATTTATTCGATGGCTAGACATACCATCGTATCTAGGTTACAATTCGGAGTCCTATATTTTACTACTAGGAGCGGTATGATTTACTATTTCTGACTTCTTTAGTCAGTTGTTAGTTGTTACGCGTAATTTAGCAACGAACCCACTAACTAACCAATTCCCCTTTCCGTGCGGAATTGCGGATGCAAATCTACATAGTACATGGAGCCACACAGACCACTTGGGTCCATTTTGTTTTGTTGAGGAAAAATACGCATCAGCAGCTGTTAAATCTTCGTTGATATCTGTGTCAGCAAGTACTCCCAGGAATCCTGGCCATCCTCGTCATTTTTCCACCACTACCCCTGGTATCGGTACAAAATCGATTGAGGAGACGATCTGATAATGATCTGTCTGATGGTGTTTGTGCCTTTATGGTTATTGTTTGGTTGTCCTATCGATTGCTTTCCCGAATCCCAAACTCCTGGGACGTCCGTGCTTTTCCCATCTGACACAGCTTAATTTCCTGTCAAGGCCCAAGACTCAAGACTACGGGTGATTATTAGAGTGAAGAAACCCTAGGGGGAGAAATTCCGTAATCCGTACTTGTATATATCAGAGTTCGGACTTTAAATTACTACCGACTTTAGAGTCCCTATAGACCTATTGTCCTTTCATCCGAATCGTTGAACTTTCTCGGACTCACATACTTACACAGTAAGTCTAATGACCAGCAAGCGAGCCAGTCTGCATTTGGCTCCATAGACAGATACTCCCGGGTCCTACTGCGTGCATATCTAGGGTATTATTGACGATCAACGCTCCCAGTAGTGTAATCGACACCAGGAGATATAAGATTGTGATCTGAAAATTGCTGCCTTATCCTGCAGTGTATTCACTAGTAATTGGATTTCCATTTCCAATAATCGTTTCAAGTGCTAATCATATTGTCTTTGATATTCCGCACACTACAGAGTGCAGATCAAAGAACAGATTTCCCAAGGGATAACCTAGTGCGTAGAGAATGTTGTTTCAATCCTGTCAAGCAAGTTCCAGGCTACCAGCATTATTATTGCATGATCTAGAATACCCAGTATAATCCCGGCTAAGTACATATTACCACTCCAATTCATCCTTTTACCATCCCCAACCAAGCTCACCTGTGTACATAGTATCGTAGTATATAGTATGGCTGATTCTGCATGAAATCCATCAATTCCGAGGAAACATAATCCGGTATTCTTGTTACAACTGTGAAGCTCCGTCCTTCAGTCATTGAAGGCGCATACAGACAGGGGTAGTCTGTACATCTTAATGATGCCCAGTGGCAAGAAAATTGGGGTCACTAAAATGCGTTTCCTACTAAGTACTAAGTACCAGGGGTACTCGCCTGTCCAAATTGTCCCCTCATTGAGTTCATCGCCAGAAAATAATAGTAGAAATAACCTGGGTAATTTGCGCGATTTTGGGTGTCGGTCCACCTCCCATAAATCCTAATAATCCCCATCGTTTCCCGTACTAAATTACAACCTAATCCAGCCTGTCGGGTTTAGGCCTTCAGGGACAGGTCAAGTTATGAAAGAGGCGTCAAGCACCAGTAACCTGCTCCTAACCAAATACCTACTGCGTACTACGTAGGTCTAGCATGGGCCATTTCATTTACTGCTAGTCTGGCAACGGCCTCGTTGCCGTCTCCAAGTCTAAACCAATCTGTTCCCACTTCTGTTCTCCTTCTTTCTCGGTTTCCACTTCCTAATCTCTCTTCTGCCCTCCTCTGCCTCGACGACTTGACGAAGGACTGAACCGTGAATTGGGTTGCCAGCAGGAAAACACAAGCAAGAGCTGCCTAGAGATCTAGATATATATTGCTTCTTCAAAACTCGAGAAATCGAGAGAACTGGGCCAATAGTGGCATGTTCGCTCCTCCATCAAATACCAGGCATTAGTTCCCACTACACAGTTCTAGGTCGCTGTCATCGCCACCCTAGCGATAACTGCACCATTGTGGTACCAATATAGTCAGTACCCTCAGGCGGAAGTATAGAACAACGGACAACAAGGGGAAGAGGTCAGAAGTAAATACACGATATCCAATTGTTGGCTTCATTGCCCTTCCTCTAACCACCCCCACACAACAACCTGGCCCCGAGTCCCATAATTATGCCTAGACCCATCAGAACAGTGGGCTTGAACGGAAGTGTAAGCGTCCCCTTCTTCTTCTGTATATATTTTTACTATGACCTGTATCCTTTTGACCGTCACTTGTCCTTGATCATAATCACGGCGTTCCTGTGCTACCCGGGCCTTCCTACCAACACATTTGCTCTTCGGTAGTGCTAACTGATCATGTCTCAGGACCAGGATTGTCAGTAGTAAGTATGCTTGATATTCTTTTCTTCTTCTCTAGTGCAAGGACCGAAGGAGGGGCATGAAGCAAAGCCCCAATTACCTGCCATTCGCTAATGCTGGGCGTCTGGTGCAGTGAGACACAATCGTTGACTGCCAGTGTAACGGACTATCCCACCGAGAACGGGAGGCGATATCATAAATATCATGAGGGCTGTATGTCATTCGCCTTCGTGTCCGTACTCCCTTACCAGGTTGTCTGATATGAACCCAGCATACGTCTATCCCAATGATGAGCAGGAGCTGGACCGCCTGGACATGCAGCACCATATGATCAAGATGGTTAACGATGGACGGTTATTTTTCGCCCCGCTACAAACTCCTAAACGGATACTCGACATCGGTACTGGGTCTGGTATCTGGCCCATAGAAATGGGTGCGTATTTCTTCTGCCATTGCTTAGCATTCTCGTGGCCTCATCTTACCATTTGCTTGCTTCTGTAGCATCGATCTTCCCCACTGCCGAGATCACGGGCACTGATCTTTCGCCTGTTCAACCGACCGAAGTCCCTGAAAACGTCCATTTTCTCGTTGATGATGCAGTTGAAGAAGACTGGCTATGGGATGCCGACCACTTCGACTTTATTCACACTGCTCATATGATGGGTTCGCTGCCCTCTTTCAAGAATGTCCTGAGGAAGGCCCTCAAGCATCTCAAGCCTGGTGCCTACATGGAGTGCCACGAATTCGATCCAAAACCAAAATGTGACGATGATACTATGCCGCCCGGAGACCCCGATCGCTTCAGTGAGTATGCTTTGTATGACTGGTTTGATCTGAACGTACGATCGAGCCAAATATCCGATCCGCCGAGACAATTCCGCATTGCCCATCGTATTGCACGCTGGATGAGAGAAGTGGGTTTCGTGGATGTCCAAGAACGTATCTCCAAGGTGCCGAATAACCCATGGCCCACGGATCCGCATCTGAGAACTATTGGGACATGGAACGAGACGAACTGGTTGGAAGCCTTGTCAGGATGGTCCTATAAGCCCCTTCTTGCCCTAGGATGGTCAAAGCCGGAGATTGAAGTCTTCCTAGTGGACGTGAGAAAAAGCATTCAGAACCGCGACGTCCACAGTTACCTGGACTTCTATGTCGTGACAGGAAGAAAACCACTGCCTGGAGAGCATGTCTGCTAGAACTGTGTGTGTTTCTTTCGCTTTTCCTTACCTTACTATCTCCAGGTTCCCTCGTCGCGGTTATTCGGACGACGAGCCCTTTTCCTTTTGACTTCATTGCATAAGATACCACCGGCTGGACAAACTTCCGCGCATTTTTGAGGAGGCGTCCAACGGTTTGCTTTTTGTTATCATGATTTTTTTTTGTTTTTTTGGATATTGCCTGCAACATATATAGGATCAAGGTCTTATCTACCGTACTCGAACTATTTCATGGCTTTGTTCTTGCTGGAGATTCACTGTCCAGTCATGCAGAATCCTGTGTTTTATTGCTTAAGATACCATCATCAGACAGAACAAGTCTCAAATTGAGTACTACCTGATATCCGATACTCCATTGTGCCAATGGTGAGCTGTATGATGTTTACATTCTCATGCCGTATCCGTTTTGGCGAAGAAAGCGTGGGGAGTTGCCGCTTAGTCATACCATCGGAGTCTGAACCTCGAAACTCTCGGAGCTGCCATGCCGATTCCACCACATGTCCCAGGTCAAGACAGCTCAACCACTCTCGAATGCACCCAGTTCCTCATGTCTCTCGGCAGACATGCCTACAGGCATGCTATTCAGCCGGGTACCTCGTCATGTCTCCTCGACCACGTGTGGATTAGCGAGGACTTTCTTGCGACAACGTTTCGACGGTTCGCAGCCGGCCAACGACGCTACGAAAGTCGAGTGCCAGGCCCGCTGGAAGCGAGAAGGCGTCTGGCTAAACGAAGGAATACTGCGCTGGCTGGTATAGCCGGCTCTGGGCCTTTGGAGGATATCGCGTGTTTGTTCGGGCGGAATGGGCGAGAGCATATGAAGTGGACGGACCGCCAGGAGCGGAAGGTTCATCCAGAAACGCAGGGTAAGATTTGACATCCGACGGGGATGAATATCCACTAGAAACATAGGATGTATGTCTGATCGTGTCAAAGGCTCCTCAGTTTATCCATTGAGTCCCCCGGATCCTCCGTTACCGTTCTACAGCGAAAACGTCAACTCGAGCCAATTCGATGTTATATCGGGTAGGCCAGGTCCCTCAGGCGGCGCGCAAAAAGCTTCCCGTGAACAAAGTCTAGAGGAATTCTTGGAATCGCGCCCATCCGTGACGGATATCCGGAGCTTTGTGCGCCAGCTCAATTTAGATACCCAGCGGGAGACCAGCTACAGTCGCTTGATACTCAAACACTTGTTAGAGCGATGTCTCAAATACAGAGCTGCCATGAATGCGCTGATCGAGTTTCTGGATGACCCGTACCTGAATCCTAGGGGGACAGGAAACTATCTATGCACTCTGGAGCACATCCTGCCCCAGAAATTACGTTTCTCCCCCCAGCGTCCATTTGCTGCCATTATTCGGGCCTTGGAGCTGGGACTCATACATCCCGATGAAATTCGTGATATCGTCAGAACCATATCAGAAGTTGAACTTCGACCGAGTGAGTTTTCAACACGGAACAAGAGATTCCTGATTAGGTTTCATCGGGAAATGTGGGAGGGCATCGGACGGTGTGATGTGTACCGACACCGCGACCTCAGCAAGGATTTCATCGAGGAGTGGCTGGGAATACTGTGGGGACGAAGAACCCACAACGATGTTTTGCTGGCGAAGGATATCATACTTGCGACTTATGATTCAACATCACCCGATTGTCCATGGGTCCCTAAGCTGATCATACGCTGGCTGAAAGTATCAACGGAGACACGACATGGTACCGATGAAAATTATGTCAGAGCGCTTATGGGTCACTTTCATCCAGAAGTTGCATCTGAATTTGCTGTTCGCGTCACCGAATATTTGGCCTCTACCAGCAAGGAATTTTTGGTTGAGTGGCAGTACTACTTGTCTCAACTAGACAATATACCAACTCTTGTTTCTTCTGAGGCTTGGATCAATGTGGACAAGCATATTGAGACAAGCTCATCAAGTTCGACCTCTGCCAATACCTCAAAATTCCCAGTCAAACACCAAATCATCCTGCGTCTTTGGGTACTGCGGACGCTCAGCAGACATCTCCCAGAGGGACCGCTCTGGCGACAAGAACCGAGAGCGACTGACCTGCCCATTGTACGACTCCTCAGAATCTACGAGTCTACACTTGATGAAAGCATCGACGAGGACTTTCTGAGCGACTTGATGAAGGAAATCCACGTTCTTGACATTCCCTTCAATGGCCTCTTGATGGCCGCTGTGGAGTTGAAGGCGGGAAGACGTATGTCACGAGGGAAACGAAGAACGTTAGAGAAATTGGAAACCACAAAAGTGTCATTCTACGACATCTTCTCAGATATTCACGCCTACAACGCGACTAAAACCCACTTCTTTCCCGTCTTTGAGAAGATGACACGGCAGATCGATGTCTCCAACCCATCGTTCGTGAAACACGCGGTAGGGGTCGCCAGAACCGGGAATGCTCAAGCCATCTGGACCTTGATTCGGATGCTTCGCTCCCACACGCCTCTCAAAGTGGCGTTGTCCAAATCCTCACAGCGAATACCCGATCCCTCTGAAATGTCCCTCACCCGTTACTATCCCGACCAGCGAACGGAACACTGCCCAGATCCGCATCTTGCCTCGGAAATGATCCACCTTTTCGCCGTGTCCATCGCATGCTCGAAGAACCTCAGCCCGCGTGTTGCATACAAATTTGTCCATTGGTTGTATACCTTCCTGGTATCGCACAATGCAACCGTGAAACCCTCGCTCGTGCGTGCCATGTATCATGCTGGTGTTTTGCGGTTCCGGCGAGAAGGACTGCGCGTCGCGCCGACGCAGTATGCTTACATCTTCGAACGAGTCAAGGAAATCGAGATGCCGGAGATGGTCCAAGCGCTCATGGAGCCTCCACGCGTGGGAGAAACGGTGAAACATTCTGACTTGGATTGAGGAGCGAAATTCTTTGTACTATAGATTAAATAATATCACTTGATGTCAACGAAAAGCTATATTTGTCTCAGTGCAGTCAGTTCTGAATGAACGCGGTATAATAGACCCATCCATCCGTCATGGCCGCCTAGGACGAAGCGGAGTGTCAAATTCTCGCTGCCGTATTTCTTTTTACGTTACTGTTTAATTCTATTCTCGATTATATGAATTGCGGGAGTATTCGGTAAATTAGATCTTCCATGCGTCACAGAAAACAAGAGGATAGAGAAATATCGCGTTAAACCCATGTGCCGATTCTAACCTAATTACGAATCCACCTCCATCAGGTTCGAATCCCCAGAAGCCTCCTCCACGGATACGTATTTTCTCATGTCCTCCTTGCTGATGATTTTCTCGTTCAGGTAAGCCGTCGTGCCACGGGGGAAGCGGTAGTTGCGCTCCTTCTGGCCACGCTCGTTGGGCTTCATGTAGTTACGCAGCAGCTGCGTGGGCTTATCATTCTCAATAACGCAGACGTCGACATTGCTACCGGAGCCCAAATCGTTGAAGATACCGGCCTTGATAGCCTCCGAGCACAGAGCGACGGCCTCCTCGCGGTTCAGGTTCGGTTTCCACATCGACTCAAAGACAGACATGGCGGCCAACGAACCAGAGCCCATGGTCACGTAGGGAAGTTTATCGGTTGAGCCGTGGGCGTGCACGGTGAAGAGACCGACGCCCGTGGGGTCAACGCCCGCAACCACCAAATAGGCGCCGATGTGTCCCTGGTATCGGAAGAGGTGCTGCTTCAACATGGTCATGCAGGTGATTACTCGTGGGGGCCGGCCCGTCGACAGTGCGTGCAGTTCGACGTTGGAGCTGATCAGGGCAGTGGTGAATTCGGTGTCGGCAGCTGTACCGGCGCCAGCACACCAGATCTTGGGGGCGATGTAGTGTAATTTCTCGCAGTTCTATGAAGGGTAGACAGGTCAGTGTTGGCTACGTAGATTCAAACCCACGACATGAATTGAATTACATACCTTGTCTGCGACTATAGGGCCACTTGTAGCTCTGGTATCGGCAGCAATCTATAAGGAACGCTCATGTAAGCTTCCAAATAGCTCATCATCACTCGGGTCATTGGTTGAGTTCCATCATCACATACCACCACGCCATTATCAAAGATACAGCCAACGATTGTTGTACCCGTACTTGTTGCTTTAGGAAGAGGAACACCCTTGGCGTGTAGAGCCGCGTTACGGTTGTAGTTGGAGAAGTCGAAGCCTGTCATGTTGACGGGCGCCGAGACAGGTTACGGAATAAAATGACGAGCAACGCAGGATTATATCGGTTGAACAGATCTTGATAATCAAGTTCAAGCTGTGGAGTTGATCTCGGAAGCAGGAGAAAGAACAGATTCGAAACAGATAGCAGAAGGGAAGCTTGAGCAGCTAGTCGGTTGAGATGGGCGGAGGAGAGCTGGGACTGTTGCAGTGACGAAGCTCCCGCCGCCTAGTTACCGCTGCCTCAGGCAACAAGGCCGACATCGCGCCGACATCACGCCCAGAGCTTCCGCTGTTTTTGTTCCGCCGGAATTTATCCATTGCTTGCTCTATTGTCGATTGCTATTGCTTCCCTCAAACAATACCCGGGACCGTTCTTGAAGTCCTGAACATAATCGATCCTACTTCGGCTGACTTGTCCCGGCCGACTTACTTATTCTCTAAGTCTTGACTCTCTCCCTTCTTCCGAGGGGAGATATCCAAGATTTTTGCGCGCACTTGGAAGCTCTTCAACCGGAGTCCCCAAGCACTCCAGCGCCGCTCTTTTACAACACCCCCACAAAGTCCGCCTTCTCCCCATGCTCCAAAGACCAGACGCTCTTTAGGCGACCGTCCTCGTTCAATCTCATCTGATTTCGACAGACTTAGAATGGCTTTCAACCTTGGGGCGTCTAACGCCGCCGGCGGAGGACCTAGCGCAGAGTTGGGACCTGAGCTACCAGATGTCATTGCAGATGTATGTCGCGTCCAGTCACCTATTCATTTCCTGGCTTCTTTTTTGGTATCATTTGCTGACGATGGGATCAGGAGGTGGGATTCAAAGGTGTCTCTGGCGATAGCAACGTTCGATTACTCTCTACCCCTTGGCCTGAAGATGCTCTTCCAACACCCACATGCTCCCTCCTCGCTGTCGCGCCAACACAAGGTATTCTTGTCGGTGCTGGGCCCAATTCCCTCGCTGTAGCATCTTCTGAAGCAGTGAGGAATGCCATCTCCGCATCTGCCGGAGAGGGCAAGGTCAAGACCAAACCGTTCCAACCACAAGCGACCATACCCCTTCCTGCGCGACCTACACATGTGGCCTTCGCTTCGGGTGACAGTGCCTTGGTACTGGCGACTGAGGATGGCGCGGGGCTTGCGGTCTATCAGACAACTACTTTGCTGTCAGGAGTCACGCAACCCGCCTTATCCATCCCCACGAACAATACGACTCTACGGGTTGTGGCGCCCAACCCTACACCATCAGAAGATATACTCTCGTCACTTGTCGCACTTGTTACATCAGGTGGAGAACTTCTGATGGCCGATCTGAAAGGAGCGAACCTGATACCTGGAGCTAATGGCCAGGTTCTAAGGGCCGGAGTAAGCTCAATTTGTTGGAGCAACAAAGGAAAGCAGCTGGTAGCCGGTCTTGCGGACGGAACGGCTGTGCAATTGACCCCAGACGGTACTCAAAAAGACACGATACCGCGGCCATCTGATCTTGAAGGGGATTGTCATGGTATGTCTGCTGACGCTGACCACTGTCTGTTCCGTACTGATTCAAATTAGTTTCGTCCATCGCATGGTTGGAGAATGATATCTTCTTGATGGTTTACACATCAAATGCGACTGAAGATGATATGGGTCAAACCCCTTCATCCTCATATTATCTCATCACCAGACGAAAGGGTGCACCTTTTCTGGTTCAAAGATTGCCAGAATTGTGCATGCCGTTTGGTGTCAACCGTGCTCCAGCCTATCAGTTTATTGCACGCCTACGCGACTACAAACCACATCTGAAAGACGTGTTGATTGTCTCGTCTACAGCGTCCACTGATATAGGGCTTATAACCCGATCTGATCAGCCATTGGCAAGCGATGAAGCCGCCAAAGGTACTGTTGGTTTATTTACGACAACAGAAGTCAATGATGACACAAAGAGAGCCGCTTTGCCTCTAGATGATTCCTCCAATGATACTTCAGTGATTGGGTTGGGGATTGATTTGTCTAGCACCAGCCCTGTGGCATCTCCTATCCAAGGGGAAGATATTGCGGAGAGTTCCACGCCCCTTCCAAATCTCTTTTGCTTGAACAATGATGGTATCCTGTCGTCTTGGTGGCTCATATATTCCGAGTCGATTCGGCAGAAATTGCCATACCATGGCCTTGTTTCTGTTAACCCACAGCAGCCACAACCCCCAGCTCAGACGCCAGTCCCGGCTCCAACCCAACCACAAGCCCAAACAAAACCTCAGAGTCAACCTGCTTTTGGGCAGTCTGCTTTTGGAAAATCGGCCTTCGGCAGTCCGTCACCTCTGGGCGCTTCGCCATTCGGTAAGCCTTCTGCTGCCCCAGCATTCGGCGGCCCCTCAACCTTGGGTAGTCGACAACCTACCTTTGGTACACCTTCCACACCAGCTGCTCCTTCGTTCGGGTCGCCATCTCAAATGGGACACTCATTCGGTGCACCTAGCACGTTGGGGCAGGCGGGGCCTCAGTTCGGAAAATCGGGTTTCGGTGCCCCATCTACGCCAGGTTTCGGACAACCATCCCCTGCAGGTAAACCTCTTGCCTTTGGAGCACCCAGCGCTGGCTCTGGCGGGGGATTTGGCTCGTTTGCCGGTGGAGGTGGATTCTCGAGCTTTGCGGCTGCTAAACCAGCAGCGCAATCTCCATTTGGGAAACCTGCAGGAGAGTCACCGTTCGGCAAACCGTCGACCGCGAGCCCATTCGGAAAACCTTCAGGGCCATCACCCTTCGGTGCTAAGGCTGAGGCCGACACGGCTTTCAAACCACAGACCGCAGACCAGCCTAAAAGTGCCTTTGGTGCCCCTTCGAGTGGGTTCGTATTGGGTTCCACTTTTAAGGGTGACGGGACTGCTGTTAACGATGGCCCAAGGCCTGAAAAGTCTTCTGGGCTGTTCTCGTTTGCTACTTCGCTGGATGATATGGTATCTTCGCCGAACAAGACTAGCCCGCCAACTGAATCCATGGATGATACCGAAGATCAGCCTGCACAAACCGAACCCGAGAAGCCAGCAACGAAAGAGCATGTACCATCGTTGTTTGGCGCTCCGTCTAAAGTCGAGTCTGCTAAACCAATATCATTGTTCGGTGCTCCGTCTAAGGTAGACACGTCTAAGCCGGCATCGGTGTTTGGTGCTCAGACACAACCTCAGCTTTCTACCCAGGCCACAAAATCTTTCTCTTTGTTTGGAAATGCTGCCGCAGAGAAGCAGATCACTAGCCCCCTATCGCCACCGTCCGAGAAAACTCTTGTCCCTAGCTCAACTCCCACAGCGGGGAGCACCCCACTTGCTGAGCCACCACTTCCGCCTGATCCGACAAGTAGGGCTGCCTATGGCCCTGGTGACACATCTGCTTCTTCCAATGTCTCCAAGATCTCGGTCGAAGATTCGCCCCTTCCCCCGGCCCCGACGGCCAAAACAAACCCGACGTTAGAAGACGTTGCCGCGGATGCCCCGCTTCCCCCTGATTTCACGCGCCTGGCTCAAAGTACTAAACCCGAGAAGCCTACAGCCGAAGAGGCTCCATTGCCCTCAGAATCCCCTGCTCCAGAGTCACCAGTTACATCGGACAGAGAAGCTAGTCTCCTTCCCGAAGAATCGGATGTTGATGAATCGGAGAGGGAGTTGAGCGACGAGGGCGAAGAATCTGATTTTGCTGATAGTGGGGAGGATATCACGCATGAAATTGATGAAGAGGAGGAGTCCGATGCTACAGGGCAGACCCCAAAAATCTCTCCGGAGAGTTCGTTTGGAGCTGGTGTGTCCGACCAAAGCCCCGCCGAAGGGTTGTTTTCTCGCATCTCTAAGCCAGGTCAAGCGCCGCCGCGGCAGTTATTTGGGGAAATTAACAAACCAGTTTTTCCACCCAAGCCTCATGCAAGCCGCGAGCCACCGAGGTCGCCTAGCCCAGTGCGAGGAGGTGCCTTGAAGAGTTTACTGAAGCCGCAAATTCAAAAATCGGCCAGTGCTCCTCAAGTTCCTGGTAGCACTCTTGCTGCACGCAAGGCTGTGCTCATGGAAGCTGCCCAGCGCGATTCCCGTCTGCGGCAGAAGTCTGATCGTACTGCTCGTGAAGAGCAGACTCGGCTGCAGCTTCAAGCACAAAGACAAGAAGAAGAATCAATGTCACTTTCCGACGACGACGAGGATGAGAAGCTTCGGGCCGACCTTGCCCAACCGCTGAAGTCTGTCCCCACACTCGATCCCTTCCTGCCACACCAGGACTACATGGGTGAGACCAACAAGCCAGGCATTCCTGGCCAGATTGAAAGGTTGTATCGTGACATCAACTCCATGATTGATACTCTAGGGATCAATTCCCGTGCTCTATCTTCCTTCCTGCTTTATCAAAAACAGTCATCGAAAGATAGCGAAAACTGGATACAAATCTTGAAGAGTGATCATCCAGCTGATATTCTGGACGAGAAAGTGCTTCTATGTGAGGTCGAGAAACTCGACGACGCAGTGCATATGCTGGCTAAGTCTCTCGAGGAACAACGGGTGCAAGGCGTGGAAGATAAACTGGACGCATGCCGGGAACTACTGAGTAAAGATATCCTCACGCTAAGAGGCCAGTGTGCAAGCATCCGAAAGACTCTTGACGCTCATACCGACACCGCTGCGATCCTGTCTGCGCCCCTCTCTGCCGAACAAGCAAATCTTCAACAAGATCTCCGGTCTGCTTTCACGGACATTCAAGCCAAGTTAGCAGACTTGGAATCAGCGGTCTCATTATTACGGGCTAAGATTGCAGAAGCCCCTCGCACAGACGGTGGTCGTCAGCCCACGAAGCGCCCAACTGTGGAGGCAGTGACTTCTACGATTGCAACCATGATGAATATGGCCGAAAGCAAGAGCAGCGATATCGATGTTCTTGAAGTTCAGCTAAAGAAGCTTGGTATTGATACATCAGGTACTCCTGGTAGCCGAGAGGGATCGCCATTCACCACACCCAAAAAGGGCATGGCAAGGTTGCCTACGACGCCCGGCTCGCGTGGCTCAATTGATATGCCCGTTAGTGCATATCACACTCCAGATTCTGCATCCCGATTCCGGTCCAGCATCAACGGGTCAGCCAAAGCTAGCCGGCTTCGCAGTATTGAGAACGTGGGCGAATTGGCTACGAGAGAAGAAACGGCACAATGGAAGAGCAGGATGTCGCGTAGACAACATATTGTCAGTGACTTGAAGAGGGTTATCGGAGAGAAGAAGTCGAAAGTCAGGGGTGTTGATGATTTGTAGACCCACTTGGGCTGCGGAGTACCTCTTTTGTTGACCTCTTTATTGAATAAGAGGTGGTGTCATGGCGTGGATTGAGCAATGTGAACGATGATGCCTGTACATAGATTTGACTACGATTTGGTTCAACTTACAGTTGGTTTCTGTTCATAATAAGCTAGCTAATGATGTGCAACTTCCCATTGAATTGACATGCATTGCTCAGAATGACTTAGGAAGGCTGATTGAGCGGGGTTGACATCATCTTTTTCACTGACATCAACCGCATCTTTAATCCCTACAACCTACCCTCGGCGACGTTACGATATTCCCTATTCCACTTGAAAGGCCCGCTGCATGATAGATTAGACAGACAGCAGTTGATAGATTCGCATCCTTTCGTTCAACTCACCATCAATAGCCCGCACCCTCCAACTAGGCGATCTATCTACTACAGACAAAATGGTCCTCCCAGTCGTCGAGTTCGTCTTCTTCAAACTTCGATCCTCTGTTAAGCCAGAAGACCCCTCAAATGAGGAAGGCGAAGCCCTGTCCAAGATTCTCACTGCCACGAAACAACAAAGCGGGTACCAGAGTTCGGCTTGGGGCAGAGCCGTGGAGGATGAAAACCCCGTGGTCTGGGTGATCGGTGAGTATTTCGAAAGCGATAGAATCTTAAAACAACCCCAAGTATCTCGTCGACCGTTCCAGGACACGCAGGGCTAATTTCGCATTTTCCGTCACGGGTTGCAGTCTGGGACGATGAGCACGATAAATGCCAGTGGGATTGCCTCGCCCCGTTCCTCGAACCGAAGTCCGAGGTCATCAAGGTCTATTCAACGCTCAACCCGCCTGTCTCGGCGACGGAGACCTTCACGACGAACCCGATAACAGAAGTCGTTACTCTGGCCTTCCCAAGTTCGCTCAAGCCGGAGGAGCACAAGAAGCTCGATGAAGATCTGATCAACTTCCGCTTGACGCTTACGGAGAAACTGCCCGAGCAATTGCGGCCCAAGTCATGGACGATGGGCCAAATACAGCGACCGGGCACGCTCCAGCATGCGAAGAGTCCCTCAGGACAGGCGTTTGTGTATGTTGCTGCGGTGGGGTGGGAGAGCGTAGAGACTCACATGGCGGCTCGAGAAACAAAGGAGTTCGCAGAGTCTATCCAGCCGATTCGCGAGAAGATGATTCCTCCCATGCAGGGGTTGAACATGAAGCATGTAAGCTTTAGAAAGATCTGATTCTCGTCGGAGACACATCAATGTGATAGGTTGAATTGCGCCGGCGGAAAACAAGATATGACATAGGAGAACATTTGATTACTATGGTACTGAAGTGGTAGGCAAGAAGCAAGGAAAGCGCCTCGAAGTAGAGTACAACGCAAAATATACCCGAAAGAGAACATCAAAGCCCCCAATAGATGACTTTTTGCATGGGACACGGACGACCCAATCGGTGCCGGAAACAAAGAGGGTAAATTTACCTCTTCTCAGATTCGGTGTTTCTCACTCTCTGCAGAAGTATGGTTAGCACAGGAGATTAAAAGTAGTAAGGGGAAAGAACTAACCAAGTCGGGAGTACAGCATGTACAAAGCCATCTGGTTGCACTCCTGAGTTCCAGTAATGGTTACCAGACGCTCGTTGCTGTTCTCTTGTGGCTCGTTGATTTTGATAACACTACCACTGAGGTGTCGGATCTCATTGATCTTAGCACCACCCTTTCCAATAATAGCACCAACCATATCGTTAGGGATATAAATTTGCTGAGTCAGCGGCTGACCAGGCATAACTCCACCAGCAGGTGTGGCAGGAGTAGGGGCACCACGCGACTGAGCAGGCTGCGGTGCGCCATAGGGAGCAGGCTGATGGGGACCAGCCCCAGCATACGGAGTATGAGGGGTAGCCCCATAATGAAGGGCCGGCTGGGCTACAGGTGCAGGTGCAGGCTGCCCATGCAGGTAAGGAACGCCATATGCGCCTGCGGCAGCACGGTTGGGGTGGGGGTGATGTCGCTTAAACGTTTCTGGATGACCGTATTGGCCGCCAGCGGGTTGCGGAACATAAGGGACAACCTGCATACCACCAGGCACCGCTCCAGCAGGACCTCCGCTTCGGGTAGCATAAGCTGAAGCAGCAGGACCTCCAAAGCGCTCAGTAAGCTGTTCAACAAGAGTTACGGCGACGTAGTAAGTAGCGATGTGAACAGAGTCTGCGACACCGAGGATTACAAGCGACCGTTCAGTGGACAAGGGAAGGCAGGCATCTGACGCATTGAGTCGGGCACCGGAGGCCTCCTGAATTTCGCGGATGCGGGAGCCACCCTTACCAATGATGGAGCCAATTAGAATATGAGGGATAAGCAAACGCAGAGGATATGTCTTGGATTGGGCGGTGGAAGGGGCATCAAGGGGTTCGTTGTTCAATGTACGAATGATCAAGCCAAATGCCTATTTATAACTTGCGATTAGCAACCAGTACATTATCGAGCGAACGAGAAGACACCTACCTTAGCAACAGCATCCTGTGGACCGCTGACAGTCAAAATACGCTCAACAGCACCACGTGAGTAGTCGCTGACGGTGCACTTTGCTCCAGACAGACGACGGATTTGAGATACATTTTCTCCGCCTTTGCCGATGACGGTGGCAGCCTCCTGGCTGGAGATTACAGCGCGAATATGAATCCAACTAGACTCATCTTGAGGACGATGCTGTTCAGGTTGAGAAGAGGCACGGTCACCATGCGACGCAGTTGACTGAATCGGCTGGGTCTCACCCGACGCGCCCTTACCATTCGGAGCGTCTGGAACAACAGTGTCACCCTGGCCACCAGCACTGGCACTTGGCACAGCAGGGGGCTCAGTTTTGGCATCTGTATACGCCTCCGACTCATCACCCTTTACTACTTTGTCCAAAGCGGGACGCTTGGCTTCAGGTTGGTCATTTGGTCCAGAGGGCGAAGATGGGTCCTCCAAGGGACGCTTGGTCGATTGCAGGGCGGATGGAGAAGCAGACATTGTGAGAAGTGTGCAGTCTAGCTTCACTTACACAAGGAGGCGACGTGTCAAAGAGGATAGTTTGTTTCTTTGTTTTCTTTCTTTTGTTCTGCCTGAATTGATCGGCTATGTACACCAGGAGTTCCCAATAAAACTTGCTGGTGCTGGTGATCGACTGGAAAGGGAATCTGGTGCTTGGAAGAACAGGGAGAGTTGGTGTTCGTGCACAGTGAAAAGAGTAAGGTTGATGGTGGAGGAAGGACAGCCGGCGGAGGAAATGTGAAGAGGCTGGGTATTCACGGGCCTTGGTTGTCTGAGCAGGAAGCTTCACTAGGGTGAAGTGGTGCTAAGGTAGGAGAGGAGAAAAGAATCGGGTACGATGAAGCGGAGGAAGAGACAAGTAGTGCTGGATGGTGATAGAGAACTCAGGATCCAGACGTGCTTGGATGCTGACGATGGGCGTTGGGAAAAGGATGAATCAGAGCAAGATAGAAGCCTTGAGCAACTGCCAAAAATCCAGAAGCGTTATCCCTCAGCGAAAAACGCGTCGTCTCCCAACACTGCCAGATAACCCGCCACGCAATAGCCCAAAAAAAGGATTTGTTGGAGTAGGACGTTGATGCCAACGACTTGGGAACAGAAAGCAAGCTACTGCTTGACACGGGAGCTAGTAATAGACAGAAACACAAATAAAGAAGCAGAATAAAGACGAGGATAGATGAAGTGGATGAGGTCCCCTGAGAGCTGCGATGAAGAGATGATGTTGCGAGAAGAGGTGAGGCAGGCCAGTGGCACGGGGCCACGCTAGGCCATATCAGGCGGCCAGGGAGTGCAGTCACGTGAAGGGGGGCATCACAGTCATTTCCTGTCCAGCATCCGGGGACATTCCAAAACATTGGGTTGCTTTTATGATTGATTGTTCAACAGCAATTGCAGTCTTCAATAGTTCTGTATCCATTCGACAAATATTGATCTCGAGACAGGGGTGATCAGCGGTCACCAAAGACGAAACGCGATGGACGCCTCAGAAGGAACAATCGAGAAGATCCAACATTTTGCGCAGAAGCGCCAAAAAGCCGAGGAATTTTACAAAGAAGAGCTGACAAGCCCAGCTGCGTTCGAGCTCTACAATAGGACACTCGATGACACCCTTAAGGAGTTGCAGGGCCAAGTCAAACGCCACGAAGATGAGCTGCGCAAGGTATGTAAAGAATATAAAGAATATACGGTTCACATATCAAGAGCTCGGCTAACACTGGCAATAGCTTCGCATGTCGAAGTCAATTGATTTCTCACAAATGGAGGCAGATCCTTGGACTCGTGTCTCTCAAGTGCGTAGAGCCAAGAAAGCTTACGATACTCTTGTCAAATCTGAAATGCGCTTGCCAAGTCCTGGGTCACCTTTGCCCTCACTCCTTGCACTTGATGCGACATCTCGCCTTGTCAAGGAAAGCAAGACTTCCATTGTGATGACGGCAGAGAAACTCTCCGCGGATCGTCAGCGCCTGAAGATGGAAGAAGCCAGCATGCGAGACGCGCAACTGATCAGAGACGGGTTGGAGAAGAGGATTGGAAAACTGAGCGAAGAAAAGTCCACTAAAGTGCAGAAAACCCCAGCACAGCTTGCGCATGGTCTTGTCACTGAAGAGAAAGAGAAAATCAAGAAATTGGACGCTGCCACGCAAAACCTCAAGATATCACTTTATAAATTCGTTGATGATAGACTTGCGTCAATGCTTGCTGCAGAGGATCTAGGCGGTCCCACCGTTGGCGATGAACTGGAAATCTCCGATGAGACGCTGAAAGCGGGCTACACAAGTCATGGAAAGCCCAAGAGACCGAAGACAACCTCGGAAGGGGATTTGAGCGGCAACCAGCAACGGATTGATGACTTTATTCGTCGTCAAAATTCTCAAAGTGGCAGTCAGCAGGTGGCCTCTGCCAACAAAAGGGAGGCAGCTGCAGCCGAGATGCGTTCTCTTCTTGATGCTTTGCTGGAAGCAAATTTCTCTTACATTGAACTTCCGCGTGAGTCAGCGGCATCAAGGCTCCTAGTAAGAGCCAAAGTTGCCCAGTTTCACCCGCGTGATGCTAGAAAGTTACGACTGGTTGATTTTGGACGTTCATTGATTGATTAAAATGACTACATACATGCATGTATCACTCTGCATTTCTCCACCTTTAAATGGTATCGCGTTCAATGGACCCTTGGAAAAGAAAAAGCTGAACAGCCGTCAGATATGTATATACACACTTAAAGTCTTAGCCAGGAGGTTCTGGAATCCATCACGTCACGCCTTTCGTTACCATAGACATGTTCGCATAAGATGCCCGGCGTGAACCCCAAATGACGCCCAGAAATGCAAGTGCGCAACGAAAAATAGCAATGCTGAACCGCTCATATCATAACAAAACTCATCGGAGAGCAGCTCTGGCTAGCTCTTAGATTGGCATCATTCCGATGCTGGAGGTCGTACTCTGGGCAGTACTCTTCGCCTTGAAACCAGTTCGGGGACCAGAGGTTCGCTTATCAGCACGGTCACCAGTCTTCTTTCTTGGCCGTGGTGTTTTGGCCCTAGAGTTCGATTCAGTCACATTCTTGCGACGAAATTTACGAGCAGACGACGGCTTTCGTTTCTTCGAACGACTAGACTGAGTATCTTGATATTCGCCAACCGATAGGTCTGCCGTCGGCTGTGGTGGGAAGTATCGACTAGCGATGACATCCTCATCACCTCCCAGTGATGCCATTTGATCGGCAAAAATGTCATCGGGATCGCTGAACTCGTCGTCGGTGCAAAGAGTGATTACACAATGATGATTAGGGTCTGGAACGACGCCGTCATTGTCATCACGCTCCTGCTTCAGCTCTTCATACCGACGTTGAGCGTCTCGTACGAGTTTCAATATCTGAGGCCCGTATCGCTCAATTTTGTCTGGGTCTATCCCAGGGAGTCTAGCAAGCTCTGGCAGATCTATCTAACTATCAGCAATGATCACTATCACCACTAGAGGCACCAGTAACATACTTTTTGGAAAGACGATGGCCATCTCACGCAGGATTCCGTCACTGAAAGGCTGGTTGCGAAGATTCTTCTTGAGGACCAACTACCTAGAGATTAGCAAACATGTCATGAAATGGAGTATGGGTAAAGGAACCTACGTCTTGGCAGAAGTTCTTTGCGTAGAACATAAAATCTTCGGCAACTGTCCTATGAAGCGAGTCAAGGTTGTCAAAGCGACTATCTCCAGTTATCGGCGGGCCAGGACTTCGTCTGTCTTGCCGCCGCGGTTCGCCAGCTATCCGAATACGCTCGAAGCCATCGCTATCCCTCTCTCCGTCGGAGTCGCCTTGGTAACGATACTGTGCAAAGCGGTGGCGATTCGCCGACTGTTGTATGGGAGATGAGACATTTGTGGACTGTGGGGCTTCGATCCGAGGACGTGCAGCAGCAGCAGCTGGGCATTTGCGCTTTGACCCAGCAGGTATGGCGAGCTTGAGTTTACGCCGCCCACTCTCGAAATCAACAGCACGTTCACCAATCTTGAGATATTGATTCGCAAAGGCGCTCCCATTGAGGACGTTTTCTTCGCGCAGAGCACCCTCCATGAGGAGCCACAGGAAAAGCCGATCCACGACGCCCGGTTCCGATTCCTGCCCCAGGCCGAAGCCGGGGACTTCCTTGTGCTGGGGGGAACGGAATCTTTTCATGGTTCCGCGAAACATGTGCACGCAATAGGTCATTGTTACATTATCTCCAAGGGTCTCGAAATATCGGACAATTTTCAGGACAGAAATGGCATGGTGCGAGAAATCACGGTGTTCAAAACCGGTGTCTGAGGTGCAAACATCGCAGGAGCGATTGCAGTCTGCCTGACGAAAGTATTCGTTGAAGTATGCAAGAATCTGTACTCTTCTGCAGTCAGCTGGGTTGAGGCAGTACTGCATAACATTCCGTAGCATTTGACGCTGTCGAGTCTTCTGCTCGTTACTGCCTTCACCCTTATCAATCATGCTTTGGAGGGATGTATAATCCCGATATGAATAATAAAGATAGCAGCCTGAGCGCTTGCCATCACGACCGGCTCGTCCAGTTTCTTGATAGTACCCTTCAAGACTCTTGGGAATGCTGTGGTGAATGACAAAGCGTACATCTGGTTTATCAATTCCCATTCCAAAGGCAATGGTGGCAACGATGACATGAACACGACCGGTCTGCCAGCGCTCTTGGACTTCTGCCCTCTTGGCGGATGCTACTCCAGCGTGGTAAAAGTCCGCCTTGATTTTGTACTTAGATGCCAGAATCTCCGCAACACTTTCACAAGCTTTGCGCGACAGACAGTAGACAATGCCAGACTTGTTGGGATATGATGTTTTGATCGTATTGGCTATGCTGTCCATGACCTCTGAACTTTTGCCCTTTTGCCGCACCTCGTATGTCAAATTGGGACGGTTGAAACTTTGTGTAAATATCTCGCAGCCTTCCATCTTAAGATTATGGATGGTGTCAACTTTAACGTTTTCTGTTGCAGTGGCTGTCAAGGCTATCATTGGAACGCCCGGTAACCGATTCCTGATTTCTCCCAGTTCTTTGTAGTCCGGCCGGAAATCATGTCCCCACTGGCTGACACAGTGGGCTTCGTCAATCACAATCCGGGCAAGTCTGTGGCGTTTGTTGAGCTTTTCTAGACTTTGGATAAGAGCCTGGCTCTTGTTAATCATCTCCGGCGTGATGTATAACAACTCGATGCGTTCCTCGGCCACTGGTCCAGACAGCGTCTGCATGATCCACGTTCTTTCATCCCGTTTTGTCTCACCGTTGAGCAAAAACGCCTTGATGTTAATCGCTTTCAAATGGGATACTTGGTCTTGCATCAAGCTCAAGAGGGGTGAAACCACAATTGTGACACCCCTGGTTGAGCCAGTAGTCACAACAGAGGGTAACTGGTAACAAAGGGACTTTCCTCCTCCTGTCGGCATGAGAACGAATGTATCTTTTCCGCTTAAAGTTGCATCTATTGCCTCAAGCTGGTTCATTCGGAATCCGCGAAGATGAAATTTATCTTTCAAAACACGTTTTACATCCTTCGACCATGGATGCTGGTTCCACAAAGGGTTGTGAGTCTGTGATTTTTGCGTTCCCGCAAATCTTGAAATGTTTCCGGACGTCTCGACGAAGACTTTACGTGCCGGAGATGCAGATCTCTCGTTTGTTGATGCAAGCCTGCTATCAAAATGCTCTGCAACTTCCAGCATATCTGCATCATCTGCCTCCAGGTCGAATTCATCCACATCACCAAAAGAATGAGACGGGCTTCCCATAGTCCTTGTAAAAGTGTCAGTTTCTTCACATATCGCTGATTCATCCAAGTCGAACTCCTTCACTATTGTACTATCACGGGGAGTTCTGGAAGTAGTGCCGGACACACGTTCGGATGCAATCATTCGACCAAGGCAAATCTCGGATGGCGTCCGTACGGGCGCTCTGTGGCGCGAGACAGAGGATGTTTGTAGAACCTCCGTCTGAACTTCTTTCGAATGCCTTGAAGCCCTAATTCCAGACGAAGAAGGGACTATTTCCGAGCCACTTCGCATATCTCGGCCAATTTTTCCAATCGTGTCGGAGTCAATACCAACTTTTGCAAGCAGGAGGCCCATTTGCTCTCCGATGCCTTGGAGCTTTGACGCGACATCTCGACTTTGCGCAATCTCGTCCGGCATAGACTGTGGGTCTCCGCCACGAGAAATGAAGTCGATAAGTGCTTTCTTGAGGTTCCCTTTCCGTCTTTCTAGAGTCTGATAAGCCTTTTTCTCTTGCTTTAGCAACCCAATGGCTTCAATCTTTTTTGTGATAGTTTTATTCTCAGATATGAACTCAGGGGCTGGTTCACCCATCATTGCTCGTTGGTAGACGATTTCCGAATTCTTCGTAAGAGTGTTCTGAAGATTCGACAACAAGTGATCAAGAAAGCTTTCAGGGGAATTCAAGAACCCGAGAATGACTGGATCGTGGGGCTGAGATCCTGGTAGATAGGAAGACATCGGTACGCCTGAAGTTTGCCTATGGTCCAAATGGTCCTTATCCTTTGGTCGTGGAGCTGAACTGTCCGTCGGCTGGAGAGAGGCAGAACCATCTTTCTTCAAGCGTTTCTTGGGCTCAATGATCTCAGTATCACTCGTGGATAAATCCTTCGGCAGAACCGGATACAACGCATCAGGGGTAGCGAGAGCGGGTTCACCTTCCTCAATCCACTCGAATAGATTATCATCATCGTCATTATCATCGGAATCGGCAATGATACGATCAGTGCGACTAGTTCGAGATAATGACGACCCACGTTCCCATAGCCTTGAGAGAGGTGAGCCACTGTCATCTTTCGCCGAATGAAATTTTTCTGATCCATCTGGATACGCAGATTTCGCAGTGACGAGTGGCGAGGGAGTAAGATGTTTTTGAACAATCTTTCTTGGTGACAGGAGATCGGATCGATACTCATCACTTTTCCGTTTCTTGCCACGCTTTTCAAATGGTTCTCTGAGGGACGCAGCATCCTCCGTCCATAGCCGTCGTGGTGAACCAAAATCTTCAACCGTATCAGACGAAGCTAAAGGGCGATCCAAGTCTCCTGTTAAATCAATGGAATCGATTAGAGGCGATGTCAGATCCACCCGGCGTTTCGTTCGAAGAGGGGTAGCAGTCGGCCGAGAAGCACTGCCAAAGGAAGCAGACCAGTCCCCTTGACTCGCTGTGTTCGGTTGTATCCTTGTCAGCCCACCAGAGCACCCAAATTGACTTCATTATCCTACCTTGGCCAAGACCACGCTGGTCAGCCGTAGCTCTCTGTTCGGTGAAAGACTTCACCGATGTCCGTCGTCCTGCGGAATTCGGTGTACTGGTCAAGTGGCTCTCACGACTGAGCATTCGTGGTTTACTCGCGGACTGGGGAGCAAGTAGCAATCGTGCCATATTCGTGTCGGGATCTAACTCTGTGGTATTGCCTCCAGCATCATCACCATCATCATGCCCGAATCTTGTCCCTGCAATGGCTTGAGAGTCGCTAACATCGATACTGTCTGCCTGGATGACCGTCGCATTGATTTGCGAAGTCTGTTGACCCGTTGTGACTCGGCGGCTAGCGGATTCCTGAATCTCTTGGGCGAATGATGTGAGGGAAGGATACAGTGAACGGCCTTGGTTCAGCAGCCATTTGAGATGGACATCCAGGTTGTTTTTAGTCATAGAGACGTTCTTTCGTAATCATCATTATCCACGCTTCTCCAACGATATCTTCGTTAAAAATTCTTGTCACTAATTCGCGTGACTAGCACTTCAACTGTCTCGATATCAGAGGAATGATTGAATGGAAACAGACGCGTCTCAACACGCTATCACGTGGGCGGTGTACATTAAAAATCATCGTTCTGATCTACTATGTATGAGTTCGACAAGCTACAACTCAACAGCATCTGATGTCCATGTTCTCCTCAAGACACGCAATATTGTTATTGTTGTAATTCTCTGTACGAAGATTTCTGTTTCTTCTCAGGAATATGCACGGATTGGTTATGAGATAAAAACCTAATAAACGTTACCTTGGAATTGATTCAGGTATCACACATGAAGTATACAATGTCCATGTGAGGAAGTATTACAGAACTGCATTCAAACATACGAGTAAAATCCATACGCTACTGGTACATTATTTAGAACCGTAAGTAGACCTAGGTAGCAGGACTTAACCACTGACTGCCGTATTATCGTACATTATAAACCGATCAATGGGATTGCCAATTGCTACATCTATTCGTCGTGGTATTTGTTTTACGGGATATAGTACCGAATGCGGGGATGCTTTTTTTTTGCCCAAAATTTTTGACCCCGCGCTGTAATTTCGACATGTCGAGGAAGCAGTTGCATCGCCCTTACATACGGGAAGCCGCACCCTTGAATTAGAATAATTTTCAGGGAATAGACTAAAGACAAGGGTAGCACCCTGTCAACTGTTCGCAATGGGCAAGAAAAATAAGAAGTCTGCGGAGCACAAGGAGCGGGTTGCGGCGAAACAATCCAAAAAGGCCGCACAAAAAGATAAGAAGCACAAGACCAAAGGTCGTGATGCAGATAGCGATGCAGAAGATGCCGATCTGGATGCTATCCTAGCACAGTATGCAGAAGAGCAAGCGAAGTTTCTCAAGGTCACAGAGGTAGTCTCAGGACCGCCCTCTCCTCGAACCTCCGCTACAGTTCTTGCATCTCCTTCGAACCGCAACGAGCTCCTGATCTTTGGTGGAGAGTACTTTGATGGCACATTAGCCACTTTCTTCAACAATTTGTTTGTCTATAACATTGATCGAGATGAGTGGAAAGAAGTCACTAGTCCCAACAGCCCTCTACCTCGAAGCGGACATGCTTGGTGTCGTGGAGGGAATGCGGGAGGTGTCTATCTGTTTGGAGGTAAGCATTGAACAAAACAGTTTTGATGAGGATTGACCTTAACCGCTTTCGATCATGAACAGGCGAATTCTCTTCGCCAAAACAAGGTACATTCTATCATTATAATGATTTTTGGCATCTTGATCCTGCTACAAGAGAATGGAGTCGACTTGAAACCAAAGGCAAAGGCCCTCCTGCCAGAAGCGGCCATAGAATGACATATTTCAAGGTTTGTCTCTGATTATCTTCCGGCATTCTTGAGCGCGTGCTGAGACTTTCCAGAACTATATCATTCTGTTTGGCGGGTTCCAGGACACTTCGCAGCAGACAAAGTATCTCCAAGATTTATGGATATATGACTGCTCGAAGTTTACTTGGTTCAATCCTACATTGCCTCCAGCAGCACAGAAGCCCGATTCTCGATCCTCGTTCTCGCTACTACCCCATGAATCCGGTGCGGTTTTGTATGGTGGCTACTCCCGTGTCAAGGCAACCGCGGGCGTGGGAGGCAAACCACAGAAGGGTGGTCCTCAACGGATGACCATGAAGCCCATGGTCCACCAAGACACCTGGTTCCTCCGTATCACGCCACCTGAGGCTGAAGCCCCTGCAAATGCAGCACCTACAGTACGCTGGGAACGTCGCAAGAAACCTGCCAACTCTCCCAACCCGGCTCGCGCCGGCACTACGATGGCGTATCACAAAGGCCGAGGCATCATGTTCGGTGGAGTTCATGACGTCGAACTTAGCGAGGAAGGGATTGACAGCGAGTTTTTCGACACACTACTGGCCTGGAACACTGACCGGAATCGTTTCTTCCCATTATCACTGCGCCGCCCAAGAGCAGCCGGTAAGAAACAGCAAGCTAATCAAATGAAATCACGCAACCGAGCCAAAGCGGACGAAGAAGAGCTTCTACAGAATCTAAAGGCTCTTGAAGCAAAAGGAACCCTGCGTCTAGACGAGGGTGAGGACGAGTTCCGGTCAAGCATCCCTAATGTTGAGGATGAACCCACAGAGCCCGAGAAGCCATCTATTGTGCGTTTTGAAATGCCCCATAAACGCTTCAACGCACAGCTAGCCGTGCAGGACGACACCCTATTTATCTTTGGCGGAACATTTGAGAAAGGAGACCGAGAGTTCACATTCAATGACATGTACTCCATTGACTTGGTGAAGCTCGACGGCGTGAAGGAGGTATTTTACAACGAGCCTGACAACTGGCATCTACTCAATGAAGCGGACAGTGATGATGAATTGGACGAAGACGAAGAAGATGAGGATGAGGAAGAAGATGAAGAAGAAGAAAATGCTATGTCTGTGGAGGGTGCTTCTCCGGCTCCTACTGAAATCACCGTCCCTTCGGTCTCCCAGGGCATGGAACAACTTGAAATGGAGGAACAGGAAGCAGAGCCTTCGGTACAAGATAGCCGTCCTCTCCCGCGTCCTTTCGAGAGTCTGCGTGAGTTCTTCAGCCGTACGTCAGAGGAGTGGCAGAAGGTGTTGCTAGAGACTCTGAAAGAGAAGGGTGTCGCGGTAGAGAAGAACATCAAGGAGCTGCGCAAGGATGCGTTCGATATGGCAGAGGAGAAGTGGTGGGACAGCAGAGAGGAGATCATGGCCTTAGAGGATGAACAGGAGGCGGCTGGCATTGGTGAGGTTGTCAGTATCGCCGATCGGACGGAGAATCTAAGCGGTGCAGGAAGACGCCGATGATTTTATATACCATATATACACATGAACATAAATGATATCCAATGTACATGCAGTCTGTCTAAAGCCGAGTGGACCCTGCAGATCCCTGAATGTATAGAAAGAAGAACAGGAAGAAAATTGCGACAAATAAGCTATTTCCATGAAGTTAGATGGAGTCACTACTCCCCAGCCACACCGTCCAAGACTGCAGCCACAATAGCAAAATCCCTTTCTACATCGACTCGCCAGTTGGAGACAGCAATTCGACAAGCCGATCTTCCCTGCCATGCTGTACCGGAGACAAATATCTTCGAAGTGGCATTGATCGTTGACGCTAGTCTCTGGTTCAAACTGTCCTTCTTCGCACTGAACAGGACGCTCATATAAGTTTTATCCAGGAGTTCCTCCGTACTTCCCATCTCCGGTAATGCCTCATAGGCGGGATGGTCGGATACCCACGCAGCGACCTTCCTGGCCAGTCTGATCTGTCTCTGAAGCACAGTCTGATACCCAGCTCTGCCATAAGCTACGAGCGAGGCGTAAACGGGCAAGGCTCGGAAACGTCTCGAGTTCTCGATTCCAATGTTTAACGGAGAAGGTATAGAAGGTCCACCTGCCAGGCTGGAGGTCAAGTAGGCCGCATTTGCGTTCTGAAAGACATTCTGTGCTTCATCAGAGTGGCGGCAAAGAAAGAATCCGCAATCGTAAGGTACATTGAGTAGCTTATGCCCGTCGCCCGTGATGGAATCCGCCAACTCGATACCATCGCAGCCTTTCTTGATAGACGCGAACTCTGTGCTATCGTCCAGAATCCGGCCAAAGATTCCAAAGGCTCCGTCGGCATGCACCCAGGCACCATATTTATCGCAGAGCCTTCGGATCTCACGCATCTCCTCGAGACCGGCCGTCGCGAATTGTCCGGTGTTGATCTCTCCACATGAGACAGCGACGATGGTTGCTTTGTCTGGGTTTGCCAGTTCAGCTTCCAGTTTTTGAAGGTCAAACATAAGTGAATTGTCTCCACGGCAAACGTTCTTTACATTGGCGCGGCCAATTCCTAGTATGCCAGCTGCCTTGATGAGAGACGAATGGGGCAACGTAGAGAGAACCTGGAGTCCTGAGATTCCAGAGGCCTGCATGACTTCAAACAGTCCATGCTCCCCCACGCTCTGCAGAGTGACCCCTCTCTTCTTCGCCGCATGTCTCAAAATGAACTCCCTTCCGCAGGCGAGGCCAAGTATGTTACTTGCCGTGGCTCCGGTCGTAAAAGTGCCATTATACCAGGTGCTCCGATCAAGTTGCAAGAGGTCGACCAGTAGACCCAATGCATTGTACTCAACATCGGTGGCAACGGAATGGTCCGGTAGGTGTACCTGAACATTCTGATCATAGGCGGAGACAATGTTATCGGCAAACAATGCCGCTGGTGTTACCCCGCCAGTGACGAAGCCATAGTAGTTGGAGCTTATACTGCTACCATTCAGCGCGGGGACAATATCATCCAGGATGTGCTGCCTGACAGATTCGAAACCCAATCCATCGTTGGCCAGCTTCACTGGAAGGGATGCTCGTGCGCGTGCCAAATGGTCCGCACTTGGCAAGACACCGGACTCCCAAGGTGTTTGGGTGATACTCCACAATTCCTTTTGGAGATTTGTCTGCTCTTCGAGAGTGCTGTTGATATCGTCCAACTCCATTTTGCGTTGCAACTTGAAGAATCAGGAGTGTGTAAAGTAAAGTGGTTATGATTCATCTCAGCCGCAGATGAAGTAGTAGACAGATAGCCGTTGTCAGCACTAACAGATAAGTTAGTTAAACAAATTACCAATCAGCATCTATCTTATGAATGAACTAACTCTATTCATTAGATATGAGAAGACTCACCAGGAGTGGCTGCTGAGGGTTCACGGGAAGTCTAGTAGCAATGCCGATGTCTATGGCTCCATTACGACGGGAAGCTCGCCCCAATGGCTGCAAGGCACTCAGGCACCTCTGCAACTTTCCCCTCTTCAACAGACCGACGTCCCTGCCACTATATTTCCACAGTCATTCCTAGTCATTACATATCTGCACCCTAGATACAAGCATTATGACGATGGCTGCAAAATTGATTGATAGGAAATTTCACAATGTACCCGGTACGTTCATTTGGAATTGTGTATCCTCGCGAAGACTCACAAGGAGAATTGTCTAGGGAGGCTTCGTGTGGCAGAATTGCTCTTCGATGTGCCTGTGAACTACAACAAGCCGAGTGATGGCAATTTGAAGCTTTTTGCTCGGAGTGTACGTCGCTTGGAGACTCCAGTCGAGCCTGCAAAAGGTGAGAAGCAGCTCCCCTGGTTGGTTTACCTTCAAGGAGGGCCAGGGATGGGGTGTCGGCCTCCGCAGGAATATGGCTGGGTTGGAACCGCGCTTGACAAGGGCTACCAGGTGTGTGCATCTCTCCCTACTGTTATCGATTTTTGTTTTATTTCCATTGTCTCATCATTGTGTAGGTATTATTCCTAGACCAGCGTGGCACTGGCATGAGCTCGACCATAACGGCAGGGACACTCGCCCTTCAAGGCAACGCAGTGAAGCAGGCCGAATACCTGAAGCAATTCCGCGCGGACAACATTGTCCGGGACTGTGAAGCTGTTCGTCGTTGTCTCACCACTGACTACCCTGAGGATCAGCGCAAGTGGAGCATCATCGGCCAGAGTTTCGGTGGATTCTGTGCTGTGACTTATCTGTCACTGTTGTAGGTCTTTCTTTTCTGAGAGTTTTATGACTGAGGTAGAACTCCTTATTGACATACTCTCCTCTGTACCCAGCCCCGAAGGACTGACAGAGGCCTTCATCTGTGGAGGACTTCCTCCTCTTGTTGACGGGCCGGATCCAGTTTACCAGCGCACTTATGGTATGTGTCAGCTTGAACCTATTCTTTTGTGCTCAGTAACTCATTCCAAAAAGAGAAGGTCATTGAAAGAAATGATGCTTATTATAACAAGTTTCCCGAAGATGTGGATCGGGTGAAGCGGCTGGTTCAGTACCTGAAAGATAACCACGTCACCGTGTCATCTGGAGTCCTGACTCCAGAGCGAGTGCAGCAGTTGGGCATCATGTTTGGGATGCATGGTTAGTCCTCTCCCTCGTCTGCAGAATAGATACGGCCTCAAAACTGACGAATTGCAGGTGGTCTCGATGCTGTCCATGGTGATTATTCCTCATCTCTTGAGACGTCTTTATTTCACTGACTAGAAGTCCACAGACCTTGTGTTACGTGCTTCGAATGATCTAGATATCTTTGGCTTCCTTACGCATCCAACAGTGACCGCGTTCGATAGCTACGGCGGCTTCGATAGCAACATCATCTACGCTATTCTCCACGAAGCAATTTATTGCCAGGGGTGAGAAAAAAAAATCCAAGATCTCACTATATTCACCACTAACAATCTTTAGACAATCTTCGAACTGGTCCGCTGATAGACTGCGTTCAGCCGATGCTCAATTCAATATTGACGACGAGCAGACAAGGATACTTTTCACTGGGGAAATGGTGAGTTGTTTCTATGACAACCTATCTGCTGCACATTCTAATCACGAGCATGCCGGATCAGATCTTTAAAGACATGTTCGAATCATACGACGAGCTGAAGCAGGTCAAGGAAACTGCAGAAATCCTTGCCTCGACGGCTGAATGGCCCAAGCTCTACGACGGGGCACAGCTTGCAAAGAACGAAGTTCCCGTTTACGCAGCGACATATGTGGAGGACATGTACGTGCATTTTGACCTTGCCTCCAAGACTGCTGCGAAGATCAAGGGCGCCAAGCAATTTGTTACAAATGTCATGTATCATAATGCCATCCGAAGCAAGTCAGATGAGCTTATGCAGCAGCTCTTCGCGCTGCGGGATGACACGATAGACTAACCATGTTTACATGGGAGCACTGGACAATTCAACTGCAAACTAGGGGCCACATGTTTGCTCCCGCAGAAGTCAAGTGTTGCTTCACTCTACCCGTCGAGTGGTGTATTTATTTACAGCCCAATGCCTCGACTATCATATTTGATCACAAAGAAGCCATCCTGGCCTTGTACTTGATGAGAAGTATTCCAGACACCTCAGAAGACCTATGTCCATGAATTAATAAAAGCCCATAAGTAGATTCTCTGGCAGACCACTCACAGCGCCTCCGATGATAAAGAGCCTCTCTTCTTCCTGTTGGACCCACTGGACAATTTTACTCGCGCTCTGTGCAAGTGCATTGCGGTTGGCATTGGGACTAGCAACGCAATATAGTTCGAATCTCGGGGTCACCCAAGCAAAAGAGCTAGTCGACTGCGATACACAATGGTGTACCTTCACATGAGCATGCTTGGCATGAACACTAGAATGTAGATCATTGTATGTTGACATTAATCTAGGAGTAAGTCAACGACTGATATCATCAAAACCGATTGGACTATCAGAATTTAAGGTAGACAAACCTTCGAAGTCGGAAGGTTGATGAACTTTCGGGGCCATAGGCAGACATGGTGAATTGCACGTTGGCTCGGGACTTGTACAAGAAATGATGTAGGACAGTTCCAGGAACTATGTCAGTAGTAGTTGGACGGCCTCTCTTGATAGCTTCTTTGATAATCTTGATGCTTTCGTTCTTGTCCATTTGCTAGAAACGTAATGCCAAAGTCAGCCTCGATCAAGCCTACTATGGCGAAGAGTCTCCGTACCTCAACGAATGCGTTTCGCATCCCTTGTAGTTCAAAAAAGCTTTCCTTTTTTGTGCTGATAAGGATGATCGCAACCGATTCTTCTTTTGTAGCCGTCTCATTGGCCGTGCTGCCTGAATCCTCGCGGAGATCGAGAAAACTGACATACATATACAGATATCCGCTACTGTTGAATCCAGGAAGACAGACAGGGATCCAATTCTCGCCACCGCCTGCTTTGACGCCTTCCGCCTCGAAGATCATGTTGAACAAGAGTTGCAAATCACCTGGGTGCAAAGAATGCTTTTTGGGTCTTACTACACTGACCAGTCTGCCACCGGCAACTACCAAACCATAGAGGAGGCTGCCGACTCTGGTCTTTAAGAGTGCGTTGTTTATTGCCTGTCGATGGGACTTGCGTATTTTTAAACATTCCAATGCTGAGAGAAGACTGGATGGCGATCCCTTCGTAAAACTGTCCGCCAAGGTTGACAAGAGTGTCTCGGACCCTTGTAGCGGCCGCTTGAGATCGGTAGATGGACGGACGGAGAAGAGGTGTGTCAACGATGGGAGAGTCAGAGTCGATAGTATTTGCATATATAGAGCTTCGAGCTGGGATTTCAGTTGTGTATCACTTTCATGGAGCCGACTGATGGCTACCAGATGCAGTGGGCCTCGAGTGATCACCACAAATTTCGTATCGCCAGCGCAAAAGCTGCTCAAATGATCCTTCGCATCCTCATAAAAGGATATGATGGTCTGTATGACACCTACATAGCCTGAGATTAGTCCACCATCCCCATGCCTGGTCCATATGGGCTTCCCAGCCGCGGATAGAATGAGGTAATGTTTGCGCTTCGATTTCCATCTTTCTAGTAAGAGTTCTGTTACGCATAGTAAGCTCGGCTGCTGAGCCAGAGAACAAGAATACCATGGTCACCACGTACCCTCATTTTCGCCTTGCTCATTCAGATCGCCAATAGGTTCAAACTCAGTTGCAAACTCATCTTCGGCATCGTCCGCTCTAAACTCCGGAAACTGAAGAAGCCCGCTGCCATCTTCTTGGGGGGCGCTAGGTTCGGCCGCGAGGAAGTCACTGAAGACATTCTCGACCTCACCTAGCTCGACATTTGGTATTGTGCTTCCAATACTTGTGGAGTCTCCCGCGTCACTTCCTTTCGATGTTTTGGGCTGATTGAGGCTTGCCTTGGCTCTCAGAGGTTCAGGGAAATCCGGGGCTGAGTGGTCCTCCCCATCGCCTTCACTTGACTGCCGGAAGCCTATATCAGTCAGCGAAACAGCCGTCGTGGCCTTGGCCTGCAAGTTCACTTGTGATGTCTGTCGTATTGAGCGAGAAGATGTATATCCCTCATCCAAGAAGCTCAAAGTGCTCGGACGCGGAGGAAGGGGAGGCAGTCTTTCTTCTAGGGCCGCGGAGGCATCGTCATTCGTGTACCTCGCGCAATTTTTCGCGCAAGATGTTGATCCGTCTTGCGCATGTTCGTTGTCGCCAGGTGAGACTTGCGGTTGCTCTGAAGCTTTAGAATTCATTTTGCGCAACCTGCGCGCATTGAGTACACTTTAGTGGGGAGTTCTGGTTTTCTAGGCGGCGATCATGAGAATCCAGCTCAAGTGACGTTAGGCATCATTATTTATGAAGCAAGCATCTCAGCCTCTATGAGTGGAATCAGAAGGATATTCTTGATCGCCCGCGGCCGAGTGGGGATAAGAATGGCCGAGGACTAGATATGGGAAGATGAGTCTCTGGGTCGGAGCTCCAAGGCGGGCGGAGACTCAAAACATCTCCGACTGCTCCAGTCAGGCGGCGTGTCTTCAGGTGTATTCAATCAGCCACAACATCATCAAATTAAGTTGATTCTAATGCGCATATTATGATGAAGTGCAATATACAGCGTCCTTATTCAAGAACTACTCGATACTGGCACCATGAGCCTTGATCCGAGCTCGTTTCCGCGGTCGAACTCCCCCGCAAGCTCCGACAGCTCCTTTACACGCTCTCGTCTACGAGGAAAGGAAGGTATGTGAACTCTGGCTAGATTGGCGCCCCATGCCATCTGCGATTGTTTACGATCTAAAGACTAATTTACTTCTCCTGTATATAGAGTCCCTAAGGAAAGATAAAAACTACCGTCGTTATGCTTCTAGTGTCGAAAGAGCACTATCGTTATTTGACACAGCTTTGCAGGAATGGGCGGACTACATCTCGTTTCTCAGTCGCCTCTTGAAGGTGAGGCTTACCTCATTGCAAGACGGCCAGGTACAATCCACTGATTTATTCTTGTCCAGGCGCTTCAATCTCATCCACCAGACTTGCCAGTTGTCCCGCACAAGGCACTCGTTTCCAAGCGTCTTTCTCAGTGTCTGAATCCCTCACTGCCATCGGGTGTTCATCAGAAGGCTCTTGAAGTATATACTTATATCTTCAACTTGATCAAGGTGCGTGATTCGGTATAGCATTCTTGTATCTGTGCTTATAAGTCCGGTTTTTTGATTAGGCCGAAGGGTTATCACACGACCTGCCCTTGTATCTGCCGGGCATAGCGCCTACCCTGACCTTCGCTTCTCTCACCGTTCGCCCTCTGTTTCTTTCGCTAGTGGAGACTCATATTTGCTGTCTAGAGCCATGGGCTATCCGTCCGGCTCTGAAAGCCATTATCTTGGCCCTCCTACCTGGGCTGGAGGAGGAGACAAGCGATGATTTTGATTTCACGCTACGACTTGTGAACAAATTTCGTGATATCGCTACTCAGCTGGATACACAGAGACCTAGGGCTGACGCCAATTTGAGTGGGCAGTACTTCTGGCAATGTCTGTTCTTAGCGTCAATCACCAGCCCCAGTAGACGCTCAGGCGTCCTTGCCTACCTGAACCGCTATCTGCCAAAATTGGGAATTGCCGATCGCAGACCAAGTAAGAGTGATAGGAGTAATTTCAGTGAGCTGCCACATGAAATGCGAGTGGCAGTCGACTCCGTTATTTTGCCCGAGCCTGGTTTGCTCATCAGATGTTTTGCGTCTGGCCTGGCGGATGATCAAATTCTCGTCCAGCGAAATTTCCTCGATTTACTCGTAACTCACCTCCCACTTAGCTCCCCCATGCTACAGTCGCGAATCTCAGATGATGATCTTCGAAAACTGATCATTGCCGCTGTAGGAGTCGTCGCTCGTCGGGACATGAGCTTGAACAGGAGATTGTGGGCGTGGTTTCTTGGACCGGAGGCTGCCAACGATCGAATCTCTTTCGAGCGCGATCCAGTGTCTGATTTGCACCCCGTGGATGACAAGCAATTATCTCAGTCAGAATATTTCAGTCAATTCGGGCTGACGCCCCTTGTCAAGGGCCTCCTCCAAATGAATGAGCATGAGACTACGATACCCTCCGAAAGGTCAAGGCCATTTCGAGTCTCTCTTTCCTTAATGGACAGATGGGAAGTCGGAGGTCATATTGTTCCCGCGGTTTTTCTGCCGCTGATGCGGAATATTCAGGCGTTTGAGACAGTAGCCACCAAACAACAGTTCGATGAAGTTTTCCGCAGCGCCAGCGCCTTCTTTGATGGCGTCGAGAGCGGCGTAATCTTTTCGGAATTGCTCAATCTGATCAATTGGCGTGTGGGGGGTAATAGTGCGCAGGTCCTGGATGATTTGAAACTTGCCCAATTCATTCTGGACAATTTCAATGTTCGGGAGGAGGATATGATTCTGACTCACGTTCCTCTATTAACTCTCACGATACTTGTGAAATTGACTGAGCTTTCAACTTCTGACAGCTTTTCCATCACTCTTCGGCAACGACATGAGATATTTAGCGGGCTCACAACTGTCATAAACACCTTGACAGGGCTACTCACAGAGCGATCATTCACAAGAAAATCCGATTCGAGCAAAACCGCAACGGATTATGATCGTATCACCGATCTCGATGATGGCGAACTTATCAATAAGATTCACGAGTTCTATGATCAAAGTCGAAGCAGTCTGGATCCGCCACCTCCTCCATTTATGCCCAGGCACTTGGGAAATCTTATATTACTCAAAGCCCACAATCTTGCTGTATCAGCGCTCGAAAGTCGCAATGATTACATACCAATTCTGGAGTCTGTCAATCTTCTGATATCCTTGCTAAAAAGATTACCTAAATCATATGTGCTTCAGGATAGACGTTTCTACCTGGCCATTTGCAGTCGAACAAACTTGGACAAGATTGAACAGTCTACTGGTTCTTTCTCTGCCATTTCTTCTATTGTCTCCGCAGTGACTAGTCTGTACTTTATTCAGACTCCTGGGTACTACATCAATTATGAGGATATCACAGACCTTATACCGATGCTGGTCCGCCATCTTTGGCATTTTCTTTCACCCGCGAGCCCAAAGTTTCATGTAGAGGCGGTCCGCTGTCTCTGGAATCTACATTCTGTATCTTGGCCCGACCACATCGTCGAAGCATCCATTGCGTCTCTCATGGTTGATACGTGTCTAAATTCCCAACATCTGTCGTCCGAACCGAATGTGGCGAAGTACTTTATTCTCTGGAATCATAGCCACCATGGTTCCTATGAACTTCCTCCCAAACAAGTACATGATGGAGGAGAACCTGGCGCTTCCTATCACTCTTCGATGCTGGAGCGCCCGCTTTTTATTGTTCTAGATCTTCTTTCCCAAAGCCAAAGTGAGGGCTCTCTGGTTGTCCAGCGATGGCTGCAGGATCTACCATCCATCCAGAAGTGAGTCAAAATGCCAACTTGATGTAGACTTCAAACCTCAGTTAATGATTCATCTAGGGTTTTCCGCATTGTGGCTTTGCGACTGGAAGGTCTTTTGTTGCGAGAAAATCAGCCAACAACGGACGATGATACTGCAATTATATCTGCGGACGATTATAAGGAGTGCAACTACCTTCTACGACTTCTCCACGATATTATCAGTTCGCTATCAAACAGTGGCTGGGTGGCTCTATTAACGCACAAATTACATCAGCAGGATAAACAACATGATGTCTCTGGATCTGAGGGTAAGTTGTTCTAATGTATTCAATACTGTGTTGCTCATACATGGCTTAGAACAAGCGGAAAACCAGACCCTTCACTGGGTCATATTCCAAACATGTCTCAAAATCACCAGTGGAACAATAAAGAACTCGGCACATGCTACTTCCGATAAGGTCCAACTACAACAAACCTCTTTGGTTGTCATGCGGCAACTCCTACTGGGGCCAGGGGCCGAGGAAATTGCCGAGTCTGGTATTGACTCATTCCTTGTTAATCGACTATCTTCTGTTCTGGACGAAGGGGACAGCGTTCCATTACAAATGGCCATGATTGATACCTTGCTTGCGGCGTTAAAAGTTCGATTTGCTCAAGCTTACCTGCCACCGCCCCCTCCTAGACCGAAGCATCAGCGAGCACCATCCCGAGAACGCTTAACAAGTCCATCGATCCTTTCATTCACAAGTGATAAGGCAGATAAAGGGCCAGCTCCTCCTTCTCTGCCTCAGCCTCCCCCGCAGCTCTTAGAGTGTCTCCTCAAGGGCATCAGCTCTCGAGATTCAAGAGAGATTATAGACAAGTGGACTCAGTTGCTCTGTGAAGTGCTCCCATTATACTCGACCTCAATCTTCCAGATTTTGCTCATGTTGGTGGAATGCTTTTGTAAGGAGATCCAGTTGTCATATACGAACCTTCAGCTCTCATTCAAACAAACCAAAGACTGGCCCGAGGATCGCTCCGAGCATACCACCATTACACTACTTACAGGCTTGGAAACTTGTATAGCTGCTGCCCACGAGCGTCTTCTCGTGGAAGAGGCAAATACACCAGCTGTTAAAAGTCCCGATCAACCCCATGGATTTTTCGGCAACATGGTGTCGGGGGTTTTTACATCAGACGCCAATCAAGGACGCTCAGCTGCAGCCAATAACAGGCTCACAGTTCTATTGTGCTTCCAGGACGCTGTCCGACTCTGCTTCTCGATATGGTCATGGGGAGCTGTCGAACGAGATGGTTCGCCACAAGATGCCGAATCTCTCGCATCCTTCCAATACACGTCTTTACGAATGCGAAACAGATCGCGTCGCATTCTTGAACATCTCTTCACTGCCGAAGCTCTCGAATGTCTCGAAACAATGGTCGAGATGTGGTCACGATCCGATACCGAAACGTCTCCCCTCATCTTCAGTTTGCTTCACACACTAGATGGATCACGGCCGAAGATCACAATCCCTGCCATTTTCAATGCAATCTACACCCGAACCAACCCTGCAGCACTGGATCCAAGCCGGAAATCCGCCTTAACGTCGAGCCTTACTGAGTCCGAGCTGGCGGGATTTCTTGTTACATATGCTCGGTCGCTTGATGATGACGTGCTTGATGAGATCTGGTTGGACTGCACGACATTTCTGCGAGATGTTCTGAGCAACCCATTTCCTCACCGACAAATCTTACCCCGACTGGTTGAGTTCGCTGCTATTCTGGGAGCGAAGATGGAGAACACGACCTTTGGCGAGGATCGTCGGATGAGAAAGGAATTAGGGGTAGGTTCTTCTATCAGTTGCTGCAACATGGATATCAACTAACAATAACGATGTATAGGATGTCCTGGTCCGATTGCTCACTGCAATCTTCACGAGCAAGCCTATGGGACTATCTCAGGATTCCAGTCTGCTGGGAAGACCATCCCTAGATTATGACAACTCTCCGGTACCGCATGCTGGTCCTGATGACATGCTCAGTATTCTTGCAGTGTCGATGCCAGCTTTCACCGCTACATTGGGCGACTCCGATCGTATAGTCTCGGCCGTGTCGGGAATCTCAACTCATGTGATTGGACCACTTGTGCGCTCGCGACTCTTCCCCAACAATCTTAACAGCAGTGTGATGTCTCTACTGCAAAATATTGCGAAGGTTCCCGCTGCTGCGAAAATCTGGAAAAAGGATATAGCCGATGCGTTCAATGATCCTCGTTTTTTTGGCTCACAGATCGATCTTGTTCAAACTGGCTGGATTAAACTCCTCAGACAATGGGTGCTTGCTGATAAAGATCGATTAGCAGAATTGATGGCGCGCCTCCCACCACCAAGCACCGCGGGGCTCATGTTTGGTGTTGGGGCGTCTGCTGCTCGACTGGAGGCCGACCGCAAGGCCCAGTTGAATTTGCGAAGAATAGCTCTGCTGATTTTGTCTTCGAATGATGATTATTTCATTGGGGAACTTCCAGGGTTGCTCCAAAAGTTGGAGGATCTTTTGGGAGCAACCAGCTCGTCTTCTCCCTCATCCACCACAAGAGCTGAGATATTTATGGTTCTTCGGGCACTTGCACTCAAAACTACGACGACTACACTTGCTCCTTTTTGGCCATTGATCAACGCTGAGCTCCAGGAAGCAATTTCAGTAGTACCCTCAGCGACACAGCAAGAAGTATACAACTCATACTCGCTGCTGCAGGCCTGTAAGCTTTTAGATACGCTTCTTGTTCTGGCGCCCGATGACTTCCAGCTCCTTGAGTGGCTCTTCGTCACTGACACCATTGATGCTATCTATCCACCAGAGAATTCACAATCGATGGGTCTTGCAGATGAAGTTTCCCAGAGTTTGGGAGTGCGAGGGTCTGCGCCGCCGGGTTCACCACGGGAAGCTACTGAGTCTGGCGACGGGAGAAAGCAACCTGAGCTGACGTCGGACTGGATCCGTGAAACAGCGAAGGACGAGATTGTCGAGCGGGTTCTACGGCCGTTTTTTGATCGACTTAGCATTCATGCATTTGAAAGCACTTATAGTATGGGTGTTCCAGATTTGCAGAGTTGCCAGGACGACTTATTGGCGGACTTGTTCAATGAGAGCACCATGTCCAATTAGATTTCGTATTTAGCTCTTGAATGCTATTCTCATGTATAATGTCAACATCCTGGATATCCACTCTGTTATGACTGAAGGGCCAGATTTGGCGAAATACAAGCATTTAACTGAAGATCTATTCCTAGTGCTATCTCTGGGTGCTTGTGTTAGTAATATCAGAGAAATATTTGTTTTCAGATGACAAAACTCCAAGATTTATCTTATCTTCAATCTTTACTGTTTCGTGCCTGATAAATTATTGTTTGGAGGGAGTTGCGTTGTATAGTCTCTCTAGATCTTCTACCACGGACAGGGCAGATGAGATCTGCCGGCTCCAACCGAACTTCGCGGTGTCAAAACAAGCAACGCCAACGTCACCTGCTTGTGACAAGCTGGCGCCCAAGTTCACTCCCGATCATATTGTGAGATAAAGGACTTATTCCTCTCTTTTTGCTACTACTCTCAGTAGAATGTCTCTTGCTAATATTCTTTTCAGGTTTCCAGACTTATGACCAAAACATGATTGCGCGTAAAACAGCAGTGCCTGTGCTGGGCCTTGCGGCACCCAGGCCAAACCTCATGGCCACCCGCAGCTTCTCTACATCCCAGATTCTGAGAAATGCAGGGACAACTCTGCCTCTGAGAAAGCCCGTGGGTGCATTCCGTGGCGGGTAAGACTCTGCTTGCACTATGAGTGATCTCTTGATCCTCGTCGAAGTTTTTGTTGACATGTTCTTTCTAGCGTGTTTGGGTTCCTGTTAGGAACTGTTGCCGCCGGTGCCTCGGTCTACTATTACATTCTGGGCGAGTACAGAGTCACAAACCAGCTGCTGACTGAGGATATCTTTGTATGTGTCCTTCTGTTTCTGATGGCGGCGAGGGTCTCTTCGCCCGTCGTCTCCCCATCCCCACGTTGCTATCAAACTATTTCACAGTATCTACATCCATTCGTCAATCCATATTGGACCCGGATATCGGGATGCACATGCTGATCCAGTGCTTTGCTTTGCACGCAGTCTACTCTCAATTAGAAACGTGCTGATCTATCTTTGCAGGCTCTCCAAGCAGCCACTCAAAGACTGCAGACATACGTGACCGAACTGGAAACGAAGATCGACCAATTACAGAAAAAGAAATAAACGCAGAAACACCGGCCTCACTCTTGTCTTTCTGGTCTAATGCTAGGAAGAAAATATGCCTTGTTCTGACCTTCTTGCACTTCGTTCGTATCGTTGGAATTTGTTTGGGAGGATTTGACCAAATTGATAGCTATATGGTTTATTTGAACTCACTGATATTTGATCAGTATTCATTACTCAACATAAATTCTTGTTGCGGGCATACCAAGTTACCAAGTCTAATGGACATCCAAGGCGCATTAGCACGTGATCCAGCACGTGATATTTGTAGCGCAAACAATGCAAACACATATCGTGGCGCGACATCTCTTTGGAGAATAGCTTCATAAGGCATCAGTAGTAATTCATCCCGTCGAGGCACTCTTTCAACGCAATGTCATTTATCTTGTCGTTGCAAATCCTAATATCAACTTGATCATGTATCGTATCGAGCTCCTACCCGGCGCATCTACCCACGTCACACCCGGGTGGACTTATGTGCCTGATCGTGGGTTTGACCCAGCAAAGGCAGCCCTCGCGCCTACTATCGGCAGGAAGCGAGGGATTCGCGATGGAGGTCGTACGGACTTGTCTTCGCGACAGACCAATGCGATCATACGTCACCTAGCGGAACTTGACCGGGAGAACCATCGGGAGGTTCAGATTGCGATTCCGGTTAAACAAAAAGACACGGCTGGAAGAGGTATTTGGAGTTCTCTTAAGGGCCTCGTTATTCTATACATCAGAGGTGGCTAATAGATATTTCTCCAACTAGGGACACGAGGAAAGACGACCTCAAACGTACGCCGCATTCTACAATCGCAGAAAACCTTCCGAAACCACCTGGACGACGAAGAGGCCGCGCTGGCGCAGGCCGCCCAAACAACTACTCACCGTCCTTCAATCGCTAAGATCATAAAACCATCGCGACGAAGCCTGACACCCGCAGCTACACCGAAACCAGAACTCTCAAGACAAAGAAAGCAGCGTTCAATCGCCACCCCGTCGAGGACCTCATCGACCCCGGCAGATGGCCATAGTGTCGTGTCATCTGCTACAACGACAGATGAGACGAACGAGTCGAACGAGACACAGAACCAGAACCAATTGATCAAGTCGGAGTACGATAACGATCCTCTCCTCCGCTCCTTTATTCCTTCCGCGCCCTCAGAGCGTATCATGCAAGCCCTCCTATCCGAGCCCCCGCTCACATACAATGCGGCTCGTGCGGGCCCACCTATGACGGTTAAGTCGCCGCGGCATTTCTGCTGTATGTGCGGATACTGGGGCAAGATCCGGTGTAAAAACTGTCATGTCCGGACTTGCGGGCTGGCTTGTTACAAGGTGCACGAAGACTCGCGGTGCGGTGCTTTCTTCTGAAGGGTTTGATACTTGCCGGTGAAGCCGGTTACAACTAGGAAGGATGCTGCAAGGGCTGTTCGCACCACATGTTACTATGGATTCCGCAGTTTTCGTCATCATACCATGTGGCGTCGACCTTGTATGACCCCTGGAACCAACCCTACGCTTACATGGCGTTTGTTCGTCCATCCGAATCATCTTCTGCAGATGGACGGGGAATTGTGGTTGGTGAGAGGAGTCGGGAACTCTAGGTACTTCCATCAGCATGTAATGCTGATGATTATGTCTCCCTCCCGCCATCCCCGGGAACATGGCCATTCACTCCTGATATGGAAGGTCGGCAGAAACAACCTGCGAGGATACATTCACTCAAAGGACATAATCGACCAGTCACGGGAACAATTCCACCGCTCAGCTGGCCAAACGAGCCAGAGGTGCTTGCTACCAAGCCATGACCGACCACTACGAACGACCATCATGAGCTTCTTCAAGACATCACGTCAACATAACATTCAGCTTTGTTATTGTGTTGCAAAATGTCTGTATACATAGAACCAATATCCATAATCTAGCACTTCATCTTAATGCCAGCGCGTAGCTCCTCTTCTCGAATCTCAAACATAACCTGAACTCCCACAAAGAGTGCTCCACAAGCGGCAAAAAGGAAGCCAATGCCCGAGTAAGACCCGAGAATCTCGGATAATAAACCCTTGAGCCCGTCCAAGCCTAGCGCAAAGCCAACGAGATTGGCAATCATCATCATGAGGATATTGCCTACCGCACCGATACCACAGAGGACACGGTAGGTGTTTGGGCGCGACCGCCACTTATGGGCGGGGAAGAGCTGAGTCGCGATGACTTCGGGCAGGACGAAGAGGGTGATGAGCCAGCCCCACATGAGGAGACGAAGGTTGATGTCATGCCACAGGGCAACGAAGGTGAATACAACAAGGAAGTTGAAGATGTGGCGAGCTTTGCTGAAAAGACCGGAAGATGATCTGCTGCCACCGCTACCTCTGGGGCGAGCTCCGCCTCCCAGCGGCACGTAGAGATAGCGGACAATCCAGCGGTTGAAAGAGCGGTGCCAGCCTCGCCAGAATGCAAAGGTAGAGTAGTTGTTGGATACACAGCGGACCATGTTTTCCGGTGGATCGATGCCGTCCAACAACGCCCAGAGGCGGAAGAAACGCCACGGAATGAGAAGTTTGAGCCAAATGATATGGAGGTTGAAAAAAGCCAGCATGCTGAGTTGCCCAGCCGAATACATTGACCACTTGGGTGATGCATTGGAAATAGCCACAGCATATATATAGTGCAGAATCAGTTCCAAGCTGAGCAACGTCAGGAAGAAGCGGATTCCATAAAGAATGGTGCGTGTTCGTGTCAGCGATGGCGGCATATATCTCTGTTGCGCAATGTAATCGTTGAAGGTCAGGATAGGACCGGCCAGGTACAAGGGTGAGTAGAGAATGTAGGCGACGTAATTGCGAGCACTGAATGCACTCGGCTCTGGCGGGATACTGACGCGGTCCCGCTCCGATAGCGATGCTGGATCGAGCTGTTTCTTCTTATGACTGTCAGATAGAACTCGCAGATAGGCATGAAATGGGAAAGCATACTTCAATTGGGCTGGCGGCCGGGTAATCGAGGCTCCAATAATAGTCCATATTGAAACTGATCGATCGCAGAACCGTGAAGTTGAACAGGATCTCCCACCGAGGCACCAAGCCACCGAAACTATCAAGATAGCGCGCCCACTGAACGAAAGTAGAGTCTTTACCTCCAGCCGCAAAGAGAGTGGCTATGCGCTCTAATGGATACCCAGCACAAAGCTCATTGGCGAAGAGAGTGCATATGTTGAAGATCCAAGTGGCGGCTGGTACATACCGCCTAGGGAGAGATTTGGCGATCTTGTAGTTGATAAACAGTATAGCAAGGACCTTCGCAGTTGAGATGCCGTGGAGGGCAATCAAGAAGACAAAAGCAAAGTAGTAGTCGAATTGTACTCGTTGCTCCAGCCTGGCATCCCCAGCAGCGGCCACCGAATTTCCATTCTTGAGTCCAGAGCGCGATTCAGATTGCGGTACAAAATGATCGTAAACGCGACGCAATAATGGATGTGCGACTAGGAGTATGAAGAGGTAGGGTAGGTTGTCCCGAACATTTGAATATTGAGCATCGGAGTTGTCCTATATGAGAGATCAGTTGTGAGGGTCCAGAGACCAAGAGACTACGAGGCCATAACATAGAGACTTACTACTTTCCTGCCAGGTATCCAGCCTGGAGATAACAAATGCTCATACGTAGAGTATGTAGGATGGCTCTCTATCACAGTTCGCATGAGTATGGCTCTCGTGTTTCCCAGCACGCTGGAAGGATTCGGAGCCACCCAACTCACCTTTCGAAGCATCGATAACAGTCTTAAACATCAAAGGGACCGCAGTCAGGAAGATGAAATAATAGATGTAGAACTCAGGCGTCCGCCAGTTGGAAGGCGAAGCGCCATTGGCAATGGCGTTTGCGCGGGCATCTTTCGCCGCCGGGGGTCGCGTATCAGCAGTCGCCTTGAGCGGAGTCGTCGCAGAGGCAGTGAAACGAGTGTCTAGGGTATCGAGAGAATAGAGTCTCCGAAACCAAGGAAAGATTGAAGTCATTTTAACTCAAGCATTGCGTGCCGAGACCTTTGAGAAAGGTGCGGGCTGCGGAGAAGAGGGAAGATAAATTGCGGAGAGGAACGATGGGAGGAAGATGGGTTCAGGGGCGGACATCAGCCACAATTGAATGAAGGATCACAGCCTTGATTCAAACATGCTGTTGGCTACATATCTTTCCTCGGGACTTGGACTTTGCATTACTCTATATTCCGTAGAAACTATCCATCGCAATTGAGATACTTACTGTACTCTGTGGCTCTCGAATTTCCACGCCTTGGGCATTTGTGATTGCCTCATTTCAGTTGTTTTTCCCCCTTTGGGACGTCGAAATGTGACCATATCAAGCAGACATTGTTCTGATTGGTTGAGATCAGGGATTACAATGGGCTAGCCTCTTTTGGCTAAACATCCTCAAATTGGAAGGATGCCCCACAGCCTGAGCGCCTGAATTACAGGGCATCACTTGTGGCAGGCCCCACTTGATCACCAGAACGAAGATCAAGAGGTAGCATCATAGTCCGTTTGCTAGACTTCACATCGTTGAGATGACTCAGGAAGGTACACTTCATTAACCTCAGGACAAATATCTTTGCTCTGAGTATTAGCACTACATAGAAAGCCATCATGGCCTCGCGGCGAGTACTACACCCTATGTCCCTCTGTGCTTCATGAATTTCGCTACGTCATTTGAATTCATGAACACATGACTGATGTTATGCCAGACTGCATTCAAAGTCTACAGCACTGTTCAGGGTGAGTTTTCCATCTCTGGTTCTCTGACTAAAGCATGCGGAACAGCCATTCCATATATGTGGGAGCATTTGCTAACTAGGATCTCAGGCGTCGGATTCCGGTAGGGCATTGACTCTCTCTGTTGAAGATGACATCAATCATGGATACGTTGTTGATACTCATGTCTTGTGATTTCTAGCGATTTCACACAAAAACGTGCAGTAGAATATGGACTGAAAGGTTGGGTGAAGAACACTACTTGCGGAAGAGTCAGTCTGACTAGTGACCCCTAATTCCCCCTGCCTGTGCCTCGCTTCATGTTCTTTCTTAGGATCACGTCGTGCTTTTCTGACAGTCAGACTCGAGTAAGGCTGATAAATTAGTAATAGGTTGAAGGGGAAGCCCAAGGGGACGAGGAAACACTCAAGAAGTTCTTGAAGGATCTCGACAAAGGGCCCCGACACGCGCACGTGGTTAAACTGGAGAAACGAGATATCACCGTGGAAGAAGGAGAAGATCACTTCACAGTCAAACGAACTTCTGAATCACTCTTCGAGAGCACAAATTGATTGAGTGAGCTTTGATTTTCTGATGATTGTAGACTCCCCACGTTTGTTAATAAGCTTCGTTCGAAAGAATACAGCGATATCCAGAGACCCATGTCATGTGTGGTCCTTATTAACCAACGGTGTCGCAATGATATCAGGCACCAAAATGGCTCAGTGCCATTTTCAGTAATCAGAAATGCAATGTGGAAATTCTAATCAGAAACGCGATTTGGAAATTCTAATCAGAAATGCGATTTGGAAATTCTAATCAGAAGTCGTGACTCGTGACTGACGGAGTGGCCATGACGGGATTCACAATCCTCGTACAAGGCAATTCGCTCTTGGATCGGCGTTCCAAACATCAAGCAAGAGTCTTGGACAATTTGGCATCCAAAACCATCCACCGTGACGGAGATAGTCGCGCAAAAGGTCACCGAGAGATGTCAGCAAGGACTCCGAAAGACCGAACCCCGTGAAGGTGAAGCCCGTTTGAGTATTGCTGCATCCCGATCTTTCTTCGGCCACACTCCTAGAATGGCTGACTAAGTCGCTACTTGACTCATTCGCCGTCTGAAACGACCCGGCTCCTTCCGAAGTCACATGGCATGCCGCTGTATTCTACGCAGAACGATATCGTATTTAGATGACACTTACTAGATAACACCAACATCGGCTTCAGATGCTGTCTTGCCGCAGGGATAATGGGAAGCATTTTTGACTTGCTTCTTGTTCGTCCAAGGACTACGTATATCGTTGCCTAGACTTGGGAGCGCTTGGCAATCGAGTTATAGTGCCATCGTTCGCGTTGCGACTGGTATCGATGAGAGGCTTCTCTGTAACTTCGACGTTCATTCTAGGTTTTTCTAAATACCAGGGCCTGTCCACTGGTTCCTCAGGCTCCACCAGCCACAGACATCGTCGGAACCAAAATCTGACTCTATCAGATATTTGTTTCTTGATACTCAAATTTTTGCGCTCACAGTCTCGCAAACTCTGGTCCGGCTGAGGATTTGATAGGATAATACGAGAAAAGGTATATCGGAACGCCTAGGAATCTGCTACATGAGGCTATTTCTTGTTTCGTCCCGGTTCGATATTCCTTGTCTATGTTTGGTTCCGCCTCGCTTCCGGGGTTTGCCATAGGGGTTAGCCATGTTGGATATCTGGAATGGGTTGGATATAAAAGGCCAGCACCGTAGGGGACAGTAAGCCGTAGTCATTATTCTATTATTCAAATCTCTATCCACTTGACTCGGAGTCTGGAGCCTACCAAGGTTTCATTATACCTCTTCACGCTAAACGCTAAACGCTATACACAAAGACCTTTCCTAGTCTATTGATATTCACCACAACCATCATGAGCTCCATAGCGGTAACGATGCCCCTACGGGCTGCGTCAATCCCAAAATCACATCTGCAGCTCACGCTTCGAGGCTATGCAAATGCTACGGCCACACCTGGGTTACGATGTAGTCGCCCGCTGCTTGCATGCAACAACAACAACCACCGCTTCCAAGCCAACACAAAGCGATATATCTCTTCCACACCGCAGCGCCAGATCAAAGAATATTTCCCTCCGCCCAAGGCCCCTCATATCACAGAGGTTGAGACTGCTTGGGTTCATCCCATGTATGTACTTCCCGCACCACGGCTTTTCACATTCGATCGATCCAGACATGCTGACGACGAGCAGTTATTCCGAGGAGCAAATGCACAACGTCGAAATCGCTCATCGCGATGCCAAGACATGGTCTGACTGGGTAGCACTTGGTACTGTCCGAGTACTCAGATGGGGTATGGACCTGTTGTCGGGATACAAGCATCCCAAGCCGGGCCAGGAAAGCAACACCAAGTTCCAAATGACCGAGCAGAAATGGCTTACTCGGTTTATTTTCCTGGAGAGTGTGGCTGGTGTGCCGGGAATGGTTGGAGGCATGCTGAGACATCTGAGAAGTTTGAGGCGGATGAAGAGAGACAATGGATGGTATGTCTCAGAAAACACCTTCCGTTTGTTCTTGGAAGTTCCAAGCTAACGATAACAGGATCGAGACTCTCCTCGAGGAGGCATACAACGAGCGAATGCATCTGCTCACCTTCCTCAAGCTTGCTGAGCCGGGATGGTTCATGCGTCTCATGGTCCTGGGAGCCCAGGGCGTCTTCTTCAACGGATTCTTCCTCTCCTACCTGGTGTCTCCTCGCACCTGCCACCGATTCGTCGGATACCTCGAAGAGGAAGCCGTTATCACCTACACACGGGCCCTCAAAGACCTCGAAACCGGGAAGCTGCCCGATTGGGAGAAGCTAGAGGCGCCGGAAATCGCCGTCCAGTACTGGAACATGCCTGAAGGCCACCGCACCATGAAAGATCTGCTGCTATACATTCGAGCCGACGAAGCCAAGCACCGCGAGGTTAACCACACCCTCGGAAACCTCAAGCACAACTTGGATCCCAATCCCTACGCAGCCAAGTACAAGGACCCGTCCAAGCCTCATCCGACGAAGGGGATTGAGATCATGAAGCCCCTCGGATGGGAAAGAAAAGAGGTCATCTAAACACAATTGTTACAGACTTTTCCCTTTGTTATTTGTGCACTTGAAGCCAGCATGGGTTAGACTGCTTGTTTTGTATGCGTCGTTTCTCATTAGAGCTTCATTTCCATCGTCATGGAGTTCCACGGAGTTCCAGGAGGGTTGTTCATTTTTTGTCTTGTCAGCTTTACAGAGAGACACGGCGTTGGAGCGATACCTGGATCATTATAGAATACCTCCTCTTCCACAATATAATCTTTGAATCCTATAGACTCTTGCTCTTCCAAGTTTTTCACCTACAAGTGTAGTTGACAGTAGATAGACTATGTATGGGACGTGACTCTCGAATGCGGGGCAGCACCAAGCATCAGACTACGCTAAACCCATTTAGGCAAAGCACCAACACAGCCAGACCGGGACTAATTAGTCTGGTTGCTGCTGATTTAAGTAGGACTAGGCGGGTGTGCCTGAAAGGATAACGACGGAAGTGAGACAGAAGATAACAGAGAATGGGGAGGGGGAGACGGTCGAAGATCTTGAGAGACAGAGCAAGAGTGTTTTGATTACCAGGAGTCTTAGATGTAAGTTGAAAGACACGAAATTTGCCCACTTGGTACTATAAATACTTCGAATCCTCACAATGGTACGGATAGACGTGTTCCAATCTGCCCTCGGACTATTGACCCGCTTCCCCTATTAGTTGGGTGAAAAAAAGCCCCTTTTGAACCCTCAAACGATTGACTCGCTTGCCGATCGATCAAATAATCACCACCACCAAGTGTCCGGAGCGAGTGTGCTGTGGCCGAAGTCTGATTTGTGTACCTGACTTCTGAGTTCGCACAACATCACTACATATTTGCGTCGACTTGATATCAACTTTTGCATCCCCGTTGCGTGAAAGGATCTCCTACGCGAGTTGACACGGTTGCGTCATCCGGATCGACAGATACCAAGCCTACTGGTACAAGAGGCCCAGACGGCTGGAGATGACAGTTATGGACGACACATTTGAATCAGAATCCGTCCTCTCGCCTGCGAGAGCCTCATCGCCATCTCCATCAATCCCAGCGACGCCTGCAATCTCTTCATGCCCGTCTCCTGGTCGTACTTTCTCCACCGTCTCGTCGCTGTCGGCTTCCTCCGCCACGTCCGCTGATGCCAGATCGACCATTTCCACATCGTCAAGACGACATGGCTACATTCGACCCCAGGGCGCCGAATTCGCCGAGTCGGCCAAACACCGCGAGAGTGTCATGAGTTTGGGGAGCATTGCCCACCTGCAGTACTATTTCGCGCGGACGGGTCTGCTAGAGGGCAAAGGTGGCAATGCTCGGGAATGGAGAAAGAAGAAGAAGAACCCCGAGGAAGTCCCGCGACTTCTCCTGACACCGAATGCGCGGTTCATTGATGATCTAATGGAAAGTCCGACGACGGAGGACGGGTTCTCGGACGCTGTGGACGACGACTATGAGGATGAGATGATGCTTCCCCCGACAGTGAGCACGTACAGCGTCAAGACACACCATATCCCACCACCCCCCGATGTGCTCGCGTTACGGAGGGACCTGGTCAGCGCGCTGAACAAGGCCAAGAAAAACATCGAGGATCTCGGGAACCAGAAAGACGCACCCCCGGAAATGATCACACCGCGGATCAGGGTCTCTCACGATGTCGTCTCGGACTGTGGGGACGATTCACCCGCCCGGCCAACAACGGCTCATGCGCCGCAAGGGTGGCATGAGATCCAAGGCATGCGTATTTTGGATGCGGTTACACTGGCGATCCGAGCGGCCAAGGTGTATTATACGGCTCATGAACGCCCGGAGAGATTGGTGTCCATCAAATCCGAGAAAGAGATACGCCAAGAACTGCTAAACGTGCTTGAGGTTCTGAAGCGCTGGGCTGCCCGGAATTTCTCTGAGGGGCTCCGCGAGGACGAGCGATCGACGATAGTGACTTGGATGTCGGGGGTCCGCCAGATGCTCATCAAGGAAGAAGAGTTCGAGGCGCTCGAAGCGAAAGAGCGCAAAGGATGGGAATGGGCGAGCGGAGACTGGGATGGCAGGGAGCGCGAGCGCGAAGAGTTGTTTCTACGCAGCTTGATGGATGCCGATGCGGACCTGCCAAGCTGGACTCCCACAGACGATACCGCGTTACCAACACCCTTCCTTGAGCGGCTGCAAGATGGCCGAGACCTGGTTCGGATCCATAATCAGGCGGTCAAGAAGTCAAAGCGACCATTTGGCGAGATCAAATCATTTCATCAGGATGTTGCGAAACCGTACCGTCGCGCGGAGAATCTTCGCTTCTGGCGCAAGGCTGCGGAGATCCGGTGGGAAACGAAGATCGAGATGGACGTAATGGGTGTTGTTCATGGCGGCAGCGATGAAGCTTGGAGAAAATTCGATGCAGCGCTGTTATCATGGTGTCATGCCGTGCGGGAGGAACTGATGCGCGACTGGCAGAGACCGCAGACGCCATCTGCTGCTGCACGTCCCAAGAGTGACAGTCTAGGAGAAGTTGATTCTGTATAACCCTGACACGGCGTGGTTTCTACAATCAAACGGGCCACTACAGGATACATATATTTTGCACTGCGTTGCTTAACCGGAGGAAGAGAAGAGGAGAGTCTGGTACGGCAGGAGTGGTACCACGTATTGAGTTCTCTGTTTGCTGTCCACCACTTTGATACCCCTTACTTGTTGTCTTTTTTTTTTTTTTTTAGTCTTTGAGGTCTTTTGCCCATGTCGCTGGTTGGGGTTTCTACATTCTTCTCCTGCTGGTTGTTTTGCATATATTGTTGTCCATTGGTTGGCCAGCCATCTTGACATTGATGGGTTTTTCCTCCGGCGGGATATTGGGCTGCAATAATCCAACAGGCATTTTTTCCCCTTTACATTGGGTTCCATGGTTGAATTATGTCTGGGTTATCATGGCTTTTTCACTCTGCTTATTCATTATTTATTTACCTGGGAATTTGGCTGAGGCTTTAGAGGAAATCTCCACCAGAATCATACTCATATGCAATTGTCTCTCCCTGGGTAATGAAGGACCATTCTAGGAGTCCAAGCAGTCTGACAATCATTAACTCAATTAAATCGAGGCTGCAGGCGATCAACCGTTGGCATTATCTAGTAGTTTAATAATCATAGGGACTTGAGATTGATAGCACTACGGAGTACGGAGTAACTCGTTACTAGACAGATATTAAACACTTTAAGGAAAAGGCCGCCTGAGGCAGGACGTGCAGCTGGCCTGACGCGCCTTACTACCTTAGGCTGTTTCAGTGTCCGCCGTTGGATTTTGTGACTTGTTGTTGTCCCTCGCTGACGGACCACTAAACGACTAACAACTATCAATGATGTAGCCCGACCACTCGTTTTCTCTCTCTCTCTCTCTCTCTCTCAATCAATCAATTGTTATATCAAATAGAACCTATTGGGTCTTACGAAACTCTCCATCGTTAATATCCAATATTCATCCTCGCAGCATTCCAGGAGTGCGCGAAATTTCCCGGGACCAAACAGAAAGGGGGGACGAAGGGAGGCACTGTAGTGGACACTGGACAGACAACACAGGGATTCCCGACAACACTAGCTCCGGCCACCGCAGCCCAGCACCATCCAAACAATCTACATTCCTCAGCCCACATTTTCGTCGTTCTACGTCTCTAGCTCTCGCGACTCTAGGCCGCGGGTGGTCGCCTTGTGGATTGTACCCATGCGTGCCATATTCACCGGTTCGACTACGTCTACTGCCACCAGCCAGTTCCCAGATCCCGGAACGAGCAACGACCTAGGCAATCATTCGTCCACCTCACCGGCCTACTCGCCTCCCACGGCTCCTTCAGTGTCGGTCTGCTCTCCAGACGACGAGCCCTTACCGCGCCGCATCAAGTCCAAATCATCCCTGCGAAGTGTTCGGAGTGCCGGCAGCAGTCACCACGAAGACGAGGGCTACGACAGCCAGGACCAACAACAGACCAGTTTTGATAAAAGTCTCGTCCGAGCCTCCATCCTTCGTCGCCTGTCTCCTGGATTAGCTGCGCGCGTGAAATTGCTGGACGGCAGTAGCAGGACCCTCACGCCCTCCCGGAGCCCAGGCAACGTCGGTCGGATTCCGGAGGAACATATCAAGGAGCTTGACAGTTTGCATCAGAACTTATCCATTAAGATTGAGAAGAGAGGTCGGTCCTGGAATGCTGTTCATCTAACAAGTCAGCAAGAGGACGCCCGGCATAGTCCCTCGGATGCTTTGGAGGACCTACCGCACAGTACCACCGACCAGCCGACAACGCCAGTGGAATCGGAACCGGCAGAACCGGTGATCGAGGATATCGAACCACCCACCCTGATACCTTCCGAGCACACCCCGGCCACCTCTCATACCACCGTGGTGGAAGCTTCCCTGGAGGAAGACGCCTCAGACAAGGTCGCAGTGCCTGAAGAACCACCAGTGTCCATGTCTGATGTTGAGCAATCTGAGATGCCGCGAGGCATCGAGTCGGGGACAACAGACCATTACCCAGATCAGACTGATTTCGAAAAATACATTCAAAGCACCAGCGATAACAAAGCGCAACAGCCCCCACCGCCACCGCCTCCCCCGAAAGATTCCCCCCCGCCGTCTAGTGCCTCTTCCCACGACCAGTCATATTTCAATCCTAGGGGCCTACAGCGTACTGAGTCGATTTATTCCTTCTCGAGAGCCTCATTCAGCAATCAGCTGTCGCAACTGACATCCATAACTCTACCACAACCTGCGACGTTGGCGGCCAGCATCACCGGGATTCCAAATGCCCCAGCAGCTGTGAAGGCCCTGATGGGGGCCGCTGAACAGATTCAAATCTGGATTAGGAAGGCTTCGGATGTGCTGAGTGGTCTAGATGCGGAGGATGATGTGGAGTGGGCTGCGGCGGGCGGAAGAGAGGGTTTGGAAGGCGTCGACAAAGCCATTACACGGTTTGAGAGCTTAGTCCATGTTTATGTGAACGCGATTGAGAAAGTGCAATTGCGGCAAGACATAGGCAATGTGAGCCCGGACAGTTTGAAGACGATTGTCGTCCAAATGGATTCCATTCTGCAGAGTTGGGCGCAAATCAAAGCACGACTAAAAGGCGTCAAGGAGCAAGTGGAGTTGGCAATGGAATGGGAGGAGCTCTGGAGCAATGTACTGGGCGATGTGGGCATGGAGGCTGAGAACCTCAGCCGGTTGGTCTTCGAGATGGAGGAGAAACGGCACTTCACTATGTCGAGCGAGCATGAAACATGCAGCAATGGTTTGGATATCAACGAGTTGGAGACGATCGTTGAGGAGACCCCGTCGAACGGTGGCCTGTCCAGCAAACGCTTTAGCATGGGACCCATCCTTTCCGTTGCACCACCCCTGGGAATGCCCATCATCCAAACCCCACAGGACGACTCCAACCATTCCAACCTTATGGCACTATTCGCCCGAATGCAACCTTTACGCGCCTCACTTGATTTCTTGCCCATGAGGTTGTCCATGTTCCAGTCTCGAGCCGAGCGCATCTTTCCAAGTGCTTGCCAGGAACTGGAAGATCGCCGCAGCCAACTTGAGAACAGCTACAAAGTCCTAGAAACCGATGCAGAGGCCCTACGCAAGGAGCTCAGCGAAGACAAGTGGATTTTGGTTTTCCGCAATGCTGGGGGACAGGCTCACAAAATGTTTGAGTCCGTTGAGCGCAGTATCGCGAAGATGCAAGAAGCACTCGAGACCGGCGCGCATCTTCACAATCCAGCGGGTTTGTCAAAAAGGATTGAGAGCTATGAGGCCAAGAAGATGCATTATGTTCCCGCCATTGAACGGGTGGTCTCCATCATCGAGAAAGGTGTTAAGGACCGCCTCACTGTGAACGGGGAAATCTTGCGGCTTCTGTCGGATATGTCGTCTCGCGTGGATGCGCTCAAAGCGAGTCTAAAAGTAATGGACTCATCGCTGGACGATCTCAATCTTGCCAAGACCCATCAATTGCGTGACTCGATATCCAGCATCATCACCATGGATAGTCCACTGACGAGCAGCGTCGTCGATACACCTGGAAGCTCTCCCGCCTCCTCGGTGGTGATGACCCCTGGTAACGCTCTCAAGGGATCATCCACGCCCCTGGGCACCTCGAGCAGGCGTGGCAGTTCCGTTGGTAGTACAGCAGCGCGGACCGCCATGTCCAAGGTTCGACGGTACTCTGGGCTACCACAAGCAGCCTCCACTCTCACCACTGGACTAAAATCAGCCATCCCCAAACCTTCTTCGTTCTCAGGCTCATCGCCCAGCAAGAAAGATGTGGCGATGACGCCAACACCCGCAACGCGTAAGGTATCGCGCTTGCCACCTCCACCATCACCGTTGAACAATCGTCCCCGGTGGACCACGAATACCAACACCAATGATCTGGATGTTGGTCACACCTACAAATCCCACACCCCCCTCCGCAAGTCCTCTGCTCCCGCCCGGACGTCTCGAACCTCTTCCACCATGCCCGTGCCGAATTCATCTCGTCGAGATCAATCTGTATCACCTGCACCGTGCAATACGCGGTCAATGAGCCGGGTCTCGAGCAGACTCGCCCCTCGTAGCCCAGGGCGGACTGCATCTCCTTCTCCTTCAGGGCTCATTCTTGATCCTCCCCCTTACAGCAAGTTCCAAAGACCAGGCGCACCACCCATTGCCAACACTCCTCGGAATCGGCAAAGCTACGCAGGATCGTCTTTCAGCCGTAGTGTTTCGCATGGCCAGGATTCGGGCTTGCTGAGCCCGACTAAGGCGCCTCGCCCTGGGACCTCGCTGGGCCATTCGAGTAACCGACGCATCAGTTTGCTTCCGTTGCCCAAGCCGCTGAGTGGTCGAGACAGCGCTGCTGGCTCCCGTTCTAAACTCGCTGAACGACCACCATGGCGATGATCCTGCTACAATACTATCAGTGCGCTAATCATTTTCTTGCTATGAGATGAAATATCAGTTCAATCTTACTACTCTTCAACCCCACCTCTTTCTCATTTCTCGGTTTCCGTTCCGGTTTATATGCATTTACAGCTCGCTGGGTCTCGATGGTGTCATATACCAAATTGTTTTGAGGGACAGACTGGGTTCGCTTGATTCCCCCTTTGCATTTGTGCTTAGCGGCTATTGTATTTCTTTTATTCTATTGTGTTGCACTTAGGAGGGCCCTTCGGTGTACGGTCTATTCATTCAATACATTGTGTGATATCCTTTTCATTATGCCTGTGACTATTTACATATTTACACTGTACATTGCCTGTGCATCAATTTCAACTCTTCTACTCGCCCAATTTTCTCCCGAAGATCAATGCATCGACCAACTCCTCGCTGTTCGCTAACCGTGCAGCACCGGGTACTCTTCCAATGACCTCGAACCCGAGTCTCTGCCAGATCTTGACCGAGGCGACATTATTCTCAAACACCAGATTGAACACGGAATATTTGTACCCCTGTTCAATTCTCAACTCAACTGTACAATCGCGTTACCCTTAAACACGGAAAGGGGGAACCTACCAGCTTCGGAGCAAACTCCAGATACGCCTCTCCCATGACAATCCCAACGCCCCGATTCCTCGCAGCAGTCATAGTCAGGAATCCCGCGTTACACACATGCGAGCACCGGCCTACATCCCATCACATCAGTCAGCTCCACAACAACAATCCCGAAAACCATCCACCGCAACACACACATATCCAACACCTACTCACCAGGGTAATTCGGCTTGATATAAAATGTCCCCAGACACTCCGCCTCCCAATCCCTTTCCTCGCGAATGCTCTCCTCAGCCCCCACCAGCGCCACAACCGCAAACGTCCCGAACCAGTACTCGGCGAACTTGTCCGTGCTCATCGCCTCCTCCATGGGATACGTGCAGCCGTGCTCGACCTCCGCGCGGAACTCGCGGTCAAGCAGCTCCACCAGCCCGCGCGGGATGCTTGCTGCCCCGTTTGCAATCGGATACAGAGTCACAGGGCTGCCGTCTTTGAGGGTTGCGTGGCGGGGTTGGAGGGAGGGGGCTGTCTGGAGGGCTGAGGGGGGAGGGGGGATTTTGGAGTCCGGGTTCTCCATTATACAGGTGGGCATTTTGGGTGGTTATGAAAAAGGGGGCGAGGGCGAGGGGGGGTAGTGTTTAGTGTAGGTGGGATTCGTGAATAAGCTATACGGAGTAAACTGCCTCTATATATTTTGTGGGGAAGGGCTTGTTTATCTACGATTATTTGGGTGATTAGTCATATCTTGTAGTTGGTAGGGCGTGAATGGTGGTCTGGAAGATCCTTGGTCACAGAATTAAAGAATTGGGCTGTTATTTATATAGAATGTGCATGCGTTGGTTCAAATTGTACTTTCATACAGATGGCATTCGAGGCTGTCAGTTGTGGCTTCAAATGAGTATTGATATATCGAATCATGCACCGCTGATCTAAGCAGAATTATATACATCCGGACGCCATAGTCATTATCGAGAAACAGCCCAAACCCCTGCCAATCATGGCCAACAGATGTTAGTGTACAACAGCAACTTTTTGAGTGTGAGAGAGGCTCCTCAGAGCAGTCGACTCCAGCCCATAAGCCTAGCGTGCATGCCGCGGTAGCACGACCATCACCACCGCATAGCTGTAAACCAACTCAAACCAAGAATCGATCATGACTCATTATTGCCCTCCCCATTTGTATCCTTGATCGCCTGCATCAACTCATACAATTGACCGATTTGCTGATCTATAGCCCCCCCCAAAAATAGAACCATTAGCAAATCGCAAGTTCCCAACTACCCGACGGACGCTGCACGGCAAACCTACCACTCATCTTTTCCAACTTTGACTTGTCCAGCTTCTCGCCGGCCCAGGAATCGCCCTCCAACTTCTGCGCATACAGCTGCCACTCCGTCAAGAAACCGATCTGCCCGGACCATTCTTAGCAACTGCCCATTTGTACAGCCCACAGGCTCCTAGCGACATGGAAAGCTGGGGAAGAAGAAAAGGAGGTTGGGGGGGGGGGAGGGGAAAACGTACAATATGCAGCGGATTCTCCACGTCGCGGTGCGCGCGGAACTCGCTCTTGACGTAGGAATCGCCGAGGATGCGCATTTCGGGATCGAGCTTCTTGCGGTGGACGCGGAGGATGCGGCGGTAGAGCGGGAGCGGGGGGAGGAGAGCCATGGCTTGGCTGAGGCTGGATTTGGAGCCTATTGTTGAGGGCGTGGCCATGAGGAGGCGGTGGAAGAGACGCATCTTGTCGGTATGAAGTTGGAAAGCAACGAAAGTTGGGATGAGCGATGTAGAGAGGCAGATGGATAGACCGGGGAATGATATAATGGCCGAGTAATATACTGCCGCGGTTAGAGACGCATCCCGGAAGGCGGCGAGAAGAGGGCGAATCACATCAGAGAGAGAGTTGATGTGGATAGCTTCATAAAATAAAATAATGAGCGGAAAGTACAGACACTTCATCCATTATTAGGGATTGACACGCAGAATGCCAATTGACGTACCACTACACCATTATTTATGAGCTTAACTGGCGGCGACCGAGATAGCACATACTTACGACTCGAGAAAAACCTCATATCTGTAACGCTCGCGCAGCGTCTACCACCGCCATGCTCCCCACACCATCCACCGACCACGTCTCCTTCGACACCATCTACGAGCCCTCAGAAGACTCCTACCTCTTCCTCGACACCCTCTCCTCCACATCCGAATCCGAATGGCTCTCCACCCGCTTCAATAGCACCCAATCCCCGCCCAGCCCCCTCATCGTCGAAGTCGGCACCGGCTCCGGCGTCGTCCTCGGCTTCGTCGCCGCGAACTCGCACGAGATCTTCGGCCGCCGCGATATCCTCACCCTCGGCACAGACGTGAATCGAAACGCCTGCCTCGCCACCCGCACAACAGTCCAGACAGCCATCCACGAGCGCCAGCACGACGCCCCGCTCAAATCCGCACATCTCTCCTCCGTCCTCGCGGACCTCTGCAGCCCCCTCCGCCCAGGCACTGTCGACGTCCTCCTCTTCAACCCCCCATATGTGCCGACGGAGGATCTGCCGCGCCTGCCCTCCGCGACGGAGCACGAGGCCGCCGCGGCGTCGATGTCGCGGTCCGCCAAGTTCGAGCATGAGTCGTATTTCCTCTCGCTGACGTACGCGGGGGGCATGGATGGGATGGAGACGACGAACCGGTTGCTTGAGGCGATCCCCGGTGTGCTGCATCCCGAGCGCGGAGTGGCGTATGTGCTACTTTGTGCGCAGAACCGGCCGCAGGAGGTCAAGGAGCGGATACGCGGATGGGGAGGAGGATGGAGGGCCGAGACGGTTGGGAACAGTGGGACGCAGGCTGGGTGGGAGAAGTTGGTTATCGTAAGGATTTGGAAGGAAGGGGTTTAATAGACGCTACGAACTTATGATTTTGACATGTATACCGCTTTAGCATGGTCAGGGACAATGGAGTTAGTTTCATCATTAAAGGTTCTGGATCGTTTGATTCGATTCGGATAGGTACAGGAATTGCATATTTTGGAGCATATGCGATCGGTTGGGCCCCGATAGCTCAAGAAAAGTGATCTTGAAGGGAGCCTCAGTCAACTCCTTTCCACTTAACAAGACCATCTTCCCTGGTTGTCTCCTTTTCAACCGATCATGCGCAATTCGGAGGCCATCGGACGGCACCGAGAGGTATCTTCGCGATGGCGCTCGAATCGGGGACGAACCGACGCAGCCCCTTCGGCGGCCCTCCACAGGCCATGGGACCACACCCATCGAAAAAGTCGTAGATTAATGCTTTTCTTCGCCCGTCGTCAACACGCGAGCGGAAAGAAGAAACCACATATCACAGATATCACCCAACAATGAAAAACAAATGGACAGAAAAAGAATAAACTCCCAAAGCCATGGATAAATCTATCCGTTGTCATCTAGAAACCCCGACCGCGTCCCCGACCCCGGCCACGACCTCTGCCGCCCCGTCCACCACCACCGCCGCCACGGCCGCGGCCGCGGTCCGTCTCCTTACGCGCCTTGTTCTTGGGCTTCGGCTGGTCGTCCACAAGCAGGGTGTCGAGGGGCAAGCTGTCGGGGAGGATGAAGTACCGGATCGTGGAGCCGCGGACGTTGATCGTGTCTAGGGAGATGGGATCGCGGCCCTTGGGTGTCATCTTGACGGTGCGGAGAGCGGTGTTCATCTGCGGGGAGACAGAGATGATGGTGCCGTGGAGGATTGTCCCTAGAGTATCGAGATCTGTCAGTCGCGAGAACGAAAACTGTGATGTCGATTCAGAACGCCTGGATGTTCGATTTGCAAAAAGGCGCGGGACCGAAAAACGGTCATGACTATATCGTGGATAAACAGAGGAGACGAACCATTCTTCAACTCAATCGTCACCGTCTCATTGGCGCATTTCATAAGAAATCTACAAGGAACGTAGATTGTCAGTTTTGGTATTCTCTGAGACCGCTGCAGCTTCTCAATCAGAAGTTGCGATTTTGACTGCGATGTACTGACCGAACGAGCTTCATCTTGGCCGATTTTAATGTGCGAGAGCACGTAAACCCAATTACCGACAGAGATAGACTAGGGAATATTCAAAGAGACCTGATAGAAGGTCGAGATCAATCAGGAGGAGTGCAGGTGTTTTCGCCAAGTCTCTCGCGAGCTGATGTCGCCCAGAAGTGATCGCGGCTCAGAACTGATTCTGAGGGAAGGACGGAGCTCCAGTCACGTGACCAACATCAGTGACCACTTCCACTCAACACGAAAGAGATCTAAGGAACTTTCCTTACAGCAAAAGTTCAGATGAAGAGACCAAGTAGGTATATTGCACCATAGTACTGAATTATCGCTTAATGGTATCTCTTACAAAAAGGCCTATCAAATCCCAAAACTAGATCCCCGAAACCAGAATTACAGAACGCCATGTCGAGCCTTGAAAATGGCTATCTTATCATCATAAAACAAAATCTCCCGTAGTTTGAAAGCTCGCCGGGATTTGTTGAAACTCGTACTAGATTCGTCATCTAATGAACTTTCCTCGGACGAGGACAGCTCGGAACTCGAATCCAGGACACTGTCCAGGCCATCTTCGTCCTCGCTATCGTTCATCGCAGACGCTGTCCATGGTCCAGCTCCAGGAACCCATCCATCGCTGTGGCTATCGTCCGTATCGTCTGGATCATCGTACTTTTCGCCACGTTTGCTTTCGAGAATCTCGTAGCATTTGTTTTGAATGCCAATGTAGCCGATTCCAACATCAGGGCGTATGGTTACAATGTCAAGGATCTGCAGTGCCAGTTCTTTGGCATTGCGATGCACGGGATTGGCGATGTGCGAAATGTGAAGAGCACGGAGATGAGGAATGAAGGGAAGTCTTTGGAGAAAATAGTGCTAGATGATCATCAGCGGTACATTCGTGACTGAAGTAAGATGAGATAAGAGAATCTACCCAATCCTTGGAGTTGATTGTCATAGAAAGCTCACGCAGTTGGGGCATGCGTCCACTAGTAATGAAAGCGATCATCTTCCGGGTGAACATCCACTTGCGCCAACGGCTTGTCCCCATCTCATTCCCGTTTGGTGATCTTTCAGTGCTATCGATCAGTATTTTTTTCAAGCTCAACCGATGAGCGCGTAGAATATTTCGGTAGATCGCATCGGTATGAACAATAGAGTCATACAAGGGTGCCTCATGCAGAAAGACAGTTTCCAAAGTGTTGGGGGCAATAGCATCCTTGATGAACAACAGTAGGTATGGGGACACGGAGTCCGTATGAATATGCTTGAGTCTTAGACTATACTCGCAAGAGCCAATGTTATCTTTCTTCTCATGCCTAGTAGACGGCGCAAATTGGCGTCGTAGAGCTCTCCAGAGTTTCTCATGCCCATCGCAGCGGAGAATGGTCATTGTGGTGAGCTGAGTCCAATCAATAACTTGCAGAATGAGAGGAATAGATAAATAAACGCGCTCTAGCTCCAAGGTTTCCAGCTTTAGCGCTTGCCGCTCAGATACCAGATCCGAGCCAGTCGGGCTGCTGGACAGCGTCTTCGAAGCCTCGTTCGGATCATCCACTGGAGCTTTATTCTCTATTGAGTGACTTGATACAGTCATAAGATCCATGCCGTCGTTGCCGGGGGAGCCATTTCCAGGCACCTGAGCCGCAGAAACTGCCCCCGGAGCTTGCGGTGACCGAGACTCTGCGACCACACCAGCACTTGAAGAGCCTGCATCTACTAATAGGTCTTCTGTTAAGACTTGCTCGGCAAACATATCTCCACTTCGCTCGGTTCCTTCCTTAAGCGAGGAAGCGCGAACAGATCTCTCCACGGGACACGGCTGGGGCTTGAATTCGCCAGCAAGAATTTCAAGGACGCCTCCAGCCTTAGGCCAATCGAGTGGTGTTTCAGTAGATGTATCCTGATGTCCCGCAGACGGGCTTTCCTTGGGCTTGAGCCAGTCAGCCTGGTATGTCTTGGACGAGATTCCGATACGCAGTTCCTTCAAGCGGTCTCGTGAGCGATCAATAAGCACGGCCATTTCCTCGAGGTACGACGGTTCATCGATGTCGAGTACGCTCAAGCTTCTCAGAGGAGGTAGAATCGACAAGGAAGGATATTCCACATGTGCGTATTTCTGAAATGGCGAGCTTGCAGATGCGGCCGGAAGAAGACTAGATCGCATCGCATTCTCTGTATTATCATGCCAGCGAACCCAGACGCGCTCGAGGCGACAGTCATGGCCCGGCCGAGTGGCTAGCGACGATAGCGCAATCCAGACATCCCGTAGCACACCTGTCGGCATATCCCAGATGAAGGTCTCCAGGTTGACCATCCGAGCTACGGCTAGCGCAACCAGTGTCCCGAGCATTTTACCGGTCTCCTTATTCACAGCATATTCCTGGACCCAGGCCAAAGGGCCATTTCCCACCGAAAACTTCCTCGTATATTGCGCATAATAGTTCCCGCGTCGCATGTGCCGCATCGAATTTGTTACTAACTGCCTTGGCTCTTGCGCATGCTTATTGTTATGACCGCAATACAGACATGGGTTGTTGAAGCGACCGGTTGATGGAAGCTCGTAGAATAGGTTCTCTCCCATGACCAAGGTTGCGAGACCATATGAGAGGGCATCCACGCCCGCAGGATGGTCTGAGGATGATAACGTGTCGGGCCATACTATGTCGAATCGGGAGTACATCTGTGGAATCGCTAAGGCGTGTAGAGCGGAGCAAGTCAAAGCCAGCGATGTCAGATCATTCGTATGTGTCACCTATAGAATAAGGAGATGGTATGTTTAGTATCAGCTGTATTGGCTTACAATGCCAGATCACATCTGCGCACCTCTTTCATGATGACTTGCAGTATGTCCAGGGGTAGATCCAGCAAATGCAGTGGTTTCCTTGCCGACGTAGTCGAACTACCGTCGTCGTTGTGGTGGTTCACTTGAGGCATTTCACAATCCAACCCAACGTCGGTGTCGGCTGTTCCCGGTGATGCTGACTCCAGGGAGACATTTTGCGCGAAACTATCTGCCAACGATGTGATCGTATGGCGGGTTTCATCCTTCTGCATAGAGCGATGTCCAAGGGCGGTTGTGGCCTGGCTCGTTCCCGAAACGAACTCTTCCTCATCTACCGGCAAAACCGAATCTGCATCCATCTTAAAACAACTAGCACAGAATCCACTTGCTTCGCGGGGTTGTTGGAAGGGAGTACGCGATAGCTTATCCGTTGACGCCGATGAGGGGTGATAGCATCACCAGTGATGGGACACAAGTCAGACGTGGCTAAAGCAGCAACGAACGGTCAGGTATATGGATGCTTCGGCTGAGGTAACTTCCAACCGCTTGATGCCCGCAGCTATGAAAAGGTCAGGTGTGAAGTGGGTTTGGTAAGGAAACCAGATAGGCTCAGGCGGGAACACGCAGGCTAGAAGAACCGTAGCACAAAGGCTGGGATCTACCAATCACAGGAACCAAACAGCCCGGTCAGCGATAATAATTGTGTTTGCAGGTTTCGCTCAAAGAACAGGGGAGGAGACTGAAAAGGTCTCCCCACAGACAGAGATGTGCTGTGCACCACATAAGGCTGCTAAAGAGCTGGTGAAGTTGAAAGGAATAGCTTGGGAGCTAAGTTGTTAGTTGAGGTTGTTGGGGAGTTGAGTTAGCGGTGTTCCTGAGGCAGTAAGGCTGCAGGGATTAGTTGCCGCTTAGTGGGCGGGGGCCTTAGGCATTTAGGCTAGCTTAGCTTACCCCAGACCCGCACGTGCCACCAACACAGCTAGCGTGGAGGTCCATGAGACCAAGACTCAGGAGCTTCAGGAATAATGTCTACAACGAAGCAGAGCAACGGTACGATATAAGAAGAAAGGATTAGATAGGCCGCTTATAGCAGATGACTAACATCAACATGGAACTAATGCTTCTCGCCAAGTGATCATGTAGTTAAAAACGCAGGAATATTGCAAGAACTAAATTCAGAGTAACAAACATGCAAGAAAATCAATGTGGAAAAAATAAGAAAAGTCGAATCGCTAAAGTGCACAATTCACTCGGTTTCTGGTGAATCTGAGGATATGGCATCGCAAACCCTACCCACGAAACCATTAAGACCCAAAGTAGGTGGCGCGCCTTGCCCAGGAGGCAGGGCCGTTGAAGTGCCTGGTATGATAAGCGAAAGAGAGCCGACTTCCACCCATTCGACCGACGTAACAAAAGAGAATGTAATTTTGACCTCCCCCTGGCTTGAGTTGCTGGAATCATTTACCACTTTACTGACTTCGGATGTGTTCCTCTTCCCACGATCGCCAGCGTCATTGTCGAAGTTGAAGAATACGGGCTCGGTAGGAGATGGCGGAGACGAGATGATCTCGTCCCCCGCAAGTGTCATGCTGGTTACTTTCACCGTAGAACGAACATTTGCAATGTATGCAATGGCGTTGCCGCCCAACAGCAGTGGTGGAGAAACAGCTGAAGAAAATTCGGTCATTGGGAAACTGGCAACGAACCCTGTGTGGAACAAGGCGGCCCTTGTCCTTAATGTGGGTGGAATGTCGGCCAGTATAGTACCCTTTCGAACCTTTCCTAAGTGCGGGCCTTCCCCATGCTGGGTAGAGGGCAGAAACTCAATACCAACTGTGCCTACTTGGTCCTGGATGAGAGTACGGACCGGTAATCGGAGGTTTCTGACGCTGACGACTCGTACGCGCTGCCAGTGTGCTTCCGCAGGAAAGGTCGCTTTGCCCGATAGAAACCCTTGCGGAAAGGAAGTCGAGAACTCTCCGGAAGAGGGTCTACTTCGCCCCAGTCGATTCCTCTGACCTGATGATATGTTCTCAGTCTCAGCCTGTGAGTTGGAGATTAAAGGTCCGATCAGAAGCTCATCCCCCACAGAGATAGCTCCGTAGCGAACTAGACCACAGAGGACAACGCCATGATTCTTTCTACCATTCTCCGTGGGCGCCGAATAGACCTTTGAGGGAGGAATAGCAAATACTTCATCGACATCGAAAATATTTGCAGGAAGATGCAAGGGCGGAGATGGTTCAGGCAGCACTACACTCCTCAAGCATGGACTCTGAGGAATGGGGAGGAATCGAAGGAAAGCATGCAACTTCCCCACACCTGTACCATTGACTGCGCTGGTGAGAACAATAGGGACTGTCAGGGACCAGTCAGCATTCGCGGCAGTCACGACCTTGTTGACTTCTTCACAATCATTGTGCCCAATATGTTGCAGATCTATCACCTGTTCAGGGGAGACAGACTGTACAGGTAGCATTGCAGGTTTCTTGCCTGCAAGCTTCAGCGCTGATAAGACCTTGGTCAGATTGTTTCTCAGGCCTGCACGAGAAGCAACGTCCATCTTTGTAATCACAAGCACCGTCGGTATTCCTAGTTTGATACAAAGATCCAAGTGCGATAGAGCCAGATTGATTTCCGTGACTTGCTCTGCTGCACTGCCGACAGAGTCTGAGGCCGTCTCTTCGTCACAATTGGCCGGGATACATAGCATCACATAATGAGGAGCCCAGCTCACCAGTCCCCTCAAAGTAGACTTCAGATAGCGCACTGAGCCTGGGAGGTCAGACAAGAAAGCCAGACGGCCGTCCTTGGTGGCGGCATGAATGTCATCCCAGGCTGCGACATTACCAGATGCATAATTGACCACTTCGACAGGATTGTTGGATGGTCCATTCGCCACAAAGCCCACCAATTCTTGCGCGACGGAACTCGTTACTCCAGAGGAGATCTCATGACGGTGTTTGAGAAGGCTCAATCTACTAGCCCCTCGCCCGTTGTCGAGGACAGATGATGTCAAAGTACCCAGGAGAGATGACTTTCCGGCCGCACTCGGCCCAGTGATGGATATCCGGATTTGCTCCGTGTTGGAATGATCATCCTCGCAGATGACCTTCGGCTGGGCGTCTTTCGTGGCAGACTCATCACCCAATATATCCCGATGCGATTTCAATTTGTAGTATTCTAAGTCCGGACTGACCAGGGCTTCCGCAACCCAGAGACTTTCTGTATGAGTCTTGGAAGGATCGACCGTTTCGGTGCACGAGTCTTCGTTCCAGTCGGCCCATTCACATTCACCGACTATGACTCTGCGCATAATCTCAACTTTGCAACCCAGACTGGCCGCCATGACCTGCAGGTTCGCCAAGCTTTCTTCCAGCTCATCCTGCGTAAGACCAACGAAGGTCCCGTCGTCAGCCACACCAATCTCGTACAAAGCACCTTGACTCTCCTCAAGGCCAGGCAGCAGACGTGTTGGTTTTTGGGGAGCACCGAGTTGAGGCGTTGCTTCCGGTAGTACTGGAAGCACTAGGTTGGCAGTCGTGGACGAATGGAACGGCGACGATTGCTGCAAGCGCCAGAGCAGCTGTGTCGTCAGCTGCTGCAGGCGTTGCTGACGGCTTTGTGTCGAGCGAGCCTGCGCTGATCTCAAACTCGATTCATAGCTTGAATGGGTCGGGCCAGAGGTAGGTAGGCTAGCACGAGAATGATAGGAACCGCCTACTACATGACCAGTGGACATAGAATTATAGAGCCGACGGGAGCGTAAGAGTAGATGTAACTTGTATTCGGTGGGCCCCTCCTGTGGTTCTGGCTCCAGTTTTGTGATTCCATAGTCGGACAGGAAATCTGGATCCGCACGGTCCAGCTCCGTGCCGGAACGAGTCCGAATCGCCATGCCTCGAGGTCCACTCGCTGCAACCTGAGGCGTCGAAGACCCTGATGTTGACCATGGCGAGGAGACTCTTGGCGGGTCCGGATCATAAGTAAAGATAGATGCCATGATTCAAGTATATCGAAGGAAGCCGCAGCCGGACCAAAATCACAGGAAATGCAACGAACAAAAATTGATCAAAGAAGTCGCGACTTAGAAATGACAGAGAGCTTTATATCATTACCTGCCCAAGTTGTAATATGAGGAACGGCAAAAGATTGAATATCTGTAAGCGAGCTATGTTTTCTTCACATCTGCAATGGAATTTCTGTATGGTGAAAGTCATCTTGTGGATCCAAGTGATGTTGATGCTGGGATTGGAGGCTCGAACACCGGCCAAGACAATGCAGAGACACAAACAATTTTAGCAAGTAGCTGGGAAAAAGTAGATCTTGCGCTTAAGAAGGATTTGATCTCAAAAGGGAGACGACATTGCGATGGACGAGAATGAGTCACAAGTATTGACACTCTCACGGTCCAGTCATCCAGCGCTTCTCACTTGATAACGAACCCGATCAGGTGATTGGTGATGTAAGCACCACGTGCATTGAGGCTCAAGAAACAGAGAGGTATTATTATATTGGACATTGCTGGGGTGGTTGCTAGTCTAGACGAACCTCGCGGTACTCTTTTCTTCAATGACGAATGTGACTTGATTCAAAAACACATTTGCTAACTCTTGTATCGTTTGGAGCAATGGATGTCACAAACCACATTCATTGCAGCACTGTTAGATCATCACCAGTCCTTCCAAATGGCGCTGTCTTTCCATTGAGGGGGTCATAATAGGATCTGTCTTTAGAGACTTTACTTGGCTGATTGATTTCTCAGACCTCTGGAGACTTTATTGCTCTCACATAACCATTCAATCGCGAAGAGGACTGCGTATTGTATTTACTCAAGTATAAGTCTGGTACGCTATTCTGCAGAAGACTCTCTTCCACTCTTGCATTTCCCCTGAGCCACATGGATATTTCGTGCTGTTGTGCGAGTAAAAACAGCACCACAGCTGGGGCATTCGGCTTTTGCAACGACGCCTGACTTCTCCCTTTGATGGCGGAGCAGATTGCTAAATGTTGAGAATTCACGCCCATTGCACCCATGATCCCAACATTGGGGCTTGGGTCGTGAGCTGATGACTCGTACCTGACGGTCTGCGTCGGAGGATGTGGGAGCGGATTCGGGTGATGAGTACAGTGACTCTGCAGGGGTGATACTATGCGGTTGAGGGCTGACCGCCAATGGACCTGGATGTGGGCTAATTGAACTCAGAATAGAATTAGCCTTGGGGCTGATTAGACAGTGAAAAATTGGCAGGAAAAGCTCACGGAAGTAAAGGGCCATGACCTAACATGTAATTTGACTGCTGGAGCATGTAAGGCGAGCTGATATCAAATCAGCGGGTCGATTGTCAGCTTTTGAGGATTGACGGCAGCTTACGATGAGTTATATGTCTGCTCTATTGTTGAAGGACTAGCGGGAATTGAAGGAAATGTGTATGGGACGGCAGAACTATGGACAAATGAGTTAGTGACCGTGCCTCGAATATAAAATAACATCATAGGGCTCAAAAAGTAGCTTGCCTTCTGGAGCTATGTCGATCGTGAGGAAGACTGGGGTGTGGTGAGCAGAGATACTGCTGTGAGGATGCCGCTGGGTGATAGTAGCCATGTGAGCTAGGTGGTTGAGGAGCGTATCCCACTACGAAACCGGCTGGAGGAAGTGTCGGAGGATGAGAGTAAGGCTGTTGATCTACACCCATCGAAGGAGGTTGTAAAGGCTGGGATGACCGGTTGTGCCAGCCGTAATCTATCATGGGTTAGGATCGAAAAACATGGAGAACTCGAAGCTGAGAGACTGATGGGGCCGTACTTTGTGTGTTGTGAGCCATAGTTTGCTTTTGAGTCCGACCTCAGACTGGGGCTGCCTTAGAAAGCAGACTCGGGAGGATAACTCCTGTTCAGCCAAAAAATTCAGCAATGAATTGGTATCAGTCAGTTTGAGTGATTCTGCCTACCCTAATGCCTGTCAATGTCGTTTCCTTGGTGCTCCAGGTATTCGTGTCCGGGATGGACTTGCAGCCTTCAGCACGGAGAAATACGGTTCAAGGATGGGAGACGAATGTGGGGAGCACTGGTTGCTCGCGTCCGGGGCACTTGGTGGCCCTTGATGGTACGGTGAAATCCAGAGAAGGTCTTAGAATCGTTGGTAAAGATCCCTTCTCAATAGGCAGTCTTGAATGCAGGTGAAAGTTCGAAGGATTCTGATGGTAATTTTTCAAAGATGTGGCTTGCTGTGAGGGGAGAATTGCACGTTCGTGTTGGTGATGGCTACTATAGAGCTATAATGCCGATAAGAACCACCTTGTAAGTCAGGTCGTCGTCGACTTGAGTCTCTTCTGGTTTAGAGAGAAGACAGTAAATGTGTACTAGATAGGAGCGCTTGGGTCAAGAAGGATCAAGTGGCGATAGATGAGTTGCGGAGCAGGGAATGGCTAGCACTATCCACAGACAGGCACACCTAAGTAGACTAAGATGGAGAGAGAAAGAGTACAGGGAGCCTCAGATCTGTCAGATACGGAATCTGGCTTGAACACCCCGAAGTATTGGTAGAAGTAGTCCCCCGAGAGGTTTGCAAAGCTGATATTTGTTGAGAGGTACGGATAGAAAGTAAGAGTGAGTGAAGTATTTAAGAGTCCTGGAGATAGGAATTCAAAGTTAAGCAGATATTAAAATAAACCCAACGGACCGGAGCTAGGTGTGGATAGCGGATGGAGACTCAGCTTATGATTGATTATTATTCTGTTGAGTGCTCGATCTTATTACCACTATTTCGTTGCTACTATTCTCAAGAGCGATGCTTATGATTCACTGCCACGACCGTCATGCGCTTGTCTCCCTTAGAATTAAACCAACATCATCTACGCTCTCTTGACTGGTCCTTCTTACCTGCTTACTCGTCTCTTCTTATTATTATTATTTCGACTTATTTCGATCTTGAAATCGGCGGCATCATGAGCTCCTGTCTAACGAAGCGACCCAGTGTCTGATCCAGCCAGCATATGGTCTGCCCTACACTTATTCCCTACTCTGATCTGATCTCAACGCCCTTCAATGATCTCCTCTGCCGTTTCTGAAAACATCTGGTCTGGAAGATGCAGCGCCGCCATGCTTCTACTTACTTGTACTTGTCCATAACAGAGTAGTATCCTCATGGCAGTGAGCCTGTTCAGAGCTCCACCATTGCTTTCCCTTGAGAGATCCGCTTCATACCAACAATGACAGGGTCTAATAAAAAATCCACTTCATCATGAGGCATATGGGCGAATGTTTCTCAACCAATACAAAGACAAGCTCCTGCAACAAACGGGGAGTAGGCGCTACTCTAAGTTCCGAACAGAATCGAGAATAATTTTCAGCCCCAAGAGGCTAACGGGCGCCACGGTATGAATGGTCGTCGGTTCAATTTACATTGACCGATCTCCAGTTTTCTACTCTTTTCCCTGAAAACAGCCATGGATCTGATTGGACACTAATGATTGTTTTTTTGGGGGCCAGGATGAACACGCTGCATCTTCGTTTCTTCGATCCGAATACAGGCATGAGCATTACGGAACTACCCAGGGGGAGTATACGGAGTAGGTACCTAGGTAGGCTTGCCAACTAGACTAGCGGACTATATCAGATTACGACCGTATGGAGACCCATGTCGGAGAATGGTATCATGGTATGTTCCCACTTGTCGAATCGGATCAATTATGAGCATGGGTGAGCGGATGGTCATTGGACTATGAGTCTATGACAATATGACTATTCCTGACTAGGTAAATAGATTAGAAGGGGAAAGAAAAAAGAAAAGAAAAAGGAAAAGACAACAAGAACAAGACAATTTCCAGGGTGCAAAAGATCCAGAAAAACCACATGGCGATAAGGACATACTAAGGCAGGGTTGTCATCGTCTGACTGCTGGCTGAGTCTGCCAATCCGCGTGGCTTGAAGAGCGCCTGGAATGGAATCCATACTGGACTGCCGACTGGTATCAAAATCCCCCCATTCTAATCCGTCGTCTACCTATGATTAACAGTTATTGGGGGTTATGCTAACTCTTCCAGAGCGTAGATCTCGGCTCTGAATGGCTCCTCCATGACGAGCATAATAATGATTTATTATTACTACACCTTACAACCAGTTGAAGGTAATTTCGTTGATCTTTTATTTTATTTTATATTTTGATTTATTTCAATCTATTTGTTGTGTCTCTCTCTCTCTCTCTCTCTCTCTCTTGCCAGGTGCGCCGAACTTTTGTTTAGAACTTCAGTAGTCGGTCCTTTTTTTGGCCCCCACAAGGTTCGCTTTCGCCAGCCACTGGCCTATTTTACTGTGGGGATACGGGATGATTTGAGTGTGCAAATAATGGTTCGAGACTGGCTTCTATTGTCTTCTCAATCGACATTCTATCTATCCCCTCTTTGCGGTAAGTGATTGCGGACAAAAAGACACAAAAGACCCATGCTGAAATTATTTGAATCATCTTCACTCTCATGGAAGATCTGAGCTCCCATAGTTAATGTTCGCGAGTCTGAAACATCCTAATTCTAGGGACCATGACGGATGAGACTCCCGCCAAACCTAGCTTATGCATAGTTCGCTCGAGATTGGTGAGGATGACGGAAGAATGGGCTGACACGGTACCCATCGTTAGTACCTACCTAGGTGCTAAGGTTCTACGGTCTCTAAACCCGCTCCTTGAAGTTCCGGTGTAAAAAAAAAAAGAGAAGAAGAAGAAGAAGAAGGCGCTCTGGTTCGGGTAATTTGGGCGAATACGGTGCTTCAGACTGATCATGGATTAACATCTTTTCTCTCATCCTTGTTCATTATTAGGTATCCTTTTTCCTTTTCCTTCTCATATTTTCTTTTTTTTTCTGCTGCGTACGTAGTAGTTTTTGGCAAGCCCAAGACACTACTACCTTACTGACTAGATACCAACTCTCTACCAACACCAACAATGAAACATTGGCGGGAAATTCTGAATAGAAGCGCCTTGAGCGGGAAATGGTCCTTGCTCCGACAAATCAAGAAGAACGTGTCCTCAGCCCAGTCAGGCCAGTGGCAGAGGTCGCTGGAGCTCAAGGGTCATCAGATATTATCTAGTAGGTAGTTATTACCGATGAAATTCGCATTATTGTCAGACGGTCACATTCTGAACAACCCCCCATGAGAACTTCGGGAGAACTCCGTGAGAACAACTGCTGACGAAATTTGTAACTCCCAAAGAGAGGATCGATCTCACAGCCGTCATTTCAGATCCAGGATAATAGGGTCGGGAGTCTGAGTCTATATGCAATAACCAAACAGTCGGGAACCCTCAACTCGTGGGAAGAACAAGGAGCGAGCACATGGCTGCCTAGCCATTGTTGCTCGTCTAGTACTGCAAAAACAGCTCAACTAGCGATCAAGCGACCCTGACCGTCGGGTTTTGCAAAAAATATATATATATATATATAAAATAAAATAAAAACCCGAACCGGAAAAATCAGTTCAACATCGCTAACGGAACCAAGTAAGAGGCCGTCTCGAGTGAGCCTAAAAAGACGGAACAACGGTAATATAGGCAGTCGGTCTCTGTTCTTCCCTCCATGGTCTTCTGCCATTCTGGTTTCTAGTTTTCTACGATCACTCCGTAATCCGTCCTCCATCCTCCATCCTCCCAGGCTCCCCCTTTCCTCCCCCACAACGGGGACCTGGGTTCATCCGCATCTTTCATGGAGCCCATGGAATGGAGTTATGGAATCTTGAACAGAGATTTGGGACCGGCGGAGCCCTTCCGAGATTCTGACATGATTGGCACATGCGCCATGGAAGAGGATTCCACTCTAAATTCAACAACCAGTCGAGGACTCGACAGTTGAGGGAATAGGCGGATTGCTCCGACCTTTGTATGCTAACTTCCATAATCAGATAGTCTGTACTCTGCCTTTTGCAGAGTCACCATCAGCGGGAAAAAAGGGAAAAAAGGGAAAAAAAAAAAAAAAAAAAAGGTGATTCAATAAAATTAATGTCGACGTAGATGAAATACTGGATCTCACTAACTAGAATCCGGATACCTTTTTAGTGTAGCGGTATTACACAGATTTCAGTTCTACGACAATTAACAATAAATATTAAACAATACGAGATAATCCAAAATTACGGTTGACACAGTCCGTTACCGTTGGATTCAGGATTCAGGGATCGACTGGACCTCCACATGCCGTTGCATTTCTATCGATCCTGGTTGCCTGCTTGGAACCGAGCCGGAATCGCCATATGGGGTGAAGACTTGCTTCGAGAATCGAGACTGAAGAA